TTTTCGATGAATTTTATGGTCCTTTTTTAAATTAATGGCAAAAGAATCAACGACATAGAATGGTAATAAATTAAATTTCCTCGAATTCATAAATCATCCAAAATCGATGAAAATCGATAAATCAATCAGAATTTCGACTTCTTTTGCTTTAATAGAAGCATTTTTCAAATTATTTATTTTATTTAAATTTTATAAGAAATTTAGGAAAAAAATTTTTAGAACGAAAGCAAAGTTAGCGCTTAAATTTTCGAGATACTACTAATAACTTGTAAACTACATTTCGAATTCAAAGAGGCTGGAATTTAACTTGTTCTCATGGAAAAAATTTCATATCATTGTAATATCGTTTACGGCGATTAATGATGATGAAATACGCGATATACAATAAATTAATGTATTTTACTGATAAAAATGACAAAAATTTTAATAAATTTTAGGTCCAGAAAAATTAATTGTTAAATGCTGAATGGAAATATATATTCTATAAATTTTGAACGCATCAATTACGCAAATTATGCACCATTGAACTAATATCTTGGAAATTTTCACCGAAACCAGCAATCAATGAGTCTGTTCTTGCGAATTTCAAAAATTCTTAACTTGGCTGTATACATTCGAGCTATTACGAGAAAAATCTTGAGCAATTATGAATATCATGCTTGGATACTGTAGCAATTATAAGATCTATACAGGTGATATTGCAGGCTATTGATCGGATGCTACGATAAAATAATCAATCAATCTTTCACAGTTTTTTTTAAACCAAAAGTCAGTTTCAATTAGCATAGATTTTGTGCGATTAAACAATTAATCTGATTTTTCTTACATAATAATTTTATTTAATATGAATTTCATACAAAATTTAGCATTTTTTGTGTTTATTTTTTAATTATTAAAAATGTATTAAGAAAAACAAAAAAAATGACAAAAAATGATTTAAAAAGCCAGAAAAGTTTGAAATATTTTAGCATAACTTCATTGAATAATTGCATAAAAATTAAATAATTTATAATAAATAATAACAAATAATTCAATTGATATGATAAATGGCATAATTAGTGGAAGTTACTTTTGCATCAAAAACAATAAATTAGAATAATCTTTACAATTTGCTTTGTTCTTATGATTAATTCAGAGAATAGAAATTCCATAGTCTTTCGGAAATAAATAAATGGTAAGAGCTAATTATTCTCGGTTAGCTTTACTTCACTTGTTATCCGAGAAAAGTTAGACAGGCCAAAAGTCGGAAATTTGCGATAGAAATCCTCAGTTGCACTCGAGTTTTTAACACCTTTCCCATTTGCCAAAGGATGGAACTATAATAATCTAGGCGATATATATTTAGCCAAATGAAGAACAAATTCGCATATAATAAGATTAATAATAAAAAGTAAAATTTTAATTCTATTCTATTAATTTTAATAATCCATTTCCACATTTTAAAACTGATTTTTAATCCTCGTTTTTTTACAAATAAAATACTTTTTTTCCGAACACATCTTTGAAATTCATCGATATCATTCGGCTTTATTCTTATCTCCACCATTTATTTAAAAATTACCTATCCATTTTTATTCTGTGATATCATCAACGATCAATTTTTATATTCATCCAACTTCGTTAGTGATAAGGGCATTAATAGTAGTAATAGAGTAGTGTTTGTCAACTTGAAAATTGTCCTTCGCCTTCGTATTCAATATTTTTCTATTTGACCTTCTTTAATACCTTCGATTTCGGCCTTAACGATTTTCGCACATTATCTTTATTTGTTTTGACCTCATATTATAATACTCTTTCATCTTTCCTCAATAATCTTATTTAATCTGTTAAAACAATAGATAATATCTATAAAAGTGGCGGGAAACGATAAACATTTGCTATATGTATAAATAAATGATTTATGATATTATTATAAATCGGATTCTGCAGATATGGGCAGCCAACAAACGTTTATCCATTTTTCAGTTTAAATTCTCTTTTTCATTTTTCATTTTTTACTTTTTTTAATAGTAAAATAACTGTTCTAAGGTTTTCTAAATATTTTTATAATAAATTCTTATAACTTTTTTTAAAATTGCTAATAGCCAAAATTTGTGGAAAATCTCGGCTCAGAAAAAAAAACAATTGTTTCTCTATCCGTTATATAATTAATTAATTGATAGTTAGCCATTAATTCTTTTTTTTTCGAAGAAATCACTAATTCTAGTTAGGCTCGCTTTTCTGATTTGTTGGATCATGCAAATTCTGCCAAGGAGCTACTCAATGATAGAAGCATAAGTGAGTTGTGAGCACGGATTTTCGTATGACATATTTGCTCCAGCAGTGAATAGAATTGCAACATCGATGCCCTAAAATGAATAACAACCAACTGAGTCATCCTATTTCTGTAATTCTTATATGCCACAAACGCAAATCACAGAAATTTCTAGTCTGATAAATAAAAAATGAAGAAGTCTTGATAAGACTTGAAAATTTAATAAAAATACCATATAAGCATATAATTTTTGCTTGACCTGAGAGATGATAACAGAAATGGCTATTATATTTGAGATTTTAAGCGATAAGAAGAAAAAATTATGAAAAATCTCTTTTTCTTCAAATAATTTTACTTATTACCAGCACCATTACTAACTATTATTAGTTATGCCAACTTGACTTAAGGCACTGTTAAGGCTTTTTTTATTAATGAATATAATTTATAATATTTATAATATAAATATATAATGAAAAAAATAAAATTTTTCGGTTTAAAATCTTTTTTAAATATAATTTTTTCCAAAATTCAAGTAAAATTTTTGGAACAATAAAGGAATAAATCAATGAAATGTAGTTAATAAATTTCGTTGTATATGATTGCAAAAGATGGCTATCATCTACAAGATTAATTATTCCCAAGAGATTCTTCTATTCAGCAATATTGTATTTATTATTATAATCTTCATTCATTCGTATGCGAATAGATATCTTCGAAATCTACATAAGTGATTAAGTGATAATAAGGAATTCATTAAAATAAATTATTTTCAACGTATTTCGGTGCTAAATAGTTTATTTGTCGAATAAATTATCTAAATTTTCCTTTTTTTCTTCATTTATTTTTATATTTTACGAACAGAAAAATTTAGGGAATCTTTTTGAATTTTCTGATTTCAATCTTAAGACAATGAAAAATTTCGATAAAAATAAAAAAATAATAATCTAACAAAATTAAATATTTGTGGAAAATTGAAAGTAAATTTCTAAATTCTATAAGAAAGCGAAAAATTTCAATCAAAAGATCGAAAATATAGAATCTCTTAGAATAGAAGAAAATTAATGTAGAAAAAAAACATTGTTTAATATGGAAGATGAATATAATAGAAAAAATTGGTGGAGAAAGTTGTTTCGAAAATAAAAAAGATGAAAAATTTCACAAGTTTCGGAAATTCCCATTTATTTGTCATAAAAATAATAAAACTAATAAATGAGTGGTATATGGAACTTAAAATAGAAATCTGCATAAGCAAAAAAAACAAAAATTTCTTGAAAGGAACTGCCCTAATATAAAATGTTTTTTCTAAATTATGGTTGAAATACAAAAAAAATTTCACTAAATTTTATTAAATTCTCGTTGAGAAAGATCCAGTTTGCTAGAAGGCTTCATGATGGATTCATTTAAGAAGAGATTAATAAGAGGAGGAAAATGATTTCTGAAAATTTTGGAAAAAGCCGTTGCTCGTCGGGAATCGAATCTTTTATGACGAAGAAAACAAATAGAAATATTTAGGAACAACAGAAATTTCCTTGCGAATTTTTTCTTCTTTTTTTTTAAAACAATTTTTAAAAATTTTTTGACGGAAATAAATTGTTTGCAAATGTTATTTAATAAATTTTCAAAAAATTTTTAATTTTTCATTTTATTAATTTATAAGTTTGAACCTTAAATTTAAATTTTTCAAGATTTTTTCATCGAAAAAACTTTTAGGAAATCCTTTTTCAAAAAAATAAAGGTCTTACAAGGAAATTCTATGGAAAAAAATAATTTTTTTTCATTTTATCGATAATTTTAATTGAAATATTTGACGACAGTATACCGCGCGACAATCATTGGCTGATTTTTCTGCAATCATCCCACCCATTGAAATTCGTTACCGATTGAAAATGTTTTATTGAGGGGAATAATATGATTTATTGCTCATTTTAACTTCGATATTCTTACTTTTTTTTTCAAATTTTAGATGAACTGTACTCAATACAATACTAATACTAATATTATTACTGATAATATTAATAATAATAGTAATGAATGGCTGACAAGAGTTTATCCAAATAATATTAGTAATATTCCAACGAGTACTACAGCTATCAATAATAATAATAACAATAACAATAATTACTGCTATGATTATAACGATGATCAAGCAAGTACCTCGCAAAATTGGAGTAATTATCAAAATAATATGCCGACGAACGTCTACAAATGGATGAATATTAAGAGGAAATTGAATAAAACAGGTAATTTTATCGTTTTTTGCAGTCCTTTCTTTTGTAAAAAAAAATATTCAAATAATCCGAAATGGTAAGAAAAAAAATTTTTTTATCAAAAATCGCTAAAATATTTTGTTTTGTAGCGAATCCTTAGCAGGAAAAAATTATTGACATTAATACATTGATAATTCTAGCAAATCAATTAAATCAAATCAGTCGTGAAACAAAAAAGGCAAAAATTTCATTAAAAATATTTTTTTGGGAACAAATTAGCTGATAAAGATAAACCATTAACTTTATTTTACTATTAACAAAAATATTTAAATCACTATATTTAAAAGGAAAATATAAATAAGTGTAAATATTTATATATATATATATATATATATAAATATTTGCATGTGTATACATGTCACCTATATTATTTATTTATTTTTTTATTTATTTATGGATGTATTTTCTTTGCATGGCTGGAAATTTTTTTGATTTATTTTAAAAAAATTCTCGTATTTATTTAAAAATTTCGTCAATCGGAAAGTTGGTAAAAGTTAACTGGTTCGTGCACATACATTTATAAATGGTAAGAATGATAAGATTATAAATGATAAAAAATAAATTTTTAGACGAAAGAAAGACTGGGATTTCTCGAAATCTTTGTTCTTTTTTAATTTGCTTCATTTTTGTTTCATGTTTGTCGAAAATTTTTTGAAAAAAACTTTTTTTTGCCATATTTTGGAAACAAAATACTAATCATTCTTCAGACAACCATCGATTTCCTTTCAAAACTCTTTGCATTATAAAATAATTCTCTCTCTTTTTTTTCGTTCTTTCAACTGTGATTTAAAATTTCCCGAAAATATTCACTTCACTTTTTTCAAATTTTTTTCACCTTGGGAAATTTGGAAACAAAAAATTCTTCTACGACACCTTAGTGAATATCGTTTCAATTGCTATTTTTCCTGTCAATCGAATCATATTTTAAAATCGAATTTGTATTTCTATTATAAATTAGTTAAAACTGATTAAATGTCCATCTTTGTTCTTCTTTGTATTTTGTTTTTCATTTATTTCTTATTTTAAAGAAAAAAATAGTTATAAAAAAATGTTTTCCTTGGCTTTCAATTCGTTCAACTAAATCCTTTTTTTTGTCGAATTTTTCTATAATTTAACCATTTTTTCGAGAAATTATTTCAGAAGAATTTTTATACTTTTTTAAAATGAAAATTTTTCAAAAATTAATCAGTAATTTAATTAATATTGAAGAAAATTAATCTTCTAAAGTATTTTTTGATTTTTATTTTATTTTATTCTTCAATCAAATTGTTTATTATCGCTTTCATTCAAAATATTTTAGCCACAAAACGTCGGATAATCGAAGAAACAAATGTAAATCGTACAAATTTTACAACACATCAATTGACAGAACTTGAAAAAGAATATTACACATCAAAATATTTAAATCGAACTCGCCGTGCAGAAATAGCTTCAATTTTAAATCTCAATGAAACTCAGGTTTTTCTTATCATCGTTAATCACCTAAGAAAAAAAACCAATTGTTGTTGTTTCGCAAGCTGCACACTTATCATTAAGAATTTAAAAACATTCTTCGATTAAAATGTTGGTGATAAGATTTAAATGAATGGTATCCTATAAAAAGGATTTATGAAAATGATTTTAAATGAGTGATATCCGATTTGATATGGTAAAAGTTATTGATGTTTAGCCTGCGATAATCAGATTTTTCTTCACTTTTAAGCACAGTTTGCAATACTTTATATGTTTAAAAGCTGAAGTATGATATAACAAAATAAATGGTTCCAATTTGATAAATAAACAACTTTAAGAAAATTGTTCATGATAGCTGAAATGAAAACATATTTTGTGAGAATTAATTGATATTTGAACAACTGATCTTGAAAAACAAAATATTGATGGCTTATAAAATCTGATAGAGCGATATTAGAAGAGGTTAGAGGCCGAATGAATTTAATTTAACGAATCTTGAAAGGTCATTTCATTACTATTACATATCTTGCGGGGCAAAAATGCAAATTAGGCACTTATAGCTTACTAATTCGCTTGTTAATTCCAGAAAAATCAAACGTTAAGAGATAATCGCATTACAAAAAATATTGTAATATTCTAAATATTATTCATTCAATTAATTAATTTTTTAATAAAAAAATAAATGGAGAAATAAAAATAAGAGAATTAAAGGTGAAAATTTGGTTTCAAAATCGTCGCATGAAAGAGAAGAAACGCCAAAAGGAACAAGCATTTTTGGCACGAGGAAACCGACCTCATCAAATAAATTGGTCCGATTCACCGTCAAGTATATCAAACATCGATGATTCGCCTAAAATTATTAATTAATTGTCATTCTTTTATTTTCTCTTCATATTTATTTTCTGGCAGGGTTCGGCTAACCGAAATTCACTAATTCTTTGTTTTTTTTTTTGCTTTCTTTTTTTCTTTTCTCGAGATTCGATTAAAAATCTCACAATTCATGAAGTTTTATTTTACTTTCATACAGTATGCAACATTGTCAATAGAGGCATATTTTTTACCCGAAACGGAGTTCTATATGCATGGGAAAGAATAAATTCTCGGGGAAAAACTGCATTTTTTTGCAGAAAAATGCACCTGGAGGGATTTTTCAAGATAGAATAAAAAAATAGAGTTCCAAGAATAAAACTTGAAATATTTTAATGTGATAATTACTGGAAAAATGCTCATCTTTTTTTTCAGTCTTGTTTTCTTTTCTTGTAAAATTGTATTTATATATATAGTGGCGTGGAAATTTTTCTTTTTTTCCAGATATTTGTTATTATTTTCAAAGATTCATTTTGGCTAAATCAAATCCTTGAATTATTCTCGAATAAAGATGAATGAATGGGACTTCTTTTTCACCGAAATCAAAGTAAAATTTTATCATTAATTGATTTTTAAATCAATAATCACCATTGGGGAGAAAAAGAAGATGAAGGAGAAGTAAAAGGCGGGGGAGAAAGGAGAGGGGGGAAGTTAGAGCGATTGTAAATTGACAGATAAGTGATCGATTAACTAGCGGTCACATCAAAGTCCATCAGAATTAACCCGTCTAAATTGCCCGAAGCCATGCCTTTTCGCTCTCCGTCATGTGTTTCTTTTCTTTTTACATATTTTTCATTCTATACTAATATTATATCAATAAGGGATTTTAAAAATTGAAAATCTTTGCAGCTTAATTTTAAAAATTACTCGCTATTAAAGTTTTTTACTTCGAAGCAAAAGAAAAATATAAAATTAAACAATGTTTTTCATATTTACAAGTAAATTTTATGGAAAAAATTTTAAAAATTTTGCTTAAATTGCACACAAAAAATTATTACTCATTTTTTTCTATAAAATATTCATATTTTATTTGAATATTCTACTAAAAATTGGCGATAAAAATTTTTTTCGAATAAAAATTACCGTAGTATTTTAAAATTTGGGTTATACGGTAGAATGATGTGTAAATGCGAAGATCGAACATCTGAAACTCTTCTTCGTTTTTTTTTTTGTTTTTTAGGCGTTTATTTCTGATAAACCATTAAAGAAAAAACACCGATATTAATTAATTAATTTATTATAAAAATTGGCATTTATCATTACAAATTTCCTCCCAATTTTTTTTTTTGTTTCATTTTATTTGATTTCATCGAAAAATAAAATAAAATGAAACTTAATTTCTAATAATAATTTTATTTTGCGGTTTATTTGCGTTTTTTTTCATTGAAATTATTTAATTAAAACATAAAAATTTAAGATAAATATCGAAATGCTTTTTTAAAATGCATTTCGTTAGCATTAAAAAAAAATAAATATTTATTTAATTAAATTATTTGAGAATTAAAAGTTTTATACTTAAATTTTCACTGTTTATTTTAAAAATACTTGAAAATATAAGATTTTTCGATAAAAGCAGCGTTAAAATTTAATGGAAGCACCAACAACGACAATAATGGATGATCAATAATAATGAATGAATGAATGTACATATTAAATGAAAAGTCAAGTAAGCTTAACTTATTTTAATTTTAACGCACCTGCGATAAGCACTCGCAATCTATTGGTTAATAATATAAAAATTTTTGTCCTATGCACACTCGGAGATAGGAGCACAGTTAGTCTACAAGAGACTGACTGATTTTACTGATTTCTCGATGAAACGCTTCCATTGGTTGTAGAATTTTGACATACAGAATGGCAGTCATTCGATTATTCTGGCCTTTGCTGTAGAAGAAACTAAACTATTTCAAATTTAACGTTATATGCAAAAAGTAAAAAAAAGCCCATTTTCCGATTAAAATTTCACAAATTTAATAAAGTTTTGCAAAAAAGTTTTAAATAAAATTAGTGAATAAAAAGAATTTTTTTAAAAGAAAAATAATAAAAAATAAAACGAAAATGGAGTAAGAAAAATGGAGAAAATTTATTTTCACAAAATAAATTTTTATGAAAATTTCTCAAAAATTATTTTAAATTATGCGAAATTGACTTTCGAAAATATGTAAAAATTTTTGTGGAAAAACTTTTTAAATAAATAATTTAATAAAATTTCGAGCGAAAAATTTTTATTTGTTGGAATTTCGATTGAAAAATTGATGTTTCTTGAACAATAATTTGCTTATGATAAAGCATTTTTTTAAGAAAAAATTGTCGATCGATGTTCATGGCTTAAATTTTTCAAAAAATTGTCGATCGATGTTCATGGCTTAAATTTTTCAAAAAATTGTCGATCGATGTTCATGGCTTAAATTTTTCAAAAAATTGTCGATCGATGTTCATACTCGAATTAACACTCTAATTCGTTGATGCTTTCTACTCATTCTAATTGGAGAATATTGGCTTTCATTTTTGAATAGCAAAATGGCCTATAGTAGTAATTAAATCAATAAATACTTCCAAATTTTTCTTCAAATTCGAATGAATATTGTGGCAGCCGATGTGATTCTCGAAATATTTCAATTCTAAACAAAGAATCCAGAAAAGATTTAAAATGGAACGCAGTGAAACGACAAAATTGACAAATCTAACGATGCTTGAAGGCCAATGAAATTTTTTATCGATGAAAAAGCATTTGTAAACGAATCGATTTCGATAAGCTCAATGGCGACTATATGAAGAAAATTTTCAATTTTTTCAACAAGTCACAAACACTTTTTCATCGATTAAAAACATTTATTATAACCATAAATTTGTTTTGTTTCTGATAATTAATTGATACGATCAATAATAAATGATGAATTATTGTGTAAAAACTATTTTGACAATCATAATTAATGACATTTGCATATTGCAAAAAAAAAGATTTATCGAATGTCTTCTTGCGACCAATATTTTTAAAAGCAGTAAAATCGTGGTTCCACTTCTTTATGCAAGGAAAAGTACATTTAAAACTGCCAAACGTATGGCACTTCCTAATGTCGTAAATGGCAAAGTGCAACCCATATTTGTTCGTTGTAATTGATGTTTTTTTTTATCCACAAATTCAAATAGGAACCACGTCTGTTTATCGGCAAAATTCAAATGCAAAAAATCAGATTTTCACAGTTTTCAAATTTGTTAAAATATTAATTAATGTAATTTACTGATAAAACATTATTAAGCATTAAATGCTTGCCGATATTGGAATATTTTCTAAAATAATGTAAATTTTTTTAAATATAATATTAATTTAATTATTAATAATTAATTATTAATTAATTTTAATATAATATTATTAATTTTTTTAATATAATATTTCTTAGAATATTCTTAAACCGTTTTATGATTCTTTAGCATCTATAAATCCATATTTTTATGAGAAATACTTAAAACACTGTTAACTTATTCGATTAAATTTAAAATTTTATGATACAAAAGTTGAAATTATCTTTCTATTTTCGAAAAAATTTGCTCTTACGAAATTTTTATATCAGCTTTTACATTAGGAATGTGAATGTTTCTTCACATTTTGTACCGTGGAACTTGTCTTTGTTCGCTATTTATGAACATAACTATCGAATTAATGCAGCCAATAAATTAGCCTTACTTTGTCAGGAGATATACCTTGATTTTAAGTGAATGATAAATAAACTTGCAAAATTTTGCCACTTAGATCAAAGATTACAAAAACTTAATTTTATCAACTCAATTGAACTTTGTCATTTATTTTATCATTTTTCAAATCAATTTCATTTAATTTTACCTAAAAATTTTATGTATTTTTTCAAACTTTTTGTACGGTAATATAGTTGACAATTTTTTTAGTGGGAAAGTCGTGATAATTTTGCGAGAAAAAATTTTCTTTCACAAAAATCCTTTTGAATTCTTCTAAAAATTTTAGTGTTATTTTGTATTTATGTTAAATATTCTCTTCGGATGTCGGAAGGAAGTAATAAGGATAATCTCATGGCGAAACCTACTTGCTATGACCTGATTTGCCTTTATTTTGACGATTTCCGCCTAATTAAACGGAACCAGAATAGTTCATTTTCTCGTCTATGAAGTAATAAATACTTCGATATGAAGTCAAAGCATTTTCATTCAACAACAATAGTTGTTATGCACATGCCACCTATAAATATCGAACATACAATTTGTCATGCAAACTGATTTCAATCGATACATTTCTCGTAAAATTTTATACTTTATTCATTCAATAGAGAATATTTAATTCTAAAATTTAGTGATTTGCTTGAGAAGAAAATTTTAAAGCATTTTAACTTAATTAAGGAAAATTTAAATGCTAAACGCAAGTTCGATATACATAAAATTTCTCACCAAAAAAAGAACCATTTTCACCAAAACATTTAAAATATTTGCATTACTTTCAGTAAAGAATAAATTTCATTTATTTAATGAAATTTGCTGAATAAACTTATTAAAAATACTATTATATTGTAAAATTTCATCTAAAAGGTTGCTGAATGATCAAAACTCTCGATTTTTTCATGATTTCCGATGAATAAATCTTCGTATCAAAAATAGGATTTCAACTATATGGGAGGCTAAATTATTAAAGCAGCGACTCCATACTAAACGAATTACCTACTACACTTTGATGAACCAGGAATGAATTATTATAAAATCCAAAAAATTTTTTCAAAGATATTAAATTCTATTTTTGAAATTTTCCATATCTAAGCGAAAATTATTTATCTGAAAATTATTTTTAATCGAAATGCATTTACGTTGAAAAACATTCATGAAATTCTTAAAAAAATTTTTATTTCAGAACATTAAAATAATTCAAAAATATTTAATATATGAGAATGGCAAAAATTACTAAATTTTGGTTTATAGAAGGTTTACAAATAGTGAAGGATTGAAAAAAAAAATAATAAAAAATAGACTATAAAGTGGCAATAAAGATTACTCGAAGATTGAAAGTTGAGCGAATTATTATCGAATCGTTAAAAAGGCTTTGGTTATTTCTATTTTATCTTATCTGCCAGATTTTTTAATTTTTATATGGAAAAACTTCATTTCCCTTTGCTAATATCTTTTTAAATATATTCTCTTTAAATATAAAAACAAAAATGAAAATTTGTAAATTTAAAAATTCGGTAAATTCAAGAAATTATAAATATGGACTGAAAGGCATAGAAAAAACGATTTCATGATTACCTTTAATAATGAATGGAACTAGCCGAGTGGAACTATACTGGGAAGAGAATAGTATACAATATAATTTAATAAAACATATTCCGAGTCGAAAGTTTAATACAACCAAAAAAAAAGCTTCGCCCGTTTAAATGAAAATAAAATTCTTAAAAAATCATTATAAATGTAAGTTTTAGTTGCATACTGTCGTGAATAAATCATTTATTGGTTGTTTTTTTTTCTGCAAATTTTTTTTTCATATCGAAAATGACTAATTGCAGAATCATATTTCATTATTCGTTCTAATTGCCAATTTGCTTATTTCCTTGAAATTGTGAATGAAAAAATGAATTGTAAAGAGGAAGAAAAGGATTCATAACGAAGGAAATTGAATCGTTGATTTCGCATTCTCGAAAACCTTTCGCAAATGGATTACTTTCGATTTTTAGTTCAGTTATCTGCAAATTGAATAAAATTTAATGCGATTTAGGACGAATAAAAGAATTTTAAGTTGAATAAACCAATGAAAAATATAGTGAACATAACGTGGACCATCATTTCGAGCACGGTTCACGCTTAAGGTTCATGCTTTTAGTTAAGCTGCCATTAAGGTTATCATGAAGAAATGCTCAAAGTACTGGAGAAATGCCGGTCCGGTATTTCTATCCTCACGCATCCTATGATAAATAGGTCCATAATAACCAATAATAATAATAGTTAGTGCAGCAAGCCTAGTCGGGGAATGCTAGATGCAGGCTTCTTACCTACTTGCTTCGAGGATGTTTTGTTTTAGGAATGATGATGACATTTAGGTTTATTATGCATGAAAGCTGAAATTGATTGATTTTGCTAAAATTTTGTAGGAATAAGCTTGTGAATGAAATATCGACATTACTGCATTAAATTCTATGCCGTCATGGATAGAAAATTTAGCAGTTAATAGCTGAGGATTGAACGAATGAATTGATTCGAATGATTGATTAGGCAGGCAGATTCGCGATTTTTATCAAACTAATGAAGCAAAAACTTAACTTTTATTTATTAATTCTGTCAATAAATTTTTTTTTTTAACAATGGTATTTATTACTTAAAAAATATTACTATTATTAAATGGGGATAGAATGGTTCAGTGGGTTGTTGCTCGATTGGGAACGCCGATGCTGAGGTTCGATTCCTCGCAGGAGTAAACCTATACAAAAATCCGACTCATCCATATTTCTATCACCAAAGGACTCCCTGGCATATTGCCCAATATGACAAGTCAATGAAGCGAGTTTAATGCAGTTTAATGACCAGTAATGGTGAGGATTCTTTTAAAAAAAAAACTATTATTAAATAACATATAATATTACATATAAATATTATGAATGTGATTTAGAAATTTGTTAATTTGGCTTATTACAATTACTTTAATATTATAACCATGTTTCGCTCTTTAGTTTAGTTATTTAACGATTCTTAATAGATATATATCATTGAAATAGGATTTGGATGAATTTAAGCTGGCGACTCATCCGTATTTCTATCGCTTCCCTGGCAATATGGTGAATCATATAGAAGAGCGCTATTTAAAAAATTTCATTTAATATACTAAAAATTATGAAGCCAGTGGTATTTTGTTTTAAGGAACAAACCTTATAAAAACAAGAAAAACATGCGAACCATGCTAAGTATCCACCTCTATCCTAGCATGTTTTGATTTCATAGTGGCTCTTTGGATCATAAATTAGTGGTTGATGGAATAAGCCAGGATTTCTAAGAAGGATAAAATCTAGTTTTCCCTGCGTATTTCCTCACAATTGTATATTTAAAGAGATTTTGCCAATTACAATATATTTATTATTTTCACCAAAATAAATATTACTCGATGATTTTGATAGGCAGTGACAGCCATAAATGATGTATTTGAAAATGTGAATGTGCGGCATTTCATTCCAGCTTCATCAGAATGCACAACAATATGGATATTTGGTTGATAACGATGCATTGAATTTACAATTATCTGTGATTTTCTCATATATAAAATTTGATATGATAAACTATAATTCATTTATCAGTCTATTAAACTTATTATTGCTAAAGATTATAGCTATTTGCGAAAAATTAATGTTTTATTTATTGACCGCTTAGTTTAATAAAATAAAATATGAAACAAATTTGGCAAAATTTAGCAAATTATTCATTCCATTTAAAACAGCTTTTCATGCCATATTTACCAGAAATCTTTTTAGCATATGTTATTAATATTACTTATATTATAACTTTTTTTTCCTACCATATTAAGTCTATAGTCTAAATATAGTCGCCAAAGACGAGGTGGAAGGTGATTTCTCAGAAAAAAGTGGAGAATAATAAGGCGAAGATGATGTGGAACTCCTTTATCCAGATAGACAAGTTTTAATTTTCCACCCTCAGAAATCCGATTATATGGAATGCAATAAGACTGGTAATAACAACCAATCGTCTCTACCTTTCCGGTGAAAGTCTTTGAGCAAGATTCTTCAAAATTTATATATCTTATCTAAATCTTGTCCTAGGCTCTTGGTAAAGGACTCGAGGTTGAGGGCGACTAATACTATCCATAGAAGAAGGAATTTGAGGAAATATACATATATATATATATATATATATATCATTACGATCGTTATCTTTGGCAATAAAATAAATTGAATAAAGCCATAAGGAATTATTTTATTACTATTTACGAACAATTTTGCAGATTTGAAATATAACAGAAATGGAATTTGGAAAGTTAAAATTTTTTATATAATAATATTTAAAATATTTATTTAAGATATTTGAATTAGAAAATGTTTAAATAATAAATAATAAAAAAATTAATAAATCAATTACTATAATTTGTATAAATTAAATAATGAAAAAATTTTACATTAAAATTTATTTTAAATTTTAATCAATTAATTTAAATTAATCAATTTTAAAAAAATAATCGACACTAAAAATGAAACTCAATTTTTTTTCAATAAATTATAGTAAAAAAAATGTTTTTATAAAGGAAAATTAAATAAAATGGGAGGAAATAGGGAAAAAAATGAAGGAATATATTAATTTAACTAACATGTCCATTTTGATCCAACTGATTATTGGTTAACTTGATTTTGTCGAAAGAAATGACTTGTTTCATCCAATGGCCGCCTGATGCTGGCGATTCTGAATGTACGTGAACCCGACATGGCAATTCTGCTTCACCTTTTTAATGGAGTGAAATATTACTTTGATCTTCCAAATATGTTGCCGGCACCAGTAAAAAAAAAACAAATTGGTACCAAGTTAGTTTTAAAAATTAACTTATCCTTTCCTCTTCCATAAAAATACAACAGATATTTTACACATATAAAAAAAAAGGTTTGTGAGATAATCAATTAATTAATTAAAATAACTAGATGAAAAAAAATTAAAATTATCTAATATTAATATTTCCCCTATGTGTGCTCGCCATTTCTGGTTGAGCTCGCTCCGCTGGCTTGTTGGACTAGACAAATTTGTGCCCAAAAAATTGCTTGGCAATAGAAGCACAAATGAATCGCTAGGACCACCCGTATTACTGAGCAACAGATTTACTTCTGTCGTGAATAGAACTCCAGTATTGGAGTTTTTGAAAATGTGAACAACCCACTAAATCCCACTAAATCATTCTATCTTAATAATTTTTAATAATTATATGAATAATTTCATAAAAAAACAAACCAGGTCCGGCGACAATCCATTTAGACTGATGAAATGAATAGCGATATCTTTTATTATCAATACAGTTCAAGTCAACCATTATTGAATAATCGAGGTTACTGATAAGCCCGGTTAATGATATTTGTAAAGTTGGAAACATTCGCCTAGATTTTTTAAAAAATTCAACATTATCATTTTTCTTTTTCTTGTGATTATAGCAATTTATATCAAATCATTAATTTTTTATCAATGCATTCTAATCTTATTTCATTCAAGTAATTTTTTTAAATTTGCTTTAAAGTCAATATTCATAAGCTGGAAATGCAATAAATTGTTGCCACTTCCTAAAAGATTTACTTATTTAATTATTAACACAAGCAAGTTGATAATTATCAAGTTGATAATTTTATCTGATAATTTTTTAAGGAAATTATTTAAAATTTTTCCTTATCGCTGTTTTCTTTTTTTTAAACATCTTTTTGCGAGAAATTTAATTAAAATATCTATTGACTTGAAAAAAAAATTTAAAACGAAATAAGGGATAAAAATTTGTCACGAAATTTACTCTTAGCTATATATTTATTTTTTTAAAATTGAAAATTTCATCAGAGTAAAATTTTTTTTTTTTGGTATTTTTCTAGGAATGAAAATTCAAAAACTTTCTTCAATTATTCAAATTCGTAAAAATAAAAAAGTTCATTCGTTTTTTTGTTGAGAAATCTTAGTCATTTAAGAATAGAAAAACATTGACGTTGTCACCCGAACCATTTGTATTTTGAGGAAAAAAAGCCATGTAATTTAGTCGATCAACGATAAAAATAAAAATTGCATGCAAATTTTTTTTTCGTGAAAATAAAACGAATTTACACATTTCAGATGGAGAAATAATGGAATTTCACTTTGTCGAAATTTGCAAAATTTAAAATTTGTTTTTGAAATAATCAAAATTTTTACATTAATAAAATAAAATAAAACTTAAATGATTAAATTAAATTAATTAATTAATAAATTAATTAAAGTTAAATAATTAATAATTAAATAAAATAAAACTTTGCAAATTCATGAAATAAAATTGAAATAATAAAAAGAAATATATTAAGTATAGATGAGCATAAATACTGGCAATATATTAGCGTAAATAAGCATAAGCATAAATATTGAAAATATATTAATATAAGTGTAAATAATGGAAATATATTAGCATAAGTAAGCATAAATGCTGGAAATATATTGGTATAAGTTTATATTATTAAAAATAAATATATATTAGCAAAGATAAGTAAATAAGTAAGTACAAATTTTAGAAACATATAACTAACTGAGGAATAATTTTTTATTAAAAAAAACAAACAAACCTTCCATTTTTTGTGACAATCATTTCGGTATTATAGGAATGAAATTTGTTCCATAATGATGAACCTTCTAATTTTATATTAACGTTACGCAAACCGATATGATATTTATTTAATTCATTAATATTAAATATATTTCGTTCATTAACAATAGAAATTGTATGATTATTATCCCTATCAATGAGCTTATCATCGTCATCAAGCTTATCAGTTTTATGGCAACCATCATTATGATTTCCAATAAGATAATCAATAGTAAAACACTTATTCATAGTTTGAGAACAATATTCAATGTAAAACATTTGGAGTTGATTTTAAATAATTGAACATATGCAAAACATTTTTATTTTTAATAACATCTGGCAACAATATATTTACAGTAATTATAATTACTTTCTAAGTGTTACCGTAAGTATTTTTAAATTTAAATAACTTTTTTAATTATTGGAAAAAAATAATTGATGTTGAAAAAAATTTATATTTCAACTATATTTAAATATTTTAATAATTATGGAAACTTAAAAATTAAAAAAATTATTCTAATTCCTTCAAGGATTTATTTAATTTTTGATATCCATAATAATTCTTGCCAATTGAAAATTGAAATTGAAACTAGCAAAAATCGGATGAAAAATTATTTAATGATAATTGCACTTGCAAGAATTGTTGAATATTTCAAAAAATTCTTTTTTTTATGAAAAATCTTATCACAAATCTTACCACAAAAAATTTTCTAACCACCATGTAAAAATACATTGAATATTTTGTTCCTTAATAAAATTTTTAAATATTATAAATTTTTATCCTTAAGGATATATAGACAAATTTTCGTTGGGCACGACAATCCAATAATTTTGTTCTACTACAGTTGAAAATGACGCTTTGAAGAGATTAAGCTTCTTATTCAAAATAAAACCTGAGTGGTACTGGATGCAAACTTATTTTTGAATCTTTAAGACAGACACGCGGATATTTCATTTTTAATAATCAATGACAAACATCCCTTGCAGCGTGTTTTTAAATCACACATTTTCCAGCAAAATTTTCGAAATTTCAAATGAATTTCAACTTTTTCGATATGAAACTTTTCCAACTATCACCTTTATTACTCTTGTCATTACTATTTTATTCCCAAGTGCTGAATTGAAATTTAAATTTAAACATACATTTATAAACATACAAATTTCCGCTTGATTTATCTAATGGATATTAGTATTAAATGCATATTGAATTATTCACAAAAAAAGGAGTAACAAAATTTTATTTTTAATAACAACATATCTACAACAAAACTATATATTTATTCTGGCTGGGTTATGTTTTCTTGTTGTGTTTTCCTCATTTGACGAACTGTAATCAAATATCTCAACGTATATTTATTTTGGTCATATCTGCAAAAATAATCATCATAGAAATTTTAGCTTTTGGCGAATTTTAAGAATTGAAAAAAATTATTCTGAAGGTGAAAATTAGAACAAAAATTTTGGCAAAATATATAGACTCATTTTAAAGGAAAAACTAAAAAATTTAGAAATATTGGATAAAATTATAAAAGATAAAAGATATACAAAGTTGTGACAAGCTTATTGTAATCAGAGATGTGTTGTTGAATTGATATAAGGTTAGCCAAATTTGAATTACGATTCGATTTTAATTGACGGCCATATTCGAAAAGTATATTCTTTAACCAAAGCTGCCAAAAATTTATGTGACGCTGAACTTTTTGATTACATTCTGAACCAAGCCAGCATAATAACTTCTCTATATATGTAAAAGGAAGTGACCGAACTACGACATTCACTAAAAATAAAAAAAATCAAATAATAGGAAATGAAATAATAGAAAAATCTCATAAAATCTCATAAACGATTCAAAATCGCTTTAAAAAAAAATTACACTGTGAGATTGGTGTAGCAAGCAAGGCTTTTTCGATAAGCCCATTTTCATTGAGGCTAAGGGCCATAGAAACCGAAGAAGTATGTTCACCGGCTGCTATAGCCTTCATAATATTTTTTGGAGTTGTTTCTACACCAAGTTCAAATGGATTGAAATATAATCGATGATCTAGCGAATATATTGAGACACCTTCAGTCGAACAAACAGCGAAACAACGACCTAAATAATTCATAATGATACAAAAGTAACGACCAAATTTTGATGAAAAATAATTGAAAACCTGTAGGTGAGAAACTGATGGATCGAACACGCATTTCGGGTCGAGAACGCCGCTCCGCAAGATCAGAATGTTTTGTACCAGCTAATTTAATACGCTTTTTAAAATTGTCTTCTTGATCGCTATCAGAATCATCGATTAGTTCCATATTACCGAATTCCGAGAAATTCCGACGATTTACGTCTAGCTAGAATTTTGATTATATATATATATGTTACATACATATATATATATACATATATATATATATACATGTTACTTTACTTAAATATTCTAAGATATCGATTTGCTTACTTTGACTCCATCTAAACTTCTGTTAGTCGTAAGTTTGATTTTTTTAACCAATATTCGTTCGCTAACAGTATATATACAAATATAATTTGATTGACCACCTGCAACGATTAACTCACCATCAGCTGAGAAACAAATACAATTGAAATGCCTGAAAATATAAAATGGAAAAAAATAGTTAATTATCCATTTGTCAGAGCAAATTTGACAAAATTACGAAACATACTTGCTTTTTCCACTCGTTTCTTTTTTAATCACATCGTTTGAATAGCGTGCTGCATCTACATCAAGTCTTGTATCAATCGTACCCAAAGGAAATGATGACGAATCGAAAAGGCTTATTGAACAATCCAAACATAATACCTTAAATTTATTAACCCAGTGGAACCCAAACATTAAAAAAAGTGGGAAAAGGCAATGATAAACATTCTTATATCGAAAATAACATATTTACAAGAAATTATGAAATTAATATTGTTATTTCAAAAATTTTTCAAGAATTTCTAAGAAAAATAAAAATTTTTAGCGCTTTACAGCTCAGCTTCTTTACAGCAAGAATCTGTTAGTTAGTAATTTTTAAGTTTCAAATTCAAAATTTGTGAAGTTACCGCGATAACTTGACCCGTAGGAGAATATGCGACATCAAGCGCTTCATCAATCAGCTCAATGGATTCGGCTACAGATGCTTCTACTACATTCCACAGTCGAAGTGTTTTGTCCCAAGATGCAGATACCAAATTATTTCCTAAATCGATAAATATCAAAATATTGAATTGTCAACATTGAAAACGCTCAAATCAGAACAAAAATTCACCATTACAAGCTATTGCAGCAACTGGAGCAGTATGACCAGATAAAATATCTAATAATTTCCCGTTTTCGAGACTCCACACATAAATATTGTACAGATCTCCCGACGAAGACATTATCAATTCACCAGCAGAATCTGTTGCCAAAGAGGTAAGCTGAGTTTGTTGAGGGCAAATTAAAGTACGGAAATTACGATATCTTAATAAAGTTATATAAAATATTAAGTGATATTAATCAGTAATAAATTAAGAGAGGATGTTATGCAAATTTTCAAGAATGTTACATAGTTCGTTCATTCTTAGCAAATTTATGAGCAAATGAGCATATTTATTCGAAGCTGCATAAATTGCAAGTTAATAAAATTCAAATAGTAGTTAAATCATTAAAAATCACTATCAAAAATCAAAATCATTAAAAAAATAATGTTTAATGTTGATAATCTTATTTTTATTATTTATAATTTATTTATTTATAATTTTATTATTTAAAACATTGATAACAATTTTTTAATAATTAAATAGAAAATAGGCAAAGATAATTCTTGTGACAGAATTCTCTAACATTTTCGAATATTTTTTTAATTAACTCTAAAGACATCTTACCTTTGCAAATCATGAGCTCGCACTGTTCCGTCAAATGAAGCTGATAATAATACTTTGCCATCTGGTGTCCAACAAACTGCGCTTGCAACACTCAAATGTTCAGTAAAAGTCACCAAACAAAATGAAGAATTACAAGACCAAATCTTTACCTAAATCATTAAAAATCACTAAATCAAAATCATTAAAAAAATAATGTTTAATGTTGGTAATTTAATTTATTTAAAACATTGATAGCAATTTTTTAATAATTAAATATAATAATATAAATAAATAAATATAAATAATAAAATAATTGATTAATAATTAATAAAATAAATAATAAAATAAATTAATAAAAAAAACCTTTCCATCGTCCCCACCAGTAGCAATAAGCGAGCCATCCGGCGAAAAAGCAACAGAGGAAATTATCTCGCTATGCGATTGTTGTTTCATTACATACGTTTCACTTTGCCATTCCCATACGACCAATTGACCTTGAATACCTTGCCCACAAGCTATACCAAGCCAATCACCACTAGCATTGATGCATAAAGAATGAATCTTCAGCTCTGACACTCTAAACAAACCAGAAAAAAATAAGATAAATACTAAAGGAAAGAAAAAACAAAACGAATAACTGAAATTTCAAAATTTCAAAATTTTCAAAACCCAAATTTTAAAATTCAAAACTTTTTATTAATTTCAAAACAATTTAAAGATTATTTAAATATCGTAAAGAAACAACAAAAAAAAACTAATGAATACCTTAAATTATGAATTAAAGTAAATGTAGGCATTTCATAAAGTACGAATACGCCATTTGAAAATGCTATCACCAAAATATTCGTAGAAATGTGGAAACAACAAGCCGAAACATTAACAATTCCATCAGTGATTATATTTTCCATTAAATTTTTCCTTCAATACTATTAAATATTTTACATTGAAAATAATGTAACAAATAAATATTTAATTTCATAAATTCTTTATAAATTCTTCACTTTATTTATACTTTATTTATATTAATTTCAATTAATTAAAACTTTATGCAATCAATAAAATTACAGTGGAAAAAGAAAAATATTAAAATATTTATTTATATAGTTTAGAATCTATGAACTAACTTTCGTTCTTTTTTATATGTTGTCAGAACGACATTACTGTCGTCAGAACCTTTAATGCGTACACCTTCAATCATATCTTCTGCAGTCGATAAACAGTGCCAGTAATTTGCTAAACCACGTCTATCAATAGAAACCAGCTGAAAATAAAATATATATATGTAATATATATATATATATATATCCAACCAAATAAAAATAGACTTTGGGTATAAAATTTTTGACATTTAGAAATTTTGTTAAAGTTATTAAAATTCGCAAATTTTGTTGAAGAAAATTTAGATTTCTCATCTATTTCGCCAACAACCTATAATATATCAGTTAATCATTATTTGAATTATTATAAATTATTAAAAATAATTATCAAAAGCTTGAATTGCTAAGAAATAAATTATGTCATTCAAAAAAAAAACAAACATTGTATGAGTTTTCAACAAAATAGCTGGCGATAACTTCCCATTTATGAGATGCCAGTGCATAGATATATAAATTTTTTAATTTATTACCACCTGCAACGATACGAATTTGCTTGTCTTCAGATGAAGTTGCCAGCAACCTGAAAAACTAAAATTTCAATGCATATGAACTTCAAATAATCCAAAATCCTTTAATTTACCGTGAATCACCACTCCAATCTATTTGATTTATCTTATCAGCAGTTATATGAAACGTTTCTTCTAGGACAAATGGATTAAATTGATGAGTATGAAAACCAGCAACTGAAAATATCTGAAGATCACCACCACGACATACAGCAACACGTCTAAAAAGCAGGTGATAACAACAAGGCGAAAATCAAGATTTCAAGGAAAAGCCGAAAAAAATATCCACTCATTTTCTAAACAATATGGCAAAATGATACCTTCCATTTGGTGAGAACTTAGCGTCAGAGACACTCCTATTAAACCGATGTCTATAAAGAACAGTATGAGTTCCTAAATTCATATATAACGCATCGCCGCCTACAAAAAATTATAAAAAAGTATAATATAATGTATAAATATAAAAGTTTTAATCACTATTTAATTTTTTAGCTGTACATAATTTATCATATCAAATCAGTAAATTATAAAAATTATAAATTATAAATACGCATTTATTAATCTAATTAACTTCATCTCATGAAAATAAATAAATTCTACAAGAAAATCTGGCTAAAAAATGAAACCTTCATTTATTAATAATGCATGCGTTCCTTGTGGAGTCAAAGCTACCACTTTTATATTGAAAATAAAATCGGTCGAAACAGCACTTGATCGATTGCTGTAATAATAATAATTATAATAGACTAACAGCAACGAGTGATGGTGAAATGGCTCAGTTGCTTTCATTTCGGAATGATAATACTGGTTATATTCCCAAAATAAACCTATTTTTTAAGAGTCTGAGTAATGCTGGAGACTTATCACTCATTCGCAAAATCACTCGCTCGCAAAATTTGATTACTCGCTCACTCGACAAAGCAAGTGGAACAAATTTGACTAATTTAACCAGAAATGGTCGATCAGAAAAAAAAAAAATTATTAATATTGAAAAGGAAAAAAATTATGGCAAAAATCCACAATGAATGGATAGAAAAACTTTTAGAAAAAAATTTCATCAGAAATCCAAATATTCAAACTCAGTAAGAAGGCTCACGTTTTTAAATCAAATATAGTGATTTTATTGCCAGTTGGAGAAATTATAGAATTACCATCTGCCGTAAAAGTGATATTCCCATTACGATAAACTGCACCGATCAAGTTGGTAAACTATAAAATTTTTCATGAATATCTATAATTTCTTTTAAATTCATTATTCAAGTGTAATTTTGAGAATTAAAAAAAATGAAAAATAAAATGAAAAATTTAATTCTATTTTTCTATATTTCTATTCTAAAGATTCTATTCAAAAAAATAAAAATAAAATCACTAAATAACGCGAATTTCATGAATGAAAATTTTCGATGCAATAAAAAAATCAAAAAAAAACTTCAGAAATTCTCAAAAACTTCCAACTTCCTTCATAGTATTCGAAAAAAAATTTTACCCGGAAATCAATATTCATTGCAAAAATCAAGCGCAAACCATGATTCAATTTCCATTCAACATAACTGCAAATAATGAATTGAGAATGATAATAATAATTCGAATTATGAATAGCCGGGTTTTGCTCTGGCAGACCATCAAAAACTTACACTAAACGACATACCACTTAAAGTAGAACCTCGGATAATCAATACTATTTCTACAGCCAAACGATCTGAGGTCAAGCAAACAGAGAATATAGATGGCACAAATATTCATATATTTTAAAAACATAAGAAAAATTCACATTCAATGTTCTTAAGCAAAATATGCTCCATAAACACTAAAAAGTCTAACATTAACTATATTAGATCTTCAAATTTTTTTCCTGCAGTATTAATCACGCCTGATTATCTCCCTCTGTTGAACCATATGTTTTTCCCCAAAAGATCATTTGGCGACAAAAGCGTAGATCTGTCGCAAGTCCAACCGGAATTTTGAAAAACAGGTCATTTCTGCCTATGACAGCGATTTTTATAAACAGTTTGAAAATTTAATAAAAAGAAAAAAAAATATTAAAAATTCGGCACACGAAATAACATGAAGATATCGACAAATAAAGCAGAATTTATTTTTCATTATTTATTCATTTATTTTTCAGAAAACCACCGAAATAGAAACCACCGAAAAACCACATTCTAGAAGAAATGGCTAATAAAAACGGTTTACATTTATAAAAATAAATTAATAAATATTTTTGACAAATATTTGACAAATAACTATAAAAAAGATGATGAACAAAAGATAAACAAATCAACTTTAAAATACCAATAGCTAATTCCCATTTAATAAAAATAAATTACTGATAGGTAAAAAATTTATCAGAGCGAGATCGATTATCTTTTTACCAATTTTACCAATTTTAGGATTTTAGGATATGAATCCTTAAAAAATATAGCTTATTTTCAATATTGCCAAACAATTTAGATAAACTATATTCGTATTGACTGTTGCATGTAGTTCTTATGCCGAATTAGACAAATTCAATCCGGAAAAGGTTCAGTCCGGAAAAAAACTTATCCCAAAGCAACAACCTGTACCTTTTGTGAGAGATCTACGAGTTGATGTATTGAAAATCTGAAGACGAAGGATCTTATTTGAAATATGTAAAATCGATTATCACATTAATTATCTAATATAACAACATTAGTGAAAATGAAGCCACTTTCAAATCACCAATCACTAATCACGATTCTTATCATTAGTCTGAGCCACTATCCTTTTCCGCTTACTTTCTACAGCATCAAGAAATAGCGCAGTGAATACGATTAATGTCGCGAGATACTGGCGTTCATTTAGTACATTACCAAATATCACAATCGATAACAGCATGGTGAACAATTTCCTTGTTGTCGTTATAATCGAACAGGTCAAAGGACCGAACTCCGAAATGGTTTTAAAAATAAAATACTGAAAAATAAACGTAAAATAGAAAAATATAAAAACAGGTTAAGAACATACCAATTATTTCAAAGTTCCCAGAAATTTGAGTGCATTCGAAAGAATTTTAAAAAAAAATGGAAATAAATATTTTTTTTAGACAATTTTAAACAATTTTATTTCTTCGGATTCATTGCGATAGTAATGGTGATAAAAGAATGAGTAAGGTTAGCGCATCCACACTTCAAGGAAGATAAAAAATCTCCTCAGAGATGTCGAACCAGCTAATTAATTGACGCAATACGCCCTATCATTTAACATAACACTCTTCTTGAGGACTGGGGGTGTAATTGTTTTGACTCTTCCAGTAGTCAATGAAAAAAATAATGAACATTGAAGAATATCTGGAAACTTCGCCCCAAACACCATTTTTTTCGGGAATTATGTTGTCTTCCGAATGATGGAGAATATTTCTTATGCTCATATGCAGCGGTTCAGCTATATCTTGGTCCTTCGAAATGACTTATGACACGATAAATGACGTATCGTGATTGGTCATAGAGTTCCCTTCATCTTGAAACGTGGTCTCTGAGGGTTATTGAAAGTAAGATAATCCATCGCAACCTTAGGTCATTTCACTACTTCTCGAATTGATTTATGAAGGAAATGAATATCGCCACCACATTCAGAAGTTTAATTACAATAATAGTTTTTATCTAAGCGTTCTTTCAAAGCAACTGGCAGTTAGAATCCCCTGATATGCTCTGGTTTTATCGAAATCAGCTGGACAGTTCCTATTTAGGCTAGTTTTCAGGTGGCACATCGTAATCGAACACGTCTTTAATTGGTGATGCATAGCCGATTTTAATTTTATTGAGATGCTTCCATAATCCAATTTGAAATTTGTTTACTTTTCTCCTATCTTTTATAAATTTAAGATGGTTGAAAGAAAAAGGACAATGTTTCTGCGCTTTTTAGCTTTATGCGCACCTTAGTTAGAATTATAATAAGAAGATTGCCAGTTTCAGCACAACAGAAGTAGCTATCTAGTGTTCCTCCAATAATGATCGACTAGAATATAATCAATCTAGAGGGAGGGCTGGTGAATATGAAAAGTTGCAAATTATGACGCTTTCTCCAAAATCTTATAAAAGTGAGAAAAAATCCATGTTCCATAGCTCTTCATTAACGTACTAGACCCAAGTTTCCAGTTACAAAACCCATCGCGGCACCGCTTTAATCCTTCTTATTACTATTAATGAGATAGATTGAAAAAAGTGAAAATATAAAAAAATGGAAGGAAATTCATTAGAAATTTATTATTTTTTTTTTATTTTTTAAATTTTATTCCTACCTATTTTTCTCTGTTTCCCTGAAAAATTTTTCCCTGTTTCAATAAAATGAAACTACTGCAATAAATGAAAAGAATCGAAATTTTTCGCACATTTGAACAAAACAGAAAAAAAAAATTTACCTGTCCCATTGCACTAACTGCTCCTAATATAAGCAAATTTTTCATTACGAAAGGATAAATATATATAAATGAAAGAAATGAAAATAATTCTCCAGTGAATAAAAGTGCAACAAGAAGATAGCAGCTTGAAAACAGATTCATCGAATACATCATGGAATGTCCGCTAAATTTATAAAAACGGCGTATATTATCCTGAATTGCACCCGTGGTGCCATCCATCGCCAATGAGAAAAGCTGTAAAATATAAACAGATGGGAAATTTTTTTTGGAAAAAAACACTTCTTCTATATTTTGTAAAAAAAGACTAAAAATATTTAATTGCATTAGAAAAGGAAATAAAAACTATATACCAAGCAAATTTCTCCAAAGCCAATTGTAAAAATGGGACGAATGCGTTTGCCAGGGCTTTGTTCTTTGTAAACAAATAACATTACACCAATAACAATCATTAAAACAAAGACATATTTTTTCCAATTATAACGTTTTCCCGCAAAAAGAAATCCAAAAACCATTATCGGTACGGGTTTGCAAGATTTTCCTAGAACCTGAAATAATAACAGTAACAATAATAATGATAAAAATAGGAAAATATCGTACTTTTCCAAAAGTGAGCAACAAAATAAATTTATTAAAAATAATTAAATGAAAATATTCTATAAGGATATCGAATGTTAATAAATTTTAAAAATATATAAACATTCTGTAAATCTGCGTATTTAAAAAGTTCAACATAGAATTACCTGAGTGGGATAAGATATGAATTGTAGAGCATGATTGCTAGCCATCATTGCCAAAAGATATGATAAACTAAGAAAAGCGTACGTCTTCTGTGGAACTTCATCTTTATAAGATCCATTAAGTATATAAGCCAATAGCGCATTTATAATACATTGTACAAATACCAAAGCCTGAGTGAAAGTAAAACGATCGTTACCAGTATCGCCATATTTGCTCTTCGTTCTAAAATAATTTGACCTTATAATCCGATTTTTTATCAATACAGATATTTTTATTATCTTTGTTTTCATATATTATAAATATATAAAAATAAAATAAAGTTAATGGATTTAAAATTATAAAAATTAAGTGGGCGCAATAGGTTTATGTAGAACCAATGCCAATTTGCTAATTATTTACTTCATTTTTTAATCTTTATGAAATTAGTAAATATGTTTGGCGATTACAGCTTATTGCATAAGTCCATTCCAACAGAAATCAGTAAACTTATTGCTAAAAGCGAAATTATTCGTAACCTCTATCCTAAGTGGCAAAATTTAGCTTTCATTAGGCTGCCTTTTTAAAAGAAGAGTGGTACCGAAGTGCACGTGGTACCAGAAAAGATCTTTACTTGCGACTTTATAGACAAATTTTTTCTACATCACTACGAGATCATACTGATTATAATTTTTATAATCGTTATTAATGTTACTATTGTTACTATTACTATTATCAATATTATTATTGTAGTAGAATTTGTAAGAAGAGATTAAATGAATGAGTTTAAAGAGATGGATAGATATAATGCTGAAGCATTATATTCAAGCAAAAAGATGGGAGGGGGGAGGGAGGGCGGAAGAATGCCAAAGGGGAGAAGTGGAACTTGCGGGGTATATTTAAGGTGGTCTGAGGAGGGTTTCCGCGGAATGAGTTCTTCACAAATATAACATAGTCAATTATCTCGATTTGTTTTTCTTCTTTCGCAGCCGCATTCACCAAACTTCGTTGCCTTATCGCAGCAGACAAAATCTACCAGTGAATGCACACGCAGCGATAGAAACAGTGATGAGTCGTCGGTATTATTCGGACTTTTAAAAGATACCTCTTCGCCTGCCGAGAAATAGAAAATCACCATCAGCGCCTCGAACTGGCAACAGCCCACTCAGCTATTGCACTTCAGATTGCTACTTAAGAGGCGTTGCGACGTTCTCTTATAAAATTCCCCACTCTTCGCAAACGCCGAATTCTCTTTTAAGGTGAATTAAGGGAAATAAATGAAAATGAAACTAACATAGATTCTTGAATAATTCCAAACCATAAATAGCAAATAAGTATTCCACCACCGTAAAATAATAAAACAAATATTTGCCGTAAATGGGAATTTTTTTTAAATATTTCATTTGTTAAGCCATTTGAAATTTGCATAGAATTTATCGTTTTTTGCGAATGAATATTATTTTTATTAATATTTAACTCTTCTTTAATTTCATTGTCCATTTTTATTTATTAAAATACTAAAAAAATAAATCATTTTTTTCATTTTATAATAAAAAAATTCAAAAATAATAAAAAAATAGAAAGGATCACCGCCATCGCTAAATCGCACTGCTAATCTAAACTGAATATATCGATGATCACTGCCACTGAACCAGCCGAAACCGACTTTTAAAAAATTTCAATTAGCAGTTCACATCTTCCTAAATTTTTTGGAAGACATACTGAATTCTATTGATATTTTTTTATTTTATCTTTTAAAAATAAACAAAAATATCCAATAAAAAAAATTAACGTAAATTAATTTAAAATAAAAATTGATATTTTTGGAAAATTTGTTTAGTTTTGATGTTTTTCTTAGAATCGACTGCAATTTAAAATATCTCAGTTTCGGCCAACTAAAATATTTGTTGACGTCAGTGTTGTTGGGTCATCAGTGTCGTCATTGTTTTCCGATGTGCACTTTTGTTTGGTGCGTTTTTTGGTTATTTCTCTGACGTGCGTGGAATTTGCTTGTACGATCTTTGATTTATTTTACTCGAGAACTGACTTTCTTGTTCCAAAGCTTACTTTTACTCACTTTGGTACTTACTTACTCTGCGGATAAAGTGGTTCAGTGGGTTGTTACTCATTTCGGAGCGCCGATGCTGAGGTTTTATTCCCCGTGGAATTAAGCCTGTCCGAAAATCCGGGTGATGCGGGCGACTCACCTCTGCTTTTAAGTGACTGACTCCCTGTCGTATTTGTCTGGTGTGATAAGACAGCGGCGCGAGTTTAGCCAGTAACGGTGAGAAATCTTAAAAACAAAAATTTACTTACTCTAATTCGCTTGTAATTTTATTGTATATTTTTATTTTTTATTTTTATTTTTTATCGAAAAAATTTTTTTATCAATTGATTATTATTGTTTTTCGCACTCTTTCTTCGTTGTATTTTAATTTTTTAAAAAATTTTTAAAAAATTTTATAAGCCAAAAATTATCGATTAGAAAATGAATATGAATGATCGCTTTTTGAGCAATCGTTGTTGTGTTATGAGAATATAAAGGAGCATTCTTTGCTAGGCACTTAGTGGAAGGGAAATCACTTTGTCCATTATTCGTCTCTGGGCTTAGCTTGATGGCCTTAGCCTATTGTTAATGGCATTCGGTTTTTTACCATGGCAGTCATTTTTTGTACGTATTAACCGATCTATAGCCGAAAATATTCGGCGCATGTTAGAAGCAAATATTTGTGTGTGTTTTTAGACTATTTCCTTAAGCATTTCATCCATCGTTTATAATTTTTACTGGCACATATTTTAAAGATTAATTTGCTTAGACAAGTTTTTTTTTGAAAATCGTATATAAAGTGTAAAATTTGAAGTGACATAGTACTTTTATTGCTCGTTTATTTATTACAGCTGATTAATGCGAAATTTTTAAGTTATTTTTTCTTTTTTGGATTCGTAATTAAAAAATATTTTCGATCGAATTCACCTTTCAACCTGATAATTTTAAATGTTTCAATAGTACTAAAGTGTTTCTAATTGATGGACATCGTTGGTGATAATAATGATAATTTCGTTATTTCGGAAGATGAACAACAGTTTCATCAATTTGTACGCCAATATATTGTAAGTTATTTTGACTTTTTTTTTATTTATAATTTTTTGTTTAATTTTCGAAATCGGAAGAAATTGTTTTTCATGCTTTTAAATAAGTTAAAAATAAGTATTGGTTGGTTGATTTGATTTTTGGATTTTATTGTCGAAAAAATGAATCGATTAATCCATTTCCAAAAAAAATTAAACAACCGGAATTTTATTTTTCAAATGCAAAAATCTAATATTAATTAACTTATTGATTTATCATGTTTTGAACATATTTTCAGGTTTGCTTACTTTTATTTACAGTGATTTATCTTATTTCTTATTCAATTATCAGAATTTTAAAAGGAAGGAGTGATAATGATGAACTTTATTCGGGTAGCGAGGATTTCTTCGTTTTCCGAATATCGTTAGTTGAATTTTTTTATTTTTTAAGTCTTTTTTTCTTGTCTAAAGCAAGGCTTTCCAGTCTTTTTCTTGCACTGATCTCTTATAAAAGAAATATTTTTTTTCTATTGGCCCCACTAGAAAAATATTTTTTCCTATTGGTTCTCTTGGAATTTCTTCTTGAAGCGTATCATTTGAATTAATGGGAAAAATGAATTTTTAAGGTGATAATTAAATATGTTGCAATGTTAAAAAAAAATCTAAGGGATATTTATTCACGAAAGATTATAATTATTTATAAAATAAAGAAAATTTTTGGGTGTACATCTGGTTTGGGTGTACAAAATTAGTCTTGCCTTGTCTGCTTGTCCACCCCATTGACCCAAAGGATCTACATTGATCCTATTAGGAGTGTCTACTCCAAGATGACCATGATTTCAAAAAAAATATTTATTATGATTTATTATTACATTCTTATAAGTGCATAAATCGTTTCTATTTTGGTTTCAAAGTTTGGAGTTTACACATATTTCGCCTTGAATATTTTTCAACAGTGCTTATAATCTTGGTTTGGTTGCCTTCGCTAACTTTGGTGGTTGGTATATATTTGGCAGAGAATTACTTGAGAATAAAATTATAAAAAGTTTTTCAATATCAGGCGGGTCCCATTTGGACAGATTTACTCCTGTCAACAAAAACCGGTCTTTTGAGAGTTCTACCTTAGAAATAAATCATCGTATCCCATTGCCGGAAAGTTATGTTAAACTTATGTTTCATTCTTTTTTTAAAATAATTTAATTCAATGAGTTTTAGTTTATGGGTGTGCACATTTTCATTAACAATCTCAATTGGCGCTGCAATGTTATTACCTTTTTCAATCGTTTCATCTGAGATCATATATGTCTATCCGAATAATTATTATTTTCAATGGTTAAATTGGCAGTTAATACATTCTCTTTGGAATTATATTTTTGCTTTAAGTAATTTATCGCTATTCATTCTTTTGCCTTTCGCATATTTTTTTATTGAATCACAGGGATTCAGAGGACATGGAAAGGTACCAATTTACTATTGAAAAAATTCATATATTTCAAATACAAAATTTTGCATCCAGTCTTCATTTTGTTATTTAAATTCTTGTATCCAGTCTTCATTTTGTTATTTATTTAAATTCTATAAAGTTATTTAAATTGCCCTCAAAGAACTTTTTTCTTCAAAATATCCGATTTTTTATTTTTTTCTTATCACTTTATTGTTTTTTATATTTTTAAATTTTATATTTTAGGGAATTATGACTCGTATTTATGAAACTATTGCTGTTTGCATTTTGCTTTTTATTGTTCTAATATGTCTCGCAGATATTCTTCATTCAATTGTAATTGTGAGTTTCAGTTATTCAGTCTTGATATTTTTTATCATTTTTAAATTACTTTAAATTATTAAGATCATTATTTCATTAAGATCATTTTTTCTTTTTTTAAATTCTTTTATAATTCAGTTCAGTTCAACCTTTAATTCAATTTTTCGCTAATTTATTTGATTTTTTACATATCGAAAAATTTAGCATTTTCTAATTTTCAGTCTAACGCAACTTGCCTATCTCAGTCGTTATTAAATTTTACTTCAATTAATTTACCGTTTATATATTCCTGTGTTTCTCTTTTTGGAGTATTTACGTTGTTAATTACGACCCCAATTGGTATCCTTGTTTTTATTTTATTTATTCTGAGTCATTGCATCTTGAATCTTTTGAAAATTTAGTTTTTAGATTTTTCAACTTAGATTTTAAAACTTAGAAATTTAAAACTTAGATTTTTTAATAATATTGGTTATTGTTTAATTTTTTAAAGGTATTTACAGGATTTGCACATATGTTTACCATAGTTTCTTCTCATTTGTTGGCAAAAAGTATTAAAAGAAAGGAGTCGTGGGATGAAAAAGCTTGTCATCTGGAATATAATACATTTATACGCCGTATCTTAAGAGATCGTTGTACAGGTTCAGTTCCTCTCACTCCACCAGAAGCATATTTAAAAAGAAAATCATTAAGAGGATATCAAAAAATTCTTCAAGCAGTCAAATATCCTCTTGCGATAATTATTCTTATTCTTTTAACGGTAATATTTTTTTAAAATTATTACTAATATTTTTTTCGTAAAACCTTAGTTATTTTTTAACCACATATATTTTTTAAGGGCCTCTCATTGTTTATGGTAATTCTAAATATTTTCCAAATGTTGTTTGGGTTTCGCGCTTTATCGTATCGTGAAAATAATTCGGGGCATGTTTTTGGTATATTTGGAGCCTTAATTGAAATTATTATAATATGGTTAGTTGAAATTTATTGAATAATATTTTAAATTGATTTAATCTTTAATATAAGTGAATAATTCTATGCCTAGTGAATCATATTAGGTATCTTATGGTGGCTTCGCTTGTTGGAATATATTCAGTGCCTTTACTGAGAAGGATGCGTCCAAAAAAGAGGAAAACGTCGATGACATCTGTTATTGCAAATTGTACAGCAGTATTGATTCTCAGTTCAGCACTGCCAATTCTTTCACGAACACTCGGTTAGCATTCTTCCTAAAAGAAAGAAAAATAATTTTTAAAAATTAAATTTTAAAAAAATTTTTAAAATTTATATATTAATTTTTAATTAATTAGTATTAATTAATTTAAATTTTTATTTAAATGTTTCTAGTTTTGAATTTCCATATACATTCATATTGCAATTGCATATTTTTGTAATTAAGGAATCACTTCTTTTGATTTGCTTGGTGCTTATGGCAAATTCAATTGGCTTTCAAATTTTTCGCTTGTGTGGACGTATAATGTTATTTTTGCTGTTGCAACAGTTCTATGTCTAGTGAACCATATCACGGCCCCAGTCCGACATGAAGTTTTCAAGAGGTTTTCTTCATGGAAATTTGGATGAAAATCTTTGGTTACGTTATATTTTGGATAGTGTAAAATTATGCGAAATACGTATAAAATATTTTTTTTAGAATACGCGATCTGTCGGTTGATAGGGAAGGTGATTTTATTGCAGAAAAAGAAGGATAAAGACTGATAAATTATATTTTTTTATATAATTATCAGTAAATAATCTCCATCCAGTGTGTAATTATTCTCGCTTTTGAACTGTGTACAGAACAGGTCCGCACAACTCACTCATAAAGTTGAAATTGAGAGTTATCGTAATAGAACTTAAAAATTTTCTCAGTCAAAATTATTCTCAAATCAAAATGAATTTTTTTTATGTCTTTTGAAATTTTCTGGTTTTATTTCTGGTTAAATGTGGGATTATTTGACAAGTTTAACATCCTTAAACGATAGAAAAAGCTGTATGAGCTATAAATTGTGAAGACCTGTTGGAATATTTAAATTTCTATAGAAATGGACTAGGTTTTCTTTCCTTATTGCATTTTATTTTCTTTTTTTTTACATTTTCGCTTTATGTTTTTTTTTCCTTTTTGAATTTGCATTGGATCTTTTCTTACTTTCTTGTGCAGTACTGTGATCTTATTGCTTTATTCTTCACTGTGGCTGATTGTGGAATGATTATAGGCATTTATTGCTTTTATTGCTTATTTATTTTGCTGGTGTTTTTTAATGCTTTATATTTATATTGTTTGGTTATAGTAAATTGTTGTATAGAAGAATATTTTATATATGTTTTGTTCTTGTAGATAGGGTTATTTGAATCATGGACCAAAGGATTGTTTATTCTTGTGCATTTTGGAAGATTTAATCGATGTGCATGGATTTATCGGAAATTGGATAATCGGAAATCGGAAATATCGGAAATTTGCACGAGAACAATCTCTCATATTGTTGGCTTCAGGGGATTTTTTCCATTTTTGTTTTTACTGATAAAAATTTGTTAGTGTTAGCATTTCTTTTTTATTTACTGCTTTTATTTTTATATCAATGGTTGTGTTCTCTTTGTTGAATTTTATCAGTGCTGAGTTTTATTTTCATTTATTTTATTTTCATTGTGCAAAATTCATGTTTAATTAACGCAAAGTTTAATTTTTTGGTTTTGTTCTGATTTTTTATTAATTTTTTAAATTGATCTCATAGAGAGATAAAACCGAATAAATATAATTTCGATTAAATGATCAGTTTATATCTCTTATCATTTATTAATTGAATTAAACTGAAAAAAATTTAAAAATTTAAGGCATGGCATCTTCGTCACGAATTGATAATATAATCTTAGAATGATAAATCTATTTTTTTTTAATCATTATTTAGTAGTAATGCGAGGAAGAGAAGTGATAAGAGATCAATAATAATGGGTTTGGTTTCTTTTCCTTTAATTTAAAATTCGAATTGGCCTAAGTATATTTTAAGGGATTTGTGATTTCATCTTCACTAATCAAAATAGAACTATTAGAAAAGCAGGAGGAGATTGTAGCACAAATAATTTCGTAATTCTCACTGATAACGTAGTAGTGTCCGCAGATAGCTTTACAACCCTTATCAATAATCTGAAAATATATGTAACTGATTTCATGATAGTATGTAGTGTGATAGCTGTTCAATTGCTGCTTTTTATTAGGATTGAGCTACAAGAATTTTTAGTTTAAGATAAAGTCACAGGAATCACCCATCAATAATAGCAAAAAATCTATTAAACCATATCTCAAAACATTTGAAACTGGTTCCTCACTATAAATGTCAAAATTCCCAATTTTCGCAATTCCCCCTTTCTGGGAAATTTTATCTTGGCGCATTACGATTTTTATAGCGAAGAGGTTTGAAGCCACAAGGCCAAGGAATTTATTCTCATCCGATCTACATAATATCGCAAATAGTCCAATAATACCTACTAAGTTAAAAAAACTCTCAAAAGATTTTAGCAGTGGGATTTAGGTCGGTAGAAAATGTCAAATTTCAGGTCGATCTTCCTTCGCATCACCGATTTTTTATCAAGCGATCACTTATCAAGAGTAGCACCAAGAAATTCTCTTATTTTTGGCGGTCAAAAAATTATTTAAAATATGTTTTAGGTGATAACATGGAAGAGCATTATGTAGTTATTCGACAAGCCTTGTAAAAGTATTGTGATTAGCATTCACGATTTGTGTTTGGGCTACTTTCAGCAACACTTGGTAATAAGTATATGGTGACGACTCAAATTTTACAATGGGTAGGATTTATTCTTATTAGTTCAAATCGGATTCGAACCTATGGTACTTGGCGCGAATCGAAGAATTCATAATTCTTATTCCGAATTTTGCATCCTTTTACATTCCACTTCGCCATTGCAAACAGTTTTTATTCCATGCGAATATTCTTTGCTTCGCATATATCACTTCAAGCAACACCGGTGTCTCCTATACGACCTTTAATGCCCACCCAATATTTCCGTATGGTGAAATCGAAGCACCGCGGTTACAAGCGCTGCACCGAGCATACACCATTTAAAATTTGTAGAATTTAATGTCTTTAATGATTGATTAGTATAAAAGAATAATCAAAAAAAAGAAAAGGTCAATATTTGGGGTCAAAAAAAAACAAGCGATTTGAGAGTACCAACTTGGCTTATTTTTAGTTCGAAAAAATTTCAAAAATCCATATTATCGCTTTTTTTTCGGTGAATTTGTGAATTTTCGGTGAATCGGTGAATAAATAATGCAAAACGAGAGAAAACAAATGCAATAACAACTAAGAAATGTTCAGATGAAAGTAAAAACTATTTCTTCGATATATTATTTATCAAAGAAAACAATAATCGAATGATTTGAAACAGCTGTTATTTTTAAAATTGTTGATAGAAGTTGGTTCAGTGGTTCAATGGTTGTCACATGGACGAGGAACAACTTCGTTCTATTCTTGCTTCGCTTGCTATTTTATCAAATCAAGGATCCATTCCCGGTTATTTGCATATTTTCTTATCATAGGAAAAATTAATGAATTAACCTAGGACGATGGGAGTCCCGTCAGCGAACGAGAATACGTTATTTGCTATTTGCTGTCAGTCAAAATAAACTATACGGCTTAACATGACTGGCCATTTAAAATATGAAATTATGAATTATCGCGCCAAAACGAATGTTAAGGTGATAATAATGATAATAAGATAACGATGATAACAAATAGATAGGATTAATGATATTGTTAAAACATCGTCTATGTTGATTTTTCGTCATTTCCCATCGCAAGATATCTCTCCTTGCGAAACTTCGGGAAAGATGCTACTAAAAGGAGGAAAAAATCTGAACTGATACAGTCAGGATGGATTTTGAACATATAGGCGATCCAGTGATAGACAGGCCTAGGCGATGGAAAAAGAGGTGACTTTTGTTTCTTTCAGATATCGAGTTGAGCAACTTGTCCTTATAGCCCGCTGAGTCCACCTAACCTGTAATACTTTTAGAAGAATACAAATAGGTAAATGATATTAATTGTGATAGTCCTAGCATCCTTCCCTTCCTCGTCGAAGCATTTGCCGAGGACTCAACGTGGCTATTTGCGGCTTTCTGAAAGAAGCACCTCGTCCTCGAATGGAACCGAGAATCCTAACTGAAATCACTTCTGAATAAATCGACCACCATAAGAAACAAAGATGAGACTTTTCGGTTATTTAATGATATTTTAGTGCATACATTCAGTATATTGGTGAATTCAGCTGATTGCGATGAATTGGCAAATCAAATGCACCAACGGTGGTTATCGAATAAAAATTTTGGACGAGTCGCAGCATTAATAGTATTGCATTATCACAAAGTTAGTCAATTTTATCATTTTTTCAACAAATGAAAAAAAATTATTTAAGTAATAAATTAAAGAAATTATCAGAAAAGATCAGAAAGTTTCATTAGTCACTGATAGAGCGAATGAATAACGAAATCCTCGGGGCGACATTCGTCAAATCCATATTTGTTGCTGAGACTATTGCAAAATTGCAAAACGAGTAGAATGGCTCAGTGGTTTGTTGCTCAATTCGAAGCGTCATACTGAAATTTAAATTTAATTCTCCCCGCAGGAGTAAATCTCCTAGTAATGCTGGAAACTCACTTGTGTTTCTATCGCTCCTAATGGACTCTCTCGTATACGCAAATATTGTCTATTGCGACAAACGAGTGGTGTAACCACTAATGGTGAAAACTGATAAAAACTGATAAAAAATGCTGCACAACTGAATTTGACCAATTTCTTCTAATCATAACGAAAAATTAATATTTGTAATTAATATAAACTAAAAATTAATAATAATTATTAAGATTTATTACAATTTATGGTTCCTTATCAGTATAAATAGCTTAAAACTTAATGAAATTTTAATTAATTTATTAGGCTGATGATACAAATTTAACGTTATTTTCGAAATGCCTTTATCATATATTAACAGATTATCGTAATCGATTCATGATAAGAAATAAAAATCGTTTAGTATTCAGGTTCGTTATTTCAGCTTATTGCAACAGATAGCCTTCTTTTCTTTTGATAAAAATCATCATAAGCCAAGTAGTGATAATAGCAAGAAAGTTCGGCCAATTGTACCATTTTGACTTTACTACTCTCAATGATCTATTTATTCCAATTAAACCATGAGAGTTGAGTCCATGACTTCCGGCCGAAGTACTTGCTTATTATGCTATTCGACTCTGAATCCTTAAATCCTAGTAATGCAGCCATTTTGGGCTAATTTTTGAGCAATTTTCATAATATATAAAAAAAAAAAACAAATATTCATCAAACATTCATTTTTTGCTTAAATTCTTTTCCATGATTATTTTTCGTTTCGTTGCTTTATTTGCCAAATTTCCTCGTTTTTTGTCATATTTTGCATATAATCCATGTTTCTAACGAAAAAACAATTTAAGGAATAGCGTTCGTGCTCTACTCGAATTATATACAACATTTCGACAAATAGATCCGATAATAAGCGAATCTCTTCTAAAACCAATCTTTTCATCACTAAAAATGCTTATCGATGATCAAGCTGATAATAATGATATTGAGGTGAATATTTTCAACTGTCCAAAATTTTATAAATCGATCTGATTTTATAAATTTATTTGATTCAATGATCCAGAAATATCCATCAATGATTAATAATAAAACGCTTAAATTGCATTTTAATCAATATATATTTTATATTTTATATATATTTTATTACTTAATTTCGCAGTCATTATGTGAAATATTTATCGATAAAGGATCAATCTTAGTAAAGTTAAAGCCTATAAAGTGCGAAAAAATTATTCTTCGTATGCGAACTTGCCTATGTGAATGGCAACAATTAACAACAAATACTCGTCGTCTTCTTCTAAAGGTTTTCTTTTAATTATAAATTTCTGGATAGGTTCCATTCACGGATAAGCGCAATTTATAAAAAAACATGGATAACTGAATATAGAACAATTGAATATAGATTCAATAAAATCTCCTATTGAAGAATTTTTCGTTTCGAGAATATTTCGAGAATTAAAATGACACAAAAATTTTTGCTAATATTGCAAAACTTCAAAATATTTTTCCATAATCTTAAAATTTATTATCCATCAAAAATCTTATTTTTATGGATTTCAGAATGGAAAAGCGAATGGAACAATTTAAGCGAAATTTTAACAAAACATATAAATGAATGAAAAAATCTTAAAAAAACTACCTTTTAAGAGAACAAAATGAAAAAAATTAATAAATAAACATCCCATTTAATCTAATAAATCATTGAATGCTCCTTAAGGCAATGGATTTTTGGACATACAACTGGAATATGAACGCAATTCCGTTAAAAATAAGAGAAACATATGAGGATTATGATGAAGAAAGGGAAGAAAAACCACTGACATATGAAACTACGAAAGAAAAAAATGAAAATGTTATCAAAAACAACAATGATAATAAAGATAATGATGAGAAAAGTATAGAGAGTTTCGTTTGAAATTTTGAAATGTGACTAAAATTATTAATAAAAATAAAAATCGACATAATTAGCTTAAATCGAATAAAAAATGCAAAAATAATTTTTCACTCATCGAATTGAATTCAGCAGTAAAGTGTCTAATGTCTAATGTCTGAGGCTTAAGAATTGTTGACGACATACAAAACTTTATCCGAAATGGAAATACAATGAGCTTCGACTGAACACTAAAGATATTAGTTTGGTTGAAGACTTAACCATTTATCGTCAAATACAATTTCTTCATTTATGGCACGAATATTTCTCGATGATCCAAAAAAATCCGTTATACGAACTCTATTCGGATCCTATAAGATTCGAAATTGTGGTAAACGAAATAAAAAGAAACGAATGATCATAGAAAATGAGAAAATATTTAAGTATATCATTTTGAAAACATCTAATTTTCATAAAAGAAACAAATATATTTAAAAACCAGCTGAGTATTAATTATTTTTAAAATAAAATATTAAATAACATTAATATTATTATTAATATTAATAATATTAACAATATTAATATAATAATATTACTTTAGCATAAAGATCAGTACGAACGCCAACAGTTGATATACATTTTCTCTTAGGACAAGAAGCGAAATAATCAGACAATGTACGATTTGAAGGAGACGATCGTACCTCACGTTCGAGAAATTCTAAGGTGAAATGAGTGTATCGATCGATTATATAAACTCCGATGGATCTGAAAAGATAAAAAAAAACACAGATCAAATATAAATAAAACGAAAATATTTTTGCCTTAAAAAAAAAGAAAAAATAAGATCAAACATAAATAAAACGAAAATATTTTCGCTTTATATAAGAAGTTGAAAATAAAAGGATAAAAACTGAAGAAGCCAAGCAGCCAACAAAAAATGAAAATTTGTTGTTAGATAAATAAATTGGTTGGCAAAAAATAGGCTGAAGTTTAAGGAAAAACAAATAATAAAATAGAATATTTTTCATGAAACCAAAGAATGCTTAAACTTTTTCCAAAAATTTTAAAATTTTAATTCAAAAATTTTTTGAAAAATATTACTATTTAAAAACAATATAACAACTTACTGATCCACATCATAAGACAGTGAATCTTCACCAACAAGTGAGCTGCTAGTTGCTATCACATCCGGACTGTAAACTTTGAGATACATTGATTCACTCTGACATGTATCCACGATTAAAAATAATTCATTATATCTGAAAAATAAAGTACAATAGATTTTAAAACTATTAATTTAAATTTTAATATTCATTTTAATCCCAATGTCTGAATTTAAATACAGATATAATTTTTGTGAGAAATTGGTGGCATTTACAATTAACAATGCCTATAGAATACTAAATAATAGAAATTTGGCTAAAAATTTAGATGGGGCATATAAACAAAATTCGGTTAGATAATTAAGATCGTATTCAAAATAAATGCATCAAACAGAATTGTCTTTCCCAAATAATTAAGGCCAATTTTCATTAGATTTTCCTCCTCGGATAGAAAAGCTTACCTGTTGCTTTGGAACATCGTTTCTATAGCATCTGCAAGATCAACATCTGTAAGCTCTTCGGAATCTTGGAACTTCAAAAATCCATCACCACCATGTCCTGTCAGATAAATAAGAATATTACTTTGATGATCAGTTAAAAGACGTTTGGAACGAGGAGTAGCTGGATGCACTCGACCCGTCATGACGCGGATAAAATTTTCGACTGAAACCTAAACCAACATTTCATAATTTTTAGGTTTGAGAAAAGTATCTAGTTGTTCTGCCAAAAAAGACAACCTCATAACCGCGATAATCGACTTCAACTTCTGTTCCATATAAATTTATATATTGAAATTTACTATTAAAAACGCTACCTGAAAAGTTTAAATAAAATAAATTAATTAATAAATTTTAAATAAAAATCGAACATTTCTACCGCATTAAAATAAAATCACTAAGTTCCATCCATTAAAAATTGACGTCCAATCTTTAAAACGATCATAATAATAAAAAATAAATAATTCATATATTCTTAAAAAGAACAATTTTTTTATTTTTCTTGCACATGAAAAAATGTGAAGAAATTATAAAAAATATTATTAATTTCAGTATATTAACTGCAATTGTAAAAAGCATATTAATTTCAGCTTTTACCACTAGAATTATACATTATATATTGAACCTGGTTTTGGATTTCTTGCATTACAGGGCATGTCATCTGCGAGCATCAATATAATATTGCTAAAATTCGAAATCACTTGGTTATAGAGAAAATAATATTTTTTTCATGTGAACTTGTGCAAGTAGCAGGCTATTGGACAGACTTAATTAATTATTTTGAGGCAAACGCATCAATTTCCAATAAATATTGATTCCTTAGAAAAAAAAGTTTTATAAAAGTAATTTAACTAATTCAATAAGTTTAGTATTATTGGGATTTATTTACATGGATATTTGCCGAACCAGAAACAACATTAATTACCCGAAATATGCGATATATTATATAATAGTAAATAAAATAATATCTACCTTTTAATTTACCCAAGTTCATAATACATTGTTTGTTATGATCAAATTCAATCTAAATCTTCTCTAAGCACATGAACTAAATGAATGAACTTTAAATATCCTTATTTGGATATAGGCTGGACTATCTCTATTTGTCCTATTTTAATTTTGTTCCATTCTTTTTATTGTTAATTACCATTCTGTTCTTTTAATTTTAGCTATATTTATTAATATAATTTGTCCTATTTGTTTTTTCCATAGTATTAGTATACCAAATTGGATTCGCTTCACAATACTCTTTTAGATAGTCCCCAGTTTCGCCTTATAAACACATTGCTACGTCGGCTCTCTACTTTAAATAAATAAATATATAAATAAATCTATTTACTAAAGGATTTAAAAAAGAATAAAAAATTAAAAAGCAAAAATAATTTCACCTGTCAGGTATTCCCAAACGCTTAACGGAATGATAAAGTGATAAAACATTAGCAACATGCCGATAATTAAACCAAAATCGAGATGTGCATACTAAAACAGCCCAATTATTACTATGGCTTGATGGCTCAAAAAAAGTCTCGACTTTTTGCATTACATCACTACGAAATGCTGATACACTATAGTAAAGTGTAAATAGTAAAGTTCCAAGCGTCAACACTAAAGCCTGAAATAAAATTTTATTCAACTACAGAAATATTAATCTTTACTTTACAAAATTATTGTTCTATTATTACTATTGCTATTATTATTATTAAATATTCCAAAAATTTATTGATAAAATTATTATTATTCTATTATTATCATTGTTAGTATTATTAATGCTGTTCTTAATATAATTATCATTAAATATTACAAAAATTAATTTTTTTGCTAAAAGAATTTAAAATAATCAAAATTTCAATAACTTCAATCAGAAGTATTTTATGTACTTTAAGTACTTTATTCCAACACTAAAATCTTTTCGTTTGTTTATGGAAACATCAGAAAATGCGAAAATTCATGGCAAAGATCTCCAATACCAATCAAAAAAAAAACCTTTGAAAAAATTGATAAAAACCTACTTTTCTCTTACAACAACACATAAATTAATATCCACCAATGATCCAATTCCAGTAAATGAATTCCAGTAAACCGTTTATTAAACCGAAACCCAGTAAACCGAAAAACACAACACTGGACAATTTACGAAACTACTTCATCCACTACTAAAAAAGAAATTGAACAGTTACTATCACAAAATGTAATCGAACATTGACCGCTGCGGCCCACTTCACTTATAACGAGCTCAACGGCCCAATAGCACTGCTTCAACAACAAATCTAAAAAATGTTTATTAAAAATAAAACTGCGGAATACGAAAGATTGTTGAATTATCAGCTTTACAAATCAAAATTTAAACATTCGTTAACATTCCTTCAACTATTAAAATTGAAATTAAAATTTCTTTTCTTTTACTTTAACAACAACGATATGGAAATGTAAAACACATCGCTTGTGATACGCATTTCGAAGAAAAGAAAAAATATCGTTGAAATTTTATTTTAAAAAATTAAGAAACATTCGTAAAATTCAAAACAAAATTCAGAACTGCTAATCGCAATAAAATCAATTTGATTATATTTTTAATATTGCTTAAAGGCTGACAACTCGAAAATTTCGTTCGAAATCAATTATTCGCTAAAAAATAAACGCATACTGCGAAATCCGCAATACATAAAAAAACTGAAATTAGAATAAAAGTGATAACAATAATATTAAAACTGAGATCGAAAACAAATTTTTAATGAAATCAGCTTTGCAGTTCAATTCCTTGAATTAATGTGATATTGTCTCCCTTAAGCATAATTCGTCCAACTTTATTTCGATGCTGAGTTTTAATATTAACTTCTTCAGCTTCATCCAAGACAATATTCATATATTCGTCAAATCCTGAAGAAAATACGCAACAGATTTTTAATAAAATGAGACTGAATGAACAAAATCCTCAATTTGCAATTTTGCAATTTACAAAATTCATCACAAAAACAAAAAAAATTAAGTTAAAAGAAATTCAAGAAATTTGAAAGAGGTAAAAAAAGTTGTATAAAATAGTGTAATGGAAAAGTTATTAACATTAATGAATAGAAAGTAATTTATCTTAATTTTATTTCAATTTTTAATTTTTCGATTTAATTTAATTAATTTTATTATCGAAAATCCTATAAATCGTGAAATTCGAGAGAAAATGAGATAATTTTGAAGAATCCGGTTGTAATAACATTTTAAAGAAAAAAAATCTAAAAATATGATATGATCAATAAGATTAAATATGGCAAAAAAAAAATACCAATAATGTAGCCTTCAATACGATTTGAAATATCTTCGTAAAGCCAAATCTGTATCCTCGAACGATTTTGAAGATAACGAAAGATAAGATTGATAGGTTGTATCATAACCTTTTGAACTTTACCTCCTCTTCCAGCCATTTCTTTTTCTTAAGTGCAATTCTTTCATTAAAGAAAAAAAAAACAATATGAGATCGCAAGCTTATGCATTCATAAAAAATAAACTGATACGCATGTTTTTATCTAAGTTCATAAAATATAAAAAATATAAAAAAAATGTAAAAAGATTATCCGTGACGTTTCATTCCGATTGTATCAATTGCATACCACTATTTCTTAATATTCACTGAGTTCCTTCGAGAATTCATTTTCTTTTTTCATATCAATCGAAACCTGGTTCATTAGTCAAAGTACCTTACTTACAGTGCAGAATTGTATAATTTACAACAGATCAAGCAAAAATGAATTTAAAAAATGAATCTGATATATAGAAAAATTCCTGCGCTTATTACAATCGACTGAAGCTTTATTATTCTTCTAAACGCGATATGAAGCAGTGAATTCAAACTACTTAAGCCTGCGGGCATATAAAACGAACTCACCTCGGCAAAATTTTTCCTCTCAACAATTATTGCTATAAATTGCCGAATAATATTGCTTCTGCACCTCTAGTCATAATTAATTTTTCCTATTTAAATTTTAATTTAAAATTAAAATTATAAACAAATAAATTACTTAAAATATGGTTTATTTTGATATTTCACAATTATTCATCGATCTTTTACAAATTTCATTTAGCTTTTCTTCAACGGCAACTCCATTTCAATTGTTTTATTATTATTATTTAATCTTTTTTATTTTTTATTATTATTTTTTTTATTTTTGTTATTTTTTTATTAATAAATTTTTTATTAACATAATGCATAACTTTAGTGGCCTATAAACGTATGAAGAAATAACTGAAAAAAATAAATCCCTTTCCACCTATTTCTTGAATATTGTTGCCAAAGCCATAAAAGCCTGTAAATATTTATAAATATGTCACAAATATACGAACATCCCAACATGAATACTGAAAATAATAAGAAAAATGATCGAAATAAATTACTCAAACCGCATAAAATCAAAAAACTAATCGGGCTGAATTTTATATATCACTATCTCGCAGCTTCTACAGTCACAACCGTATGTCCAATGTTTGCTTGGAAATAGCCCTTAAGAAACTCATATTAAACAAACATATCAATGATATTAAATATTCATACAAATTATTGGCAAAAAACGAAAGTTAGAGGTAACTGAACAATAAAAAACAAAGAAAGAATAAAAGAGCTCAACAGAAGTCTAAAATGCAGCCTTCTCATTTTAGATTTACAAAACAAATAGCATTTTAGCGAAGCAAAATTTTCCAATCAGTAATTTAAGAGCGATTCAAGAGCGACAATAAATTAGCAAATATAAAATCCAATAAATATTTAAGCAATCGATTTTTTTAAAATCGATTCATTCGTTTTATGGGAAATATTTTGGAATTTGCGGACAGTTCTCACTGCTAATGCTAATTATATTTACTCATAAAAAATAAAAAAAATCGAATAAAAAGGTTCACAGAATGTTTGACCCAATTTAATCCCGCAATTCTCACATTAATCACCCTCAAAAACCACTTTTCCATTAATTTCAATGTGGAACTATAAAAATCAGTCGCAAAACAGGATGCTTGTAGAATCTGAAGGAAGACCGCAAATTAGTGGTTCTATTAGTTTCAGTTTCCGTAGTTTCCGTAGTCATTTCTGTGCTTCTTTGCATTGAGGTTGGACGGTCTTCGTTTGTTGTTGTTTTTTTTTTTTGGATATTAGTAATAATAATTATTTATTAAATTTCTACTTATTTCAGCTTATTTTAATTATATTTTTACTCTTCGAAAATCGCGCATCATTTTTGACTTCGTTGGCTCTAATCGAGTGGAAGCTGGGATTTCGGCCTAAGTTTGAGTTCGGTACCACTGCACCGGTTGGACCACTTCCGCTGGATCTCTAAGGATCTCTAAGCGGTCCGATATCCACTGTAGCTGAAAATAGTAGAAATCACAAGTCCTTTTTCCATCGCCTGAGTCTATATATCGTTGGTTCATCCGTGTGTCCAAAATCTTTCCTGACTATGGTAATCGAGATCTTGATTGATCTTTCTTGCTTTTGACGCGATCCATCGCAGAGCTTAGCCGGTAACGGAATATATGTCAACTCCTGTGTTGAACATCCTTGCAAGAACATCCTTAGCCATCGAAGTCGACGCTCTGTGATGGTAATATTAATGCAGATAGTATTTGAGCAGAGATGGATACAATCCACAGGATTTTATAGGAATTCATCCAATCGGAGGATCCGTATAAGATGTATCTTAAACATGAGTGCTCAAAGGAAGATAACTTCCTAATATCGTCCACTCTCACTGGCTATGTCTCGCAGCCATATAGCACGAGCGAATTGTAGCCACATACAAGCGGAGATTTTCGTCATAGATTTTCATGGTGATGGTGATTTCGGTCCTTCCTCACCATATCATTTTAAGCCTTCGTTGAATCTCTTCGCTTTGGCGTCATACATCACACCACTCATATATCTAACCACATTATTTAGCAATTAAAGCATTATGTTGTACGCACTATTCATTTTTCATCTTATTGAAATAAATTTAAGGTGTAATTAATAAGTGGAGGAAATGTTGAATAATGGTATGAATAGTGGTGAATCAAGTATTGCAGCACTTGATCGTTATATTGCACCAGGCTTACGATTATGGATGCTTATCGCGTTGGTTTCCGGGATATTACTTATCATGGGCCAGTTTCGTTTATTCTTTCATATATTCTTTTTGTCATTTTTTTTATCATTTTTTTATTTTGAAAATTTCTTTCTAAAATTAAACTTTATTTTAAACTTATCATTTCTTCTTCGTATATCAATTTTATTCAGCAGAATTGTTTATTATTTTATTACTATATTTCATTTTTATTATATTTAAAATCATATTATAAATTATTATTGAGATTTTTTCAATTTCAGTGGTTATTGTATGTTGTTTTATGCGCATAAGAATTCCAAGAACGAAACGACAAATTGATCTGATTGCTGCAAAAAGAAAAATGAGAAAGGCTAAAATGCCATCGGTCACATCACATCAAGGTTTGCATTTAATTATTTTCTTTTGGTTATCAATTATTTTTATTTTTTTGGGTTAAAACTGTTAAATTTCATGTAGGTTTGAAATGGTTCATTTGGTAATGCAAATGAATGAAAAATTTTGCAAATTTAAGATCTATAAAGTACTTGGCTGTTCATTGTATGCAACATTGTATTCTTGCAGTTTTTCCGATAGTTTTGGATTTTTTATATTTGTTTTTTTCGGAAACGAATTGTTGTTTGCAAATTGTGCCATTATATGATTAAATTGGCCCTAGAATTCAAGAAGCTATCGTTTCTGCAAAAAAAATTAAATTAAAAGCAATCTATTTTAAATCGTGAATATAATTTATAATATAATATATAATCTATTTTTATTTTTATTCATTGGATTAATTTATTTTTTTTTAGATGAACATCCGGCGATCTTATTGAAAACCGTTAAAGATTCATCGATTACTCGCAATAACAGTGGCAATAATGCCCATGATGGTGTGATCGTATCAGAAACACTTCCGTTGTTTCAGAAAACACGAACGACAACAACAGTTTGATTAATTTTTTTTGCCTTTTCTTCGTATTTATTTTTAAAGAAGAAATCTAATTTTTTTCAAATTAATTTTTTTTTTTTATTGTATTGATTTTCTTTTTAATAAGCTGACTTGTGAATATTTGTTTTTCTGAATTAAACTTCTTTTAAGAAAGCTCCCATTAATATATTTTTTGAAGAATATTTAATGGCTATTTCAAATTTTAAATTTCGAAATTTCATATTCATTTCCATTTTTGAAGTCTTCTTTTTTTTTATTATGAAAATTTTGCACTATATTGTTCTAAGAGATAGTTTATTCAGGCAAAAATACTGGTTCTAATTTTAATTGTAATGAATTGATATTTTAGTTTCTATTAAATTATATTGCCTTTAATAGATTTGCTAATTATTTATAATGCTTGTCTTCAAAACCTCCGAAATTAAGCTTAATTATTTGTGAATCTCTTCGTTCAACTAGTCTTTCTCATATTATTCGGGTATTTATCAGTGCTACTGTTTATTGTTTGATTTTATAATTTTATCAGAATCAGTTTTATGCATTTGATTGAAATACTTTACTTGTACATTTGTTTATAGGTAATCAGATATGTTTTTTTATTAGCGAATATATATTGATGAGGAACATGAAGATTTTCATTGATGTTTGATGTTTTATATGGAACTCAAAAAAATTTTTTCTTCTTTATTAGTTTTATTATATTCGTAATAAAATTTCTTTCGAATTTTACTAAAAATAAATTTTAATAGTTATTCGTATGAATATTTTAATGCTTAAGAAAAAGGTAATAAATATAAATGCATTTGATAAATATTATTGCTAATGTTAATATTATCCGTTGTTAATTGATGTTATCAAATTTTTCCTCTCTATTACAAATTTTTGTTATTTGACTGGCTTAGGCTTTAAATAGTGGACTTCATGTGGATAAAAATGTAAATGAATTTGAATTTTAATGGTAAGTTATTGCTGTCAAGGAAGATTGAGTTCTTGCTTGATTTTGAAATGGCAGAAGTTGCGCAATGTTGATAAAGAGATGTCATTATCAAAATTTATAGTATGTTTGTTCAAATATGATGGATTTGGATGGAAGGACGAAATTTTTGAAGCAGCGAGATGAAGAAAGGAAAAAGCGCCAAGCAGAAAAGTTGAATTCGCAAAGAATTATTCGTTTACAGGCTTTGGCTAGAGGATGGTTATTCAGAAAGCATTTCAATAGACAAATAAGGTTATTTTATTTACACTTAAGATGACTAATGTAGATCGCTGTTCGGTGTTTTTAATTATTAAAATTATCCCAATTTGGAAATATTTTATCCTTGAAATAATTTTAGAGAAATTTTTAAAATTATCTTTGTAAAAAATTTGGCAGCTTTTAAAATGCGGTAAATTTGGTTTAATATTTTTTTGAGTATTATTATTCGACTATTGTTTTTTAATAATTCTTTATTTTTCGATATTTTTTAAAGTACTTTTTTTCAGAAGGAAATTTGATTCGTTGTTCGGTCAATTTGTGGATTTGGAGAGGGATAAAAAAGTTTTAGTTGAATGTAAAGAAGTTTTACAAATTGCTCAATTATTTTTTCGAATTGTTAAATATCCCGATGATTTGCAGGTTCCATGTTTTTTAACTCAACAGCCAGCTGTTTTTGGTGTAAATTTGATAATTTTACAAATTTAATTCAGAGATTGTGTCAACTTTGTCGTTATATTGTTTTGAGTATTTCATTGACAAATGTAAAATATTCATTTGTTTCACTTTTCCTATCAAAACAACATATTCATGCTGCAAATCATCTTGTGATTAATATTTTTTCGAATATTTTATTAATTATAAATGAATTACAGGTATTTCCATCTTTGATTTTGCAGCACAGCTGTCTAGGATAATTCATCAATTGAAAATTACCATTTGTATTAAATCCTTTAAATCTTTCAAATTTAATACTTTATAAAATTAAAGTATGGAATGAAAAATGAAAATAAACGAATAATTTCTCTAAATTCAAGTTCTGCTGAATTTTTTAATTTTTGCTAAAATTATATTTTTTAGATTGAGAAGATCGCTGATGGCAAAATAATTTCATTATTTGTGCATTTCATGATAATTTTTCTTAATTGCAACAGTTGGGCTTTGATTCATGATAATACGCAGATATGTGCAACATTAAATCAAATGTGCAATAAAATTTTTAGCTCTGCATTCAATGATCCTTTAAAATATTCTAAATTATCGGTAAGTTCAATTTTTTATGGCATAACGGCTGGGCGAGATCAATGATTTTGGATATTTTTTTGTAGAGGTGATAAGCCTTTCATAAAAATATTGTCGTTTAAAGATGGTGCTGATATGCATGCAAATGACGAGTAATCGGTGAGTTCGATGCAGCATCAGTGAGGAAGCTGAAAAATGGGGTAAATGAATGCTATGAGAAGAGGAATTACAAATTATTGTTTATAGGTAGTTCTTGAAAGAATAGTTGCGTCAGGTCGTCTTCTTCTCACTTCAAGTGTATTCAATGGAATTTTCAATATTTTCTATAGGTAAAAATAATTTTTTCGTTTTCCTTAACATTTTTTTTTCTTGTTAGATAAATTTACGTTGGGAGTGGTCGAATAATAATTCAACTCCAACATATCTACCATTATAGACTCGTCCCTTTGTTGGAATAATGCTTTTATCACAAGAGAAATATTAATAGGGATCTGACTATTTCTATTTTTTTCTATAAGGCTAATGGATTTCACTGTTATCAAGCCAGTTGAGCGAACCAGAGCAGAAATGGTGAATTTTCAGTTTTTAGAAAAAAATTTTTTTTATTGCAGAATTTTAAAAAATGCCAGTTTTTCAAATGAAGCACTTGTTCTTTTCATACAAAAATGTCTTTCTTGCCCTACTCTGTTAATATATCTGTCAAATGCCGTATGTTTTTTTTTCTATTACCCTTTATCTAAATTTTATAAAAAAAAAGGGTAGAAAAGTTTAAATTCAATCATATTATCAATTTATTATTAATTGTTATTAATAAATTACATTATGTGAAGAAATTATGCGGTTTCTTTATCAGCTGTTATCAATTCCCCTTTTTGATTTAAGTCGTTTAATATCTTTTACTTTGAGTTTTAAATTTTTGCTAAATAAATTTTCTGAATTTATTATTTTATTTTATTATAGAATATCGATTTACTTGTACAAAACCGTGTATTTGTTAAAGCACTTCATGTATTATCTCTGAAATCGGAAATACTATCGGATATGAGTGGAAATCACGGTCTTTTTTTGCTCGCCAATCTTGTACATCTCAGTTATTTGGACCAAAATGTATGTTTGTAGTTTGTAGTTTTTGGTTTAATGATTTTTTTAGTTGTGATAAATAATCATAAATGATGTTTGTTTTCACTGAATTAATATTCTTTTCTTTAAAAGTAAAATTGCTTTTAGGGTTTAGTCGAGAGTTTATTTGATTGGACACATGTAATGAATCAAATATTGATAAGATGTGACAAATTTGCTGTAAAAAAGAAAGGAAATCGAAGCCACTGGCATTCTATATTGGGATGGTTTTCCGAACCTATTGATCGAAGGTATTAGTTTTCGCCTCATTTCTCTTATCTATGAAATGTTTATAATACTAATCGAAATTGATACTGGCAAATTAAAATCTCCTTAAGTTGTAAAAAAAGAAATTCATTCGTAATATTCAGGTAGACTGGTTATAATACCTAAGTTTATAATTTTCTGTAATTTTTATATTTTAATTTTTATTTTCATATGATAAGGCATCTTCAAAAATTTATTTGCAGTAGTAAAAATTTTTTTGCAGTACGGAAGGTTCATTGCAAATGGTTTCAAAACAGTTGCAATATCTTTGGTCAAAACCAGTAGTTTGTTGTTTATTTGATAAAGTTCTACATTATGATCAAGACAGTAATCATGCTGTAAATTCATGCTCAAACCAGCAATCACATGTTGACTTCACTTCATCTATTCAAAGTTCTTTTTTTATCATTGATATTACTTGAATTTTATTCCCATGGACTTTAATAGCTTTTCAGAATTGTTAAAAAAATTAAATATTGTTGGAACTGAGGCTCAGTTAAATGTATCTGGTGCCTTACCGGTATTGTCAACAACAGCTGTCGTTTGTGAACTCTATCAGAGTGCTTTATTAACACTAAAAACACTTCGAGCAGACATTCTTGCAGGTTATTTCCGATTTTTTATCATAGTTTTTTAAGTTTTTCAGATTATCCACTGATTTCTCGATGATTTTTTCAATTAATTCCTTTCAATAGCGTTTTTTTTTAAATTCAGAAATTAATGCTTATAATTTATTAAACGTTTAAAAGCTTTTTGATTCAAAAATTTTGTGATCTTGAATCAATCCATTTTTTCATAAATGTTTTTATTGCATAATGCTCATCTAAATGTTTTCCATCATTTTTAGGACTTTGTCGAGAGGATTTTCTTTTGCCTCAATTGTGGGAATATATTGTAAGCTTGTCTCCATCTGACAATGGTTTGTCTTATCATTTATCACTACTTCATTCTTATCCGTCTGTTTCTACTCACTTTGCGCCTTTGATACTTTTCGCGAATCTTGCTTTTTCTGTTATTTCGTAAGTCGATTATTTTTTAATTTTTAATTTCAATTTTTTACTTTTTTTGAATTTTTTGGACAATCAGTTGAAATTAACATTTAACAGCATTTAAAGTTGTTTAGAATTTTGGATGAAAAGGAAATGTACGAGAAAGGTGAACCCTTCAATCTGCAGCAGTTATGCTTTATTGCTAAGCTTTGTAACCACTTTTGTTTTCGATGCATTTGGAATGGATACCTCGGTATTTTTTGATCTTTTATATCTTTTTCTTCTAAAGTTCTCATCACTACTGGTTAGCTGGCTTCGTCGGCTACAAGCGTTTCCAAACTGCACGATCTGGTATCTTGGGTAGTAATAGAAGCCATTCCTTTTTCCATCACTGGTCCATCTATGTATTGAAAATCTTTTCTAACAGTGCCGGTCCAGGTCTTTATTGGTTCATTTTGCTTTTTGATGCCACTCATCACAGAGTTTAGCAAATAACCAGAAATGAGTCGAGTCTTATGGTGGCGATGAATTATCAGTGGAATGATAAGTGATCAGTGATAAGTTATAAGTGATCAGTGAAGTTAATGGTATTTTAACGAAGGTGGATATAATCATGTGAGATTTTATCCACTTGGCGAAACAATAAAATATATCTTAGACATGAGTGGTTAAAGGCACATCGCTTCTTAATATCCTCTACTATCCATAGGCCATGTCTCGCAACCATATATCAAGATCGGGCGATAATATGGACCGTCGTTGGTTCGCATTTTCGTACTATTATTCTTGGAAGCATCCAGTAATTAATATCTTCTGACATTATGCTCTAGCAGCTTTTTCGGATCGTGCTTTAGTTGGACAATTGCTTCCAGTATCCTCTATCATTTTTAAATATATTTATAAGTGTGTATTTATATTATATTTTATATATTTATATTAAATATATTTATAATCTAGTATAATTTTCTAGTTTTTTCTTTATTAGTCAATTTGCTAATTAGTCTATTACTTTGAACATTTCGAATTATCTCTAATATTTTATTTTTTATAGTTTTTCTCGTAAATATCTTTATTGTAAAGAAATGAAAAATATATTTATTTTTCTAAAAGTACATTTTTATTTTCATCGGCATATTTGGATTCATTTTTTTCTTTGTATTATCTTTTACTGTGATTATGGTCTAATTTTTTTATATTACTGAAAATTATTGATAGTCACAAATTTTTTTATGTTTTTTTTTTTTAGATTTTGACCAGTGGTCTTCTTCACAACTTTTTAGTTCTATTTACCAGTTGTGTATGCTCTTATACAATCGTGATTGCCGTCGACAATTCACAAAAGATCATAAATTCTGGATTGCACCGTTTGTTTCATTCCTTTTTTCATTCCAAAATGTTTCAAGGTTTTCAAGGTTTGAATATAGTAATATATTAATATTGCTTTGAAAATTACAAGGCCATAAGAGTGGGTTGATCGGTTGATTTATTCCTTCAGCTGAGCTAAGGTACTACGGACTTAATAACTCCTTTTAAAATTGAAATGATCTTTTCTGGGTATTGTGGAGCTATTTTTTCCTGAAGTGAATCTGTGGTGGAAAGATTCTCACTGTTAATGATGGGGTTATACAAATCAAAGATAGTGAAGAGGACTTGTGTAAAGAGGAAAAATTCGTGAAAAATTCAAATAAAGTAAAAATAACTTTCAGATCTAGAAAAAGATTTCTAAATCCTTGAATTTTTTTCAGAGATGTCAAAAGTGTTACCATAATGAATGAATTTGAAAAAGGTATTAGTCGAGCAGTTTTCCTTATTTCTCGAATGAGCCATTTGGTTGTTCTTCACGAACGGATAATTCTTTTTAGGTCTTTTCTCTGTTTTTTATTTCTTACGGTTTGCAAATATTTTTTTTTACTAAATTTTGATGTATTTAGTAATTTGCGGAAATTTTTTGGTAAAAAAAAGTTCAAGATTTTTTGCAACTGCATATGATTTTGTAATCCATAGAATTATCAGTATTTTTTGACATTATTATTGATATTTGTGTTGCGTTTTAGTTCGAAAATATATTTCATTTCATTGTAGGAAGTATGTTGCTTCAGAAAAAGAATCTTTAGAAAACGCTGCGAGCACAATGATTAGTGTTCAAAGAAATAGATTGCTTGAAGATGGTTATCGGCAACTTTCAATGCTATCAAATAATCTTATTAAAGGAACCATACGTGTTAAATTTGTCAATCAACAAGTATAGATTTTAATTCTTCTGAATTTTTTAATTCAGCTGAAAAATTTATGAATATGTTTGGATTATTACCATTAATGTATATATATATATAGCTTTAAATATGACAATGTTAAGGGTTTGGATGAGGCGGGGATTGATCAAGATGGAGTATTCAAGGAATTTTTGGAATTAATTATGAAAAAAGTTTTTAATCCAGATCTCAACCTTTTCAAGGTACGTACAGATATTAATGTTTTAATTCACGTTTCAATTTTCTGGATAATTTTAATGGATTTTAAAAAATTATGGATTTAAAATGGATTTTTATCAATTTTAAATTTTTTATTAAGGGAAATGAATTTTGAAAGAAGTAAATTTTAGTGAAAATATAATAAAGTAAAAATAAATTCTGGCTAATCATGAAATATAAAAAAATTAAAGAACAGAAAGAAAACGAATAATGATCCATAAGTTTTAGAGTTTTTTTCAGATAAAAATTTATATTGGCGATTTGTTTTTTTCTTGAAATTTAGGTGTAAATTGATCTCCTTCCTTTCCTTTAATCCTTCTTTTGCTGGAATTCATCCACGTATTGCTCTTAAAAATTATGGCTTGTTAAAATGTTCATCAATGATTTTCAGAATTCTGTTGATGGACGGCTTTATCCATCGCCTACTTCAAACTTTCATGAAAATCATCTTGATCTTTTCCAGTTTATTGGCAAAATTTTGGCGAAAGCTGTATATGAGGTTTGTCAGATTGTCGTATATGTTGTTTATAAGCTATAATTTCTGTTAAATTTTTAATTATATCTCTGTGATAAAATATATTTTGATTAGGTTTTGTTAATAACTTGTAGTGTATGGTTGTATATATAATTAATTTGCTTTTGATTATTTTAATGAGCCACAGGGTATTGTGATCGAAGTTCACTTGGCACCTGTATTGCTTGCCACAGTATTGGGACGAAAATTATGTGCATTCGACGAACTTTCTCAACTTGATCCCGATCTTTACAAAAGCTTGATGTATGTTAAACATTATGCTGATTCTGGTGACGTAGCTGATCTCTCGCTCACTTTCTCTATCGATGAAGATGTCTTAGGACGTGTGAAAACGGTCGATTTGATCCCGGGGGGTCGTACTGTACAAGTTACTAACATGAATAGGTATGATCAAAATTATTTAAAATTTCCATTTTCCAATTTTTCTAATTTTGTATCTCTAGTTTTAGTTATCTTTTATCAGTCTAGAGTTTAAGTTAATGAAGAATATTTCAAAACAACTAGGTGAGAAAAGCTAAATTTCGAACATTTAAATTTTTCGGTATTTATTATTAGTTATTAGTGATTTTAGCGTATTTTATCTAGAGCATTATTTTCTAATTTTTGCTTAGCGGTTCTTTCAAAATTTAAAGAAGAAATGCCAGAGAAAGAAAATTTCCACTGGAATTTCCACTGGGATCTACATCATAAAAATGTTTACTCGATATAGAATCGCTTATGTACACAAAATGGCGCATTACCGAGTATTTAATCAAACCAAAGAACAATGTCGATCTTTCGTTTCGGGATTTCAGTCGATCTTAAATGGAAATTGGCTATCATTATTCGCTCCTCACGAATTACAATACCTTATATCTGGCCAGACATCGTTTGTTTTTGAATATTTGCCTTTGAGACATGAAATAACATTTTTTTCATATATCTTTTTGCTTAAAAAATGCATGATTAACCTATCATTGTTGTTCTTTTTTTTTACAAAGTAATAATCTTGTTAAAGAGATATCGATCTGCATGATCTGAGGAAACATGTTCAATATTACGGTGGTTTTCACAACAATCATCGTGTGATAAAATGGTTGTGGCAAATTCTTGAATCAGATTTCGATGTGGAAGAACGTCATTTGTTTCTGAAGGTATAATTAGTTATATATTGGTTATCGCTCATCATTTCTGATTAGATTAGCTAAATTAATCGTTAGTATCGTTAGTTCGGTTAGAAATTTTTGCTGGGAAATTATTTGTCGATAGAAATACATATGGATTGATGAATTGTGTCACCATTCAGAATCTCTTGAAGCTTCTGCATTGCAATTTTTATATTCTTAAAGAAACAAACTGAAGATCGAGTTTGCGAATTATATACTGCGGGTAATTTTAAGGCAATATTTCATAATTTTGACGTATTATTATTCCGATTGTTAATAAGGTCTTTCAGTTTGTGACGAGTTGTTCTCATGCTCCGTTACTTGGTTTTGCGTACCTTGAACCGAAATTTTCCATTCGTTGTGTTGAAGTATCCGATGATCAAGTAAAATTTAGTTTTATTTTAGTGATTTTTGATTCTCATCGACTCTCTGCACTTTAAATGTTCAATTTTTCTGCATATTTCGAAAATTTTATGAAAAATATGAAATTTTAATTCAAAAAATATTATATAGATCTCACAAAGCTATATAAAATATGATTTCTAAAATTGTTTTCAATATTTATCTCTTCATATTGTATATTTTTTCTATGTTGTGTTTCTCGTTCCCTTGCCATACCTCTGCGAGCAACAAAAACCACTCATTTTTCTTCTGTCTAAGTCCATATATCGCTAGATCGCCTATACGTTCACAGTTTCTGACTATAGTAATCCATGCCTTAATTGATCCTTTTCACTTTTGACACGGTTTTTCACAGGATTTAATAGCGAGGTGTTTGTCGATTTAAGTAGGAATGGTCAAAGGTAGATATCTTTTGCTCTCATTGGCATTTTGCAGAACATACTTGTTCACGCTACGAACAGATAGATGAATTTTGGTTTTGATGGTGTTTTCGCGTTGCTTCCACATTAATTTCGTAGAGCGGAAGAATGCATTTGATGAAGCTGAATTTCATCTTTTCCATTCTCTTGCCCATTTGCTAATGGAATGGATCCAAGATATTTAAATCTAATCGCTTTCCACAATTGATGTTGAACAAATAGAAATAGGGTTTTTGTTAGCATTTGGTATATTAAAAGAATACATTCCCATCTTATTTACGTAAATCCGATGTCCGATTTTCACGCGGTCTAGCCCTTTTGTGACTCTGAGCAAAGAACAGTAAGTTAGTGTATTCATGGTCTGTGGTGCTACACTCTGGATTAACCTTTATAGCCCTTGAGTTGCCTACAGGTTTGCTATGTCCATAATCCATATCGAAGAGATATTTCTCTCATACATTTAGATTTGTGTTGATCTACGCTGGAAAAATATGAGTGGAAGATTCTCTAATATATCGTCACATTCCCTCATTTTGAGATATTTGAAGAATCCCCTCGCCTATTTTTAAATAGCCTATTACGTTAATCTAAAAACCGTTTAATGGAATTCCCTTATGTTTTTATTTCAAATTAGAGTCATTATTGAAGTTTTCTTTGCTCGTTTGCGGTGAAGTTAATTGACTTAGTTAGTTTCAGGGATTCTCCTTAGAAGATTTTGGGAAAAATCGTAAAGGAAATAAATTTAAATCGTAAAATTGTTGTGAAATTGCATTAGAAATATTTTCATTTTTATTATAGAATTTATATTACTTCTTATAAAAATTCGTATAAAATTCATAAATTTTTGCAAAATACAATTTTAGGAAACACTGAATTGCAGAAATATATTTCAGGATCAGGGTGATACATTGGTTAGTGTTGTTCGTGGATTTCTTGCTATCAAGCGCCATAAATCTCCTACTCGTCTACCAACGGCATCAACATGTTTCAATTTATTGAAATTACCAAATTATAATAAAAAGTCGGTTCTTTTGCAAAAATTGAGGTATGCGATTCATTCAGAAACTGGGTTCGAATTGAGCTGAACAAACATTTCATGCAATTCATGAAATTTATAATTTTATTGTTCACTTTACCATCTTTGTCTTTTTTTTTTAGTTTATATAGTTTTTTTGTTTATCAAATTTTTTTAGGTCACAGGCCATTTATTTTAGGCTGAGTGATTTCGATTTGTAGTACGAGTAGAAACTTCTTTTTATTTAATATTAGCGATTCGTCTTTATTGTATTAACTGATCTCCCTTAATCCCTTTACTTTTTTTCGCTAGCTTTTACTGATTTGTTTTATTTAAAAAACATTAATCTCAGTTATTTTGTATTTTCCTACTTGGAACCTACTTGGAACTATATAAAATTAATGAAATTAAGTTTTTCTGCCATTTTTTTTATGTCGAGCTGAAAAGAAGAATGTTGTGATGAAAGAATGCCTTATATAAGCTTTAAAAGGCGTTGTATATCATATAATATATTTAATGAAGAAAAAGAAATAATTACTAAAATTGTAATAAATATTGATATCGCAAAATTGCAATTTACAAGAAAAAATGATTGTGGATTAAAGTTTTTAAAAAATGAAATGGGATAAGATAAAAGATAAAAAGATAAGATAAGATAGAATCTTCAAGTAGAATATTATGGAACTTTCTCGGGTCAAATAGGTAGTCTTATGAATTTCTCTTGAATATATATTACGCATCTAGTACGAAGCTGTTATGGGTATCAATAATTTATTTATTCAGTAGTTGAAAATTTTATTATTCAACTTTGGAACTTACATAACAAGTAGCAAGAGTTCGTATAAGAGTGAGATTGACGGGGAATCAATTTGATCCTTTGAGAGGAATAATTTTACCATAAAAATGAAAGTACAATTTTCTGCAAGGATCTCTTATGCGTTTGCAATTGTTCTTAAAAGAATGGTGCTTTCTTTTCGAATTCCTCGATTTTTTTCGAGTACCAATTTTGGAAGTATCAATGGCCGTGTATTTCATTTTATAAATTTCTGGGTACCAATGGTGGTGTATCTTGTCTTATAAATTTCCGACTGCCAATGACGATTTACTTCATTCTACAAATTTCCGAGTACAAATGATGGTGCATTTTATTTTATAAATTTCTGAGTACCATTGGCGATGTATCGTTTTCGGGCCGCGTTTTCCTCATTTATCAAAGAAATAATAAGCGGTTTCTTCTTGCAATATTATATTTATATTTAATATCGAAAAATACGTAAATAATTTAATCATTTAATCACAGAAAGTTATATTCGTTGTGATTTCTTTTTTCATTTAATCACTCGAAAAATCACTTATTTCACTGATAATTTTTCATTGATAACGGCAATTTTATCATTGATGTTGATAGTTTTATTACTTTCATCGGTACTTTTATCACTAAGATTGATAATTTTGTGGATTGGATTTCGTAAAAACAAACTTGAATAAATTTTTCTTTAAAAACAAAAATTCTTTACACATCGATCATTTGAATTTATTTTCTATAAAATTTTATGGTCGTAGAGTCGATTTGCTATTTTCTTCAGCTCGAACTTTAGCTCGAGCTAATACTGAATTTTAAAAGTTCGAATAAGTAATCTAAGGTTTTAAACTTTTAACTGAGAACTGATAATAACTGATAACGGTTCTTATAAGCAATAGTAATTTTAGAGATTCCGATAACTAATAATGATAGTAATAACTAATAATAAGGACGATTGATTTAAGAACCCCAAATCGTACTGTACTATTGCTCAGTGTTATTAAAGGAATTTCATGTTTCTGGGATTTTGAGAGATGAGAAAGCTAAGATTTTATCATAGTTTTATTTATCAATGAACAGATAGCCGTTGGCGTTGCTGTTAAATGGTACTCGTGGAATTCGCGCTCCTCAATATTTCCGTCGAACGAGGCCTAAAAACTTTTGCTGTTTTATATTATCTATTCTTCTTTTTAATTGCACCACCTTTTTCGATATTTTTGGCAATTTATCTTCTTTTTACGTCGTTTTGGTTCGTTTTTTTCTTCTAAATTTAAATTTTGCATAAAATATTTTTTAAATTTAATTTTTTCTTAGAAAATTTCAATCTTTTTTTTTTATATTTGAATTTTTTCCGAATTTTTTCATAAATTTTTTAATATTTGCGGAAATTGATTTTTATAAAAGTTATTTAGGTGGATTGTAGTTTTATACGCGGTTTGGTTCGTTTACGATTACCGTACGCCAGAGCGGTGTTCGAGACCGCTTTTTTTATGCCGAAATTCGAGTTTATGGACGTATTTCGCGGATTATTTCCCTATGAAATTGATTAAAACATGTGAAATTCCATCAGAAAATTGTTATATTTTTGGGTAAATGAAAATGAAATTCCTTTTATTTTCTTTAATTATTTATCAAACACTTTTAAATTACACAATTAACTTACTAATTTTCATTTAGTTCCACAGGTTTTAAGTTTCTTATTATTGGATACTGTAATTATGGTTCTAAAGGTGGTTGAATCATTTTATTTCTTTGGCTGCTTGAAGGCGAATGGAATGGATTGTTGTCATAGATGGAACTTAGGATCCACCTGTCTATAGATTCATTATCTATAGATGACTCTCTGAGAATAGAAAGAGAGTCTCAATAATTAATATTTAATAATCAGTACCAATGTTAGCCAAAACTTGAATTGACTGTATGCTATAATAATAAAAGAATTGTGGTACTATACTGCACTAATTTTATTAAACTTATATATTTTATAGCGATTAAATTATTTAAATAACTAATTTTTTAAATTTCCCTGTCTAATTCTAAAAATATTTAAGGTGTCATCCTCATGGCGTAATGAGTATGGGCACATTTACGACTTTTTGCACGAATGGAACTGGTTTTAACGAAAAATTTCCTGGCATTACTGCTTATTTAGCTACATTAGAAGGTCAATTCTGGTTTCCATTCAGGCGAGAATATATTCTTACATACGGTAGTTCTTCTCCAAATTAATTTTTATTAAAATATTTAAAGTTTTAATAAGAATTTTAAGAAATATCCTTTTTTTTAAAGGAATAATATCTTGCAAAAAGAAAAGTATAAAATATGCATTGGAAATGGGAAAAGGTGTTGGAGTTGCAGTAGTTTTGGGTGGTGCACTGGAAGCTTTAGATGCTCATCGTGATTGTTATGATTTAATTCTTCTTAAGCGCAAGGGATTCATCAAATTAGCGCTTGAGACTGGGTGAGTTCCAACTCTATTTCTTATTTCTACGGTGAATAATAATTTTTTGTATTTCATGATAACAAAATAATAACAAAAAATAAACAATCAAATAATAATAGTGATAATAGTGATAATAGTAATATTAATAATGATAATGATAGTAATAGCAATAAAAAATTTAGGGCACATCTTGTTCCGGTTTATAATTTTGGTGAAAACGATATTTTTAATCAAGTCTCGAATGAACGAGGATCTTTTCTTCGCTCATTTCAGGTATCGTCGAACTCATTTTTTAATATTTTCATTTTTTGTCAAAGTTTTATAGAAATATCCCGTTTAATTTTTTTCCTTTATTTTCCTTTTCTTTTTGTTTAATTCTTTCATTATTTTTTTCAAAATTAGCGACTATGATTTATATTTCTAGGAAAAACTTTCTCAATATACTGGATTCAGCTCACCGATCTTTAGTGGTTGTGGAATTTTCAATTATAAATTTGGCATATTGCCGTTTCGAAAGGCGATTCATACCGTAGGTGAGGAAAATATTTTTTTTTCCAAAAATGCTCACTAATTCTATTTAAGCTCACTGCTTCCAAGGAATCACTTGGCGATAGACGACCAGAACTAAAATTTACATATAGCTTTATTTTTTCTTTAATAAAAAATAACAATATTCGAGAGGAAATCTAAGTAATCTAAGTCTAAATGAAATAAGTCGCATGGATGCAAGGAATAGAATGATCGAGTGGGCAATTGTAATGGTTATCCGAAACGGCAATATGCCAAATTTATAATTTAATGGAGAACATTAAAAGTGAGATCGAATATTTCTGGCGATTTCCACTTATACTTTTATCACCAAATAATGACCGTTGTCAGAAGAATAAGCAGGCGATCTCATTTATGGAAATTTTTTATTCGAATCTTTTTAAATAGGCTAAGTAGGTGATTAAAAATAAAGCGAAATTGAATAATATTGGAAAAAAAAAACTTTTAAAACTTGCAAAATAAGGCTTATTGCAAAAATCTTTAATATTGGAATATACTTAGAAATATTATATTAAATATAATTCTAAAATATTACTTAAAAGAATAGCATTTCTTGAATTTTTTTCATTTGACTTTATTCTTTCATTTTTCAGTTGGACGCCCAATTGCGGTTGAACGAAAAATTAATCCAACATCTCAAGAAATTGATGAACTTCATGAAATATATTGTACCGAATTGCAAACACTATTCGATTCACATAAAACAAAACATGGTATTGATGAAAATATTCATCTTAAATTTTATTAAAACTCAAAAAGTTATTCAAAAAAATTTATCATTTTTACTTTTATCATTTATCACTTTTTGAATAAAACTACCTCAAGCGATATTAAGTTAATTTCATTTTTCATTTCACCGAGAATTAAAATTTGAAATAAACCATCAATCATCAGTTTATGCATCAATTAATAAAACGTATATTAGGTAAAGAATGCCTCAGTTTGTACTACAGCCAATAATGCCGCATATTTTTTTACTTTTAGTTGATTTTTTGCCGGAAACAACAAATTCTCGTCTTAAACAACAAATAATCAAAATACTAACGTATTCGCATGAGATGATTGGTGCCATATTAATTTATCCATCTCTACTAGGCTGATAAATTTATTTAGGCAAATGTAATCATTTCGACATTTCCATATAAAAGTTGTAATATTTTGATATCGAACAAATCGAAATTATTCAATTCAAAATGCCAAGGTGTTAAAAAATTGTCGTCTTTAAATATTTAAAAAAAAATTACTTTTTATTTAAAAACTTTTCATGCTTTATAATCAAAATTGGACATTTGAAACATCAAATTTTTGTCGGTTTGATTCCAGATAGATTCATGTTTTACTAGACTTTTAATGTGAAACAATGGTTGGAAATTGATGCCTTAAAGAAAATACACTGGATAGGCATAAATTCGGAAATCAACTGAATTGTAAAAATTTATGAGGAATTTAAGTGGATGAGATGATAAATCTTAAAAAATTCCGAAATCAAATTGTGCAATAAAATGCAAAGAAAAATAAATAAATAAATAAAAATCAATTAATTTACATAGCGAAAAAAAATTTACATAAAAGATTTCAAAATTGTTTTATTTCGGTTTGTCAAATATACGCAAACATTTGCCTCTCGAAAACTGCTTCGCTAAAAATATCAAAAATATTAAACTATTCTTAAATAAAACTCTTATGCCTTCTTCAATTTCCACTTTTTAAAAACAGTGGAATAGAATTTTGATAATGAGAATTGCTATTGGCGATTTTGCGCTCATTGTAAAAATATGGTCAAAAGGAACATAAAACTGAAAATAGAAAAAAAGTGGAAAGAATTAGTTGTTAAATAAAATTTTTTAAAATGATAATAAAAATAAACCCTCTTCAAGACCAACAGTATACGCGATATTTTGCAACTTTTTAACATATTCCATCAACTGATCAGGACTGAGTTGGCCAAGATCTATAATTTCAAACTAGTTTCAATGCATTCTAGCAAAAATTATTCATTTTCGTCGTACTAATTTCATATATTATTTGGAAATCTGATTTCATAAATATAATATTTTGCCTTTAATTTGACAAAATCAAAGGTATTTTTGATATTGGCGAGCTCAATTCTGACAAAACCAGTATTAATTAGTGATTCATTGGTATATAAATTTCCAATTTATACGGTTCAATTAAGGTTTTTTTTTTCAAAAAAAAAAGAAGTCATAAATTATATCGACAGATCAAGAAAAAAAAAAGAAAGTGATAACCATTTACTAGACGAACATCCTTCGGATCCAATTCAGTTCGAAAACGAATCTGCTTTTCTTCTGTTAAATACGACTAAAAAAGAAAATGTTCAATAAAAATAAAAGTGAATAAAAGGTGCAATAAGCTATAAGAGGACAAGGTTCGTAGAATGGCTCAATGGTTTATTGCTCACATTCATTCCACGGTTCTGATTCCACTCCCAGAAAGATGAACCTGGTACGAATAATGCTTCACAGCAATAAAACGACTCTCTGGTGAAATTAGTTCAGAGGGAAAGGGTTTAACAATAGCAAACTAACCGTCATTGTTCTATTCAGATCCCAAACACCAGGTATTTTTTCAGGGAAAAGTTCGGGAGATGGACAACGTCCAATTTCTTCATTACAGAGTAGAAATTTTGCAGCCGGTTTCTCCTCAGTCATTTGCAATAAATTACTGCGAAAAATAAAAAATTAATAAAAAAAATTTTTAAAAATGATAATAATATTTATTCAATTTATTTTATTTGTTTATTATTTTTCATTTTATTTATTTTATTTTTTTTTGTTTTATTTTTTAGGTAATTAAAATAATTAAAAATTTATTTTGAATGAAATCGACCGACAAGATACAAATGTTTTTTCTATAAAAAATATTTTAAGAGCGAAAATAAAAAGAAAATTGAGGCAAAAAAATTGAAAATTGTTGAACGAGCGAAAAAATTTCCAACATTGTCGTCAAAATCACTTTCTAAATTTCCGAAACCCCCCCCCCCCATTTACCCCGTGAAAACCCAGTAACTAAGCAATTTTTTCTCCTCGTAAAAATCATCACTGTGCCAATAAATTATAAGGAAAACTATACTTGTGATGAATAATAATAATTTCCTTTCTTCTTAGCAATAAAACTAACAGCGGGGCGAACTTAGAAAATTAATTGGCAAATTTCAAAAAATTGAAATATACAAATATTTTAAAATAAATCTCCTGCTAAACCTCGGCCAGCCGAGAAATAAAGTCTCTAAACTGCAGTCTAATTGGTGAAGAATACATTTGCTATTAAATTTTGAACTGTTTAGGTACCTCATCCCGCAAATTTTATTTAAGCCACTTTAAGAGGTCAGTTTTGCTGTGGAGGGTTAATTTAATTACATTAAGAAACGAATATGCCCGCGAATAAATATTATTAAAAATTAAGTGCCAATAATAAAAATAAAAATTATTATTACAATTTTACATTTATTATTACAATTATTAAAAAAAAAATATTATTACAATTTGAATGCTCTGGCAGACCTCGTTAAAAGAACTTTTTATTTCTTTTTTTTTGGCCTATTTTTACAACGATTAAGAATCATAGATTTGGGCGTAAATTTGGTGTAATTTATTTCGGTTGTAAAAATAATACGAACCGCTGAAAATGCTCTCTCGAAGAAGCTATCAGCTTTCACAGCGATCTTTCTGGAAGCGATATTTTTTGCGTTTTTTTTATTTCTTCTTATTTTCTTTTTTAATTATCAGTTTTATCAGTCCTATATCGTGATATTACTAAATTAGAATGGAATAATAAAATTCTATAATTCTAAAATTTCTTAGTGATGAGGTAAATTATCAGTAATTTTTATCATTAGTGATTTTTTTTAAAAAATTTCTTGGATTTCTTGGAAATTTTTTTTTGAAGAACACTCAACATTTCTGGTTAATTCGCTCTGCTAGCTTGTTGATTTAGACTAAATTTTTGTTAGAGAATTTTTCTTATGTCCCAACAAACTGGAAGCTTTTTTCATAAAGTCCATACGATTTTCTTGTTGCTGCCATGTCTTTATAAGTTTAGCTTTATTTTTTTCCATTATCATATGTCAAATATTTTATTTTAGCGAATTTTACAATTTGCAGGATTCCTTGGATTCCTTTTTGTATTTTCATATATTTAGCAAAGAAATGTGTTGTATTTATTTGATAAAATTACAGATGGACTTCTATAAAGATTTCATTTTTTAGGGAAAATTTCTTTTTAAAAGTAATAAATCGATACCCTATAATTTATCGCTTATTTCATTATTTCTTATATAGTTTCGCTATTTTTCGCTATTTTTCGCTATTTTGCTATATTTGTCCTATAATTTTATTTCATGTACTACAGTAATTAATTTTAGATGAATACGCTTACAAAATTGTTATATAATTCAATATTATTGCGTAATAAAGTAAATACTTTATCTTCATCAGCTTGCTTGCTTCTATTGAAAACAAATTGTGATGAACAATTATCGTTAGTAAAGCGAAAAAGAAGTATTTCAGCAAACGATTTGGTTAATATGTGCCCAACGAATATTCAACCTTACTTGAGGCTTATGCGGGTCGATAAACCAACTGGTATTAATTTTTTCAAGTATTTCTTTTGTTTTAGCTTATAGCGGATAATTATAGCAGGCAAAGTTCAGTGCTTTTTTTTATTTCCCTCATTTTTTTATTTCTTCTTTTATTTTTAGCAAAAATTTTATTTTTTTCTTTACTGCAAATTTCAATTAGAAATTTCATTTTATGAATTTTACTGAAGATAGTGAAAAATTAAAATAATTTACATTTAACTATTTCAAGACGAGCCATTGCTGGTTTTGCTGGCTGCATTGAAATATAACGATGCAGTTGCGCCAGCGAATCATTTGAAGATAGAGGCTTAGATGGGTCTTTAGTGCACTTCCAGAGTTTTATTTTATTCGTACTTTTTTTGAATTCATCATTTTAATAAATTGTCTTTAATCTTTAATATTTTATATAATAAAACAAAAATGAAATAAAAATGAAATAAAAAATGAAGTAAATAAAAAATAATTAGATATAATCAAAATTATTAAAATTATTATTAATAATTAAAAGTAAGAATTAAAAATTTTAAAAATTTGAAAAAATATAATATTTAACGAAAACATTACATAATTGATGATTTATTGAAATAATTTTATTTTTTTAAATTTCAAAATTGGTAAATTCTCTTTTCTTTAAATTTTTTATACGCTTTTAGACTACATTTTATAATGCTATATTTATATGCTATATTTTAATATTTTTCTTTTGTTATTTTATAAAATAATCGAAATTTAATTAGTGGTTAGCGATTATAATTTAATGAAAATTGGTGGATGTTAGAGAGAAGTTATTGCAGGAACGTGGCTATTATATTGGCCTTGCACATGGTCAATAGGATTAGCTGCACAGGCGGGTTGTTTTCCCGATCTCAAAATGTTAGCTCTTTTTGGCGCTGGGTCATTCTTTATGCGCTCCTCTGCATGCATTATTAATGATATATTTGATAAAGAATATGACAGAAAGGTTATTACTTTTATTGAAACCGTATGAAGTATGATTAACATAAATGTTTATTTCTTATTTGTTTATTATGCACTTTATCAAAAAAATAATAATTTTTTGAGGTTTTAAATAAAAAGATTGGATTTAAATTTTTGAGTAAATTTCAAGCATTTCTTTTATTATTTTTCATTGATAAAATTTAATATGTTATTTTGTTTTAATGTTTTTCATTTTTATTGTTAAATATATTATTTTTATATTTTCATTATTAATACATTCACTATTTTTTTAAAAATTTTTAAAAATTGATTGGTTGAAAGAAGTACATATTGCTTTAAAAATAATGTAAATCATCACCATTTGATAGGGAATTTTTTGAATTCTTTACAACTAATCGTTTTACTGAAAATGAGTTTTAATCGGATTTAATTGGGTTTAATGGGTTTAAAAGTAAAAGTAAATTTCAAGTTTTAAGTTTAAATTTAAAAGTAAATTTTGAAGTATTTAAATGAATTTAACAGTGGAAAAAATTTACATCTTTATTTTATTAGACTATTTTAAAATTCTTAAATATTAGTATTAAGTATTAAGTAGCCGCAGTGGTACTCATGACTTTACGAATGAAATTCAGGTCATAGGTATTTTAATATTTTCATACACTGTACTCATATATCTTTTATTTTATGCATATAATAATATTAAAAACGTCAATTAGTTACTCGAGGAAACCTTTGAACAGAGAATTTTAATAATGTTTACTTAAATTATGAGGGGTTGTTTTGCTCAATAAATAGTTTATAAAATAGCTTATAGCTTATATTAAAATTAAAATTTTAAAATTAAGGTAAAGCGTACTGCTACAAGACCTCTTGCCTGTGGCGAATTGAACGATCATCAAGCGATTGTTCTTCTTGGCGGTTTACTTTCAGTTTCTTTAGCGATTCTTTTGCAACTCAATTGGTTCAGGTTCATATATATTTTCGAATTATATATTTTATAGTAAATAGAAAAAAAATTCGAAAAAAATATATAATAAAAGAAATTACATTAGTGGAAATCTACAGAAATTTGCTATTTTATATAATTTAAAATTTATTTAAATTTTATTAAAAATTGTTATGATAATTGCTATGATATTTGAAATTGATTAATTTGTCCGATTATTTAATAATCATTGATCGTTTAGTGTCGCAATTGGTGCGAGCTCTTTAATCTTAACGATTTTATATCCATTTGCAAAGAGGTATACATATTGGCCACAACTCGTCCTTGGTACTATCTTTTGCTCCTCCTATTTTTAAAAATATTTCCATTATGGATTTTAATTGATTTTTCAGCATGTCTTTGAAATTTTCATTTGTCCTACAATAATCTTTTTATTTTTCATGTTTTCTATCGTAATATTAAATTTATATTTCATAAAATTCATTTTGCTTATAACAATAACTAATTTTCTTAATTCTTTTTTTAACATTTCTTATTATTTCGAATTTCTGATGAAATTTTCTGACTTTGAACACAGTCCATTGTAAAATTCATTGTAAAATGTAAGATGTAAAATTTACAAGGAATTTCAGTTAGAACTAATTTTTTAAGAGTTTTCTTGAATTTTTTAAGAGTTTAACGCTAAAATTCATTTGAATTATTGAATTTCCTAAGCTTTATTTCATTTATTTAAATTTCTCAATATTTTATTTAAATTTAAATTTCTCAATAATATTAAAGATAAAATGAAATAGTTTTGAAATGGACAACAAATATCTTTCGAAGACGTCCTCAAATCTATTTTATAAAAATATACTTTTTTATTTGGTACTTTAATATTTTTATGAACTGTAAAACTATGTTATTTATTCAAATTCATTGTTCATTGTTATCCTTGTTTCATTTTTTCTGTTTATGTATACTTATATTTATTTTGCAGTAGTTCGTAATTTGCTTAAAAAATATGAAATGTGGTAAGGTCGTCCGATGTGGCCTTAAAATGATTTTTATATGGCTACATAAAAATTTTAAGGCTTCTATTTTTTCTGATGTTTTGAAATTGCTTCATGTGACTTTCCACATTTCATTATTCGATGTGCAAGAAATTCGGGCTTCTTTTTATTTTATAATTAATTATTATTTACTGTTAATACATAATGTTATCACTTTAATTTGATTTATTTTTCACTTTCACTTTCTTTCACTTTCTTTCTTTGTTATTTTAATTTCTTTACGAAACACTGTTTGTGGTTGGAGTGAAAATTCAAGCGATGCTCGAAAAAGACGAAATTTATCGAAAAAATTTGAATAAAAAGAAAAATTTCTGGTTATCATGTGGTATAATCGCTTAATTCATTTTTCTTTTTCTGCATAGATTTTATTTTTTAATTACTTTTAATTTTGTAATTTTAATTTTGAAACGTTTAAATTATTATTATTATTTTCATTTATTGCTCTCTTTTATTTTCATTCATTTAATTTTTATTGTATTGACGATATGATTTGTTGTTGAAATCGAATTTAAGATAGATTCGATTCGATAGATTTTATATAACGAAAAGAATTTCAGGCTTCACATTGAATTGGGGAGTTCTTATTGCATGGGCACATCTTTGCCCAAATACATTTTTGGTTGTCACTCCCCTATATATTGCCACTGTGCTTCATACATTAATTTACGATACTATTTATAGTCATCAGGTATTATTATTACTATTGTTATTATTATTTTATACATAAAATTTTTGAGATTCTCGAAATCTCTCTAACTGGAATTTTTTCGTCTATGATCACTTGAAAAATTTTGTGATTTTTTCATCATTACGTGCACGTTACTATTACGTGAGCACGCTGCATGCTTATGTCATGTTATTTGCAAAATTTATTCATATATGAAAAAATGCTTAATACTGGTTAATAATTTAGCGATTATAAATTATTAACTATATGAAACAGTAAAACAATAATTTCTTGCGATTAGCTTCAGCTTTAGATTGAAATAAGTAGTAAGGTGAAGCAAAAAAAAACAATCAGTTTGAGGTTGAGGTGAGGTTTTTTCTTGTTTTTTTTTCACTTGAGAGAAATTTAATAAACCAATTTCTACATTAAAAATAATTATTATCCATTTTAATTTTTTTTTATTTTCTATCATAATGAAAATTAATTTTTAAAATTGAATGTTTCAAATTTTTTCTGCATATTTTTGTTTAAAACCTGTATAATTGTATAAAATAGTAAAATTTCTTTTGAAAAAAATTGCTTGGCTTAGGTCTGATTATTATTTTATATTTATTATTTATTGTTAATTTAAATCTTCTTCATAACTTAAATTATTGTAAAACTGTAAAAATTACGTATAAATATAATTATTGGTTGATGGGAAATTTTAAAAAAATTTTGGTTTTTGTCTTTGTCTTCCCTAGAACTTCAAGGGAAATGCGCAAAGAAAGCTTAGTTGTGCAAGATTATTTCCATCTCGTTATATGTTTCACTTTTAATGAATTGATATTGAGATTTATATTGTTCTTGCTTATCATTGATAACCAAGGGCTTTCCTCTTTCTTATTATTATCTCTTCTAAAAATCTTTTCTTCGGATTTTTATTTTTGTAATTGAATATTGTGAACACATATATATATTTCGTTTTTTGACCGGATTATTTGCTCATATATTTTATAGGATAGTTCTGCAAGACTATGTTAAGTGATTTTGACGCCTTTAGTATTGTTTATTAAATTTCCTAAATTTGTAAATTCAGAAATTAATAAATTGGCAATTTCAAGTTATATGATTATTATTCAGATTTTCAAGAGCAATATGGCAGTATAAAAAAAATGAATTTAACAAAATCGAAGATGCCCTTGGCAATGTTGAATTAAGGCTGTAGATGTCTTATTTCATTGATAACTAACTATTATCTGCGTTTATTTACTTTTTATTTTTTGAGTTCATTCAGCTAGCATGAAAGTTCATTTATTATTATTTATTATTTATATTATTATTATTTGTTAACAGTAGTTCGCTTGCAGTTTTCATTCTCATCGTGCAAATATCGCTGATCAATTCTTATCAATAAACAATAAATAACTGTACGAGTTGTTAGATTCAAAATATTGTAAATTATTTGTTTATAACGATTTATTTTTTTTGATTTGTTTTTATTTTGATTTGAACAAATAGTTTTGTTTTATCTTCGTTCTAAAACAGGATTGACGTTCAATTGGGGTGCAATACTCGGTTGGTGCGCGGTTCGCGAAAGTATCCTATTGTCAGTTGTTTTACCGCTCTATATAGCTTCAATAAATTGGACATTAATCTACGACACAATTTATGCACATCAGGTGTTTTATTGAACTTGGTTATCCATTTTCTATTATCGTTTAATTCACGCTAACAAGCGAATTGTTTGTTATTTCTTGCACAACTTGCACAATTCATCATTTTTATTTTTATTTCATTTGTATATTTTTTGTATAACCTATAAAATTTTTAGTATTTAAGGCTAAACTATATTTTAACTGTAAGTTTCTGGTTTTTTGGCTGGAATTTAGCCTAGTTTCTTCATTATTTTTCGATATAATTTATTTACCAACAGTTTGGCATGAATTTGCATATTCCTAAATTTGTACGGGCGTTTTACTTATTTCATTTTACTTTTAATTTTTCTTGAATTTTTCACCTGAGAATTTCGTTTATTTTTGCACTTTCTAATCCCATTTCACCTTTTTCCTAATTTTTCTTCTAATTTCTCCATTTAATTGATTTTTGAATATATGACGCTTATTCAATATTTAGCGATAATGTTAATTTGCCAATTTGCCAATTGTTTGTTAGAATTATTAATTTATAACATGATTAAGGGGATAATTTCCAAAAATTTTTATTCCCACAATTGCTTTTCCGTTTGCTGTGGAAATAATAAAGCCAGCAATTTCATCAGGACTCCACAAGTCACTGGAAAAATTTTCAGGATAAAGCAGATGATATTGTGGCGGGCGTGAAGTCGACAGCTTTACTCTTTGGTGATAGAACGAAACATTGGTTAAGCGGTTTCGGTGCTATCGTCATTTCTGGATTAGCAATCACTGGCAAAATGGTTAATCAGACTTGGCCATATTACTTTGCACTAACTATCACAGCATTACAATTGTCATGGCAAATTGGATTTGTAAATATTAATGATCCGAAAGATTGTTGGAACAAATTTGCATCAAATCGCGTTAGAAATTTCAAACATTTCACAGTATTTTTTCACCTTTTCTTTGCAAGAAGAAAAAATTGTTCTTTTTTAGTGGTTAGGAGCGATACTTTTCTGTGGAATTATTGCTGGTAATTTACTTAAAGAAAGAGAACAGCCGAAAGAGAATTCTGAAATTGTTCACCGTTGCGAATTTTCCTGAAATGAATTCTTGTTAAATCGTTCGTACATACTTAGAGATTCACTTCAATTCATACTGCCGATTTTGTTTTATTCATTTGTTTAATAGATTATAAATAAAAATTTTTGCTTATTGTTTGAATTCTATTATTAGGAAAGAAAGAAAAATTTTACGTATCCTGACTGTTATCATTCAAAAAAAGTGTGTAATATTAATAAACTTTTCCAAAAGCTTTGATTCGACTGCATTGTCAAAATTCAAGTGCAATAATTTCTGGTTTTATTTTACCAATTTTTTAATTGCGCCTAATTTTTTTTTACTGCTACTGTTGCGAAATGCGATAATTCTACTATTTCAAATTTACTATTTCAAACTGGTGATTCCGCCAAATGAAGCCTTTCATTAATTCTTTGCCTTCACATATGTCAATAAAAAATGTCAATAAAAGGGTCAATTTATAGTATATATTTTATATTCTTCGCAAAGAAATCGTTATTTTTTCCTCATTTTGATGCCATTAAGAGATCCGAGCTGTTGGGTCCCAATATTTCAATATCATGTACTTATTTAACATTTAACATTTAACATTTTTTTATTTAACATTTCTTATATTGTTTGATCATTTTTTATTTGTTTTAAAATAGTTATCTCCGAGATTAATTCGAATATTAATTCGAATTCGATAATATGTTTTTTTTAATCTATGTATTAATCGGTTACCTAAGTTACCCAACTTAATTACCCAAGTTTGAGGTGGCGGATAAATTTTTTATTAATACGTGCGGTGATCAGTTTTTATTTTACTGTCCTGATAAAGCGACCGTAACAAGGTTATTTTAAAATAAGTAACGCGTGGAAGGCGAGTGAAATCTCACTGTTTTCAGTCATTATTTGTTTTTTAAGCTATTTTCTATACTATTCTTAATATGTTCACAGATTTCCCTTTTTCATTTGTCTGAAAGAATAAAACCAGCATTTAATTTGCCAGTAGCTAAAAGTGTTATTGGGAAATGTCTCAGGTGATTTCTCGGGAGAAATTTAATGATATTGTAGTCGCTATAAAAATTAATGACTTTAATACTATGAATTAATACTTTGCATTTCCGAAATAAAACAGAATATTTGTTGGACGATTTCTGGATTGGAAAATGCTGGCAAAACTCAGGCTTCTCATGTTATATTAACCATCAAAGTACCGCTTGGTAAATTTCGGTTTGTACATGATGAAAGATCTAAAAGACTTAGAGAAAATTTGTACCAGATCAGGTGAAAGGTTGTAGATTATTTCAGCGTTCGACTTTTGCTGAAAGAAGGTTAAGAATAAACTGTGAATCTAAATGAACTTTTAACTCACATATAATTTTGAATTGCATGAAATTTATAAAAACTCATTGTCTCTGCTAGTTTTATTCATTTGTTTAATTTTTCGTTATGAATAAAGATAAAAGAAATAATATATAATATACATTTATTTATTGTTTTTGTTTGGAACATAATTTAGCAATTAAACCGGACAATTGAAGAATCGAAGTTAAACCTTTTAATATTCGAACATGACACAAGCCGATTTCCTTAAAATTAAACATATTTTTTTCGTTAATTGAATATTCAAATAATATTATTAGTAGTCGAAAGAAATAAAAATAAAAAATGAAACCGATTCAAAACCAATATAAATAATAAATGTATAGTATATGTAGTAAAAACAATAAATATATAATAAATAATAAATATAATATAATATAATATATATAAATATAATATAATATAATGTACATTTAATTTTTCCAAGTATGATCATATTATTTCCAGAAATATTAAAAATTTTTATATTTACGCCAATAAAAGGACAGATAACCTTTATATATTCCAATTTTAGATACTCCGGTACATCTGCCACTTTGCAAACTTTAAACATATTTGATACGATATCTTCGGGTGAATATCCCATATGATAAAGGTTATGCATAATATCACCAGCTTCAATAACTTTGTTATGAAGACATAGTTCGATCATTTGTTTAATCATCTCTGGATGTGGCTCATCACAAACCTAATACAGCTTTTATTAAGTTCGATTTTTGAAGTAAGGGTTTTTTTCGGTTTTTCCCTTTACTATAGAAGAAAAAATGAATAAATATATTGTACAAATATATAAAAAATGAAATAACATAAAATAACAGTTAGTCTTTGAAATCTTTGAATTAATTGATGAATTAAATTTCAGAAATGGAAAATGAAAAAAATAATGGAAAAAAAAGTGCCAAGAAATATTAAGATAATATATGAATAACCTTAAAAACGTTAGCAGAATTTACAAATCCAAAACCCGTGATAGTACATTGAAGATTGTTAAGTGCCTAAATATCAAAATAAAAAATATGAGAATTATGAGAATTTCTGTATATATAATGCGATAGGTGTTTGCCAGTAAATTTAAATGAATTTTAAAATTTGCATTAATCGAATAGAGAGTATACCTGGCGCATATCACCTTCAGCGGTAAAGATTAGCGCGTCGATACCTGTATTATCATATTTGACATTTTCGGCTGCACAAACTTTTAGCAATCTTGCAGCGATATCTTCCTCCGTTAATTTGGAAAATCGAATAATTGCACAGCGAGATTGTATTGGCTCTTAAACAATGGGAAACTTCAAATTATCTTCTGAGGTAAACAATATATATATATATATGCTTAATATAGATAAAGACACTACATTCTTCCATTTTTATAAAATGGAATCCACATAAAATGAAACCAATTATTTTGTCGGACTGGTTACAAGCAAGAGCAAAACGAGTCGTTTTACTATAGATTTCCATTGTACGTCGAAGAGCTTGTTGTGCACCTTCAGTCATTGAATCTGCTTCATCAAGGATAATTATTTTATGCCGATTTTCGGGTAAAGTTACTTTTGTTTGAGCAAAAGACTTGATTTTGTTTCTTACAACATCGATTCCTCTATAAAAAAATTATAACCAACTTAACAATCTTTTGTGCGATGAAAGACAATATGAAACTTTATAATAAAATATGAAATTTTCAACTTATAGATTCTATATTTATGCGAATCTACAACGATTTATATAATCCTAAGTCGAATCCAATGAATTGGAAATTTACACTTCCATAAATTATAAATGTCAAGAAAGCACTAATCAAGCCAAAAGCTCAAAATATATCGAATTGCGGATGTAAACGAATTTAATCAAATTAAAAAATCCTAAATCAATATCAGAAGAATAATGGTGCCATTAATTACCTATCATCTGAGGCATTCAACTCCAAACATGCTTCTTTCAATTGAGCTCCAAGGAGTTCTCTCGCTAATGCCCAAATACTCGTTGTTTTACCGCAACCTGGTGGTCCCTAAAATTAAATAAATAATAACTTTTTAGAAAAAATATGGCGAACTGTAGATGAACTGTAGGCGAACTTTTTGCCAAAGAAATCATTCGATGTTGGCCAATGAAATACTAACAGAAAGGATAATATTTGGTAAATTTCCTCGTTTTGCCAATTGTTTGAATCGATCAATTATAAACGAATTGCCGACAACATCAGCCAATTTTTGCGGACGATATTTCTCAATCCTTCAACTTTCTGTTTATTTTTTGGAAATAAGCAAAATGCAAATGAAATGCAAATGAGTTCAATAAAGGAAATCAGCAATAATATTAGCGCTATATTTCTATCTATATTTGCGCAAATAAATATTCACCGTAAAAGGCTCCATTATAATTTTAAATTTAAATATTGAATTTAAGTGTTAAAATTGAATTTACTAAAATCAAATATTTAAATATTAGAATATTATAAATTTAAATAATATATAATAATAATTATAAATTTATAAATTTAATGATAATAAATGAAAATAATAAATTTAAATATTAAAATATAAATTAATTTAATGCTTTAAACAAAAATATGGCACTATGTTGAAAATTAATGAGAGAAATAAAAGAAAATTTTCATTTTCAAAAGTTTACAAAAAATGAAACGAACCATGGAATGTCTTCCATTTATTATTGCTCCTGAAAATATTTATTTCTTTATTTACTTACTCATTCATTCATTTCGCTTGCATCGCTCTTCGCTACCTGAAGTGACGACCTAAATTTCACTACCCCTTCCCTGTTCACCGAACCCCCCCCCCCCCTCTTTTCTCCGTTTTAAACTCCTTTTTCCTTACACAATCATTAAAAAACATACTATTGGAGGCTAAATGAGATTTAAAAATAGGCTCAGGTTTTCCATTCGAGAGCCACGTTTAAATTTAAAAATAAATTAGAGCGTAAGTAAAATAATTTATCAACTAATTATATTTATTTCATTTCAATTTATTGCGTATATTTTGTGATTTTATTTATTTTTTTCGACCTTTTCGGATTTGTTTTTCTTATTTTTGCAATTTTCAAATAATAAATTTTTAAATATTTTAAATTTTGTAAAAAGTAACAAATTTTAAAATTAGAAATGAATATTTTATTTTAAAAAAATTTTCATTTTTTAATATTTTTTCGAATAAATTATTTCTATTATTTATTATTATTTATTTTATTATTATTTATTATTATTTATAAAATTATTTATTTATAAAATTTTTATAAAATTCTATTTTATTGCTTTATTTTTTTATTCTAATAATATGTATAATTTGTGACTGTGTTGGCCTAAAAGCGAATAGTACAATCTGAGCCAATAATTTGTCATTTGGCCCGTCAAGCATTCATAATTTTTCTCTTTGTGGATGCCAGTCTGGTTTGAGCCTCTTTATTAATTTTGTTGTCATTTATTTGAAGTCACTTCATGTTAACGAGCGACGAAGAAAGAATATTTGATAATGCCTTATGCTTAATCGGTTCATCGGTTCGGCTGTCAGTTTTTGCCTGAAAGAACTGAAGCCATAGCTTTAATAATTTAGCCGATTCCCCGCAACGGCATCGATCGCAAGTAATCGTTTTTTTTTTTTTATTTATGAATAAAAAATATTTTTCGTGGTGAAATTATTTAGGAGAAATGAATTGTTTTAATATTTCTTAAATTTATTGGATTTCTAAGTTTGAATTTAGCGCGATTTCAGGATCGCAAATCTGCGAAATCCCTACTCGTCGTGGATAAAATCTTTAATATTCACCAAAATCTCATATATTTTGTGAAAATATTCACCAAAATTCATTTAATTCAACCACATTTTTCTCATATCAGTAGTTTTTTTTTGCTTATTAAAGAGGTCGTTTTGGTACCTTAACGTTGCCTACTAGTTATTTGCTATGATCGCAGTTATAGAATCACAGAGAATAACGTGATAATAACTGGAGATATAATGAGGTATAGCAGAAATGGGAATGGTGCGAGGACTTGGTTGTGAGCATGAAATTAATCTAGCGAAATTCAGAAGTAATCTAGTTTTATTCCGATGCGTGGAGGAATATCTAGATTTGAGGACGTACGTGCCTTTCCCTTGGGCAAATTTTTTTTCTGAATTGATTTTCAAATTAATCAAAAAAAAATACAAATACGTAAAACGACAAATTTCCATGCAAAGAAAATTTGCCAAAGATTTTTCTAAAAATTTTAGAAAAATTTTTCTGGTAATGATGTTTTGTTATTATTTATTTATTTGTTTATTGCTTTTTTTTGAAATTCAGTGTGAAAATGTAAATTTTGCAAATAATGTTATTTATGCAATAAACTGTGGTTCGTTTCTTTTTTTTCTTTTATTTTTATATTTTTTATATTTCCAAATAATATTTCCTTTTCAATGAATTTTAAAAAAAGTATGAAAAAGGTATTTTTGTTTTTATTTAATTGATTTATATTACTAGTTTTTATGTGTATATATTTAGGTGGTTTTTACCATAAAGATATTCATGGTGTTGAATATGAAGAAGATACGGAGCAAACTGTTGGAACAACTTCTGATTATGGTCTTCAGTTAAATATTTTACGAACCGATCCTTTTGATGCTGTTTTATATCAAACTGAGAGGTTAATAACCTTGTTATTTATGTCTATTTTTGTTTATTATTATTATAATTATTATTATTAACTATTATTATAATTATTATTATTAATTACTATTATCAAAAACTATAAGTTATTGTTGTTATTATTTATCATTATCATTATTATTTTTAATAATAGCAATAATAGCGATGATAATAGTAAGAATATTAGTGATAAATGACAATAACAATGATGGTTATAATTTGTAATTTAATTTTTGTCTCAGATATTTATTATAATTCTAAATTTTGAATTACGAAATATTGTCGAGCAGTTGTTTATGAAGTAAAATCGATTTATCTGCAGGTATCATACGGATAGTTTCACTTACGAACTACCTTTACCGAAAGAAGATGGAGAATATACATTAGTTTTAAAATTCTGTGAAGTTTACTTTCGAGCTGCGGGTAAAAAGGTTTTCTTAACTTTCATTTCGAAAAATTTCGTTTATCTATATATGCCATATTCAACTTAAATCGATCATATCTTTTTTTCAAGCCCATTAAAAATAATAAACGTTGGATGAAGAAGTTCTCTTGTTATCGAAAGCTAATAATGAGTAGATGAGAGAATTTTTAAATTATTAAATTATTAATAAAATATTACTATAACAAAATCTGCGAAATGGCTTTACATTTTGGATTTTGTGAAAATGCATTATTTTAGGTTTTCGATGTGCTTCTTAATGGTGAAATTATTATTCCAAATCTTGATATATTCAATGAAGCTAAGGGGACGGGAATTGCTTATGATCGTTTAATTGGTTTTTATGTACTTTTTTTACGAAAAAAATTGTATAGATTATAGTTAAAAATTACGAAAAGATCAACAATATAAGAATAAAACAAACAATTCAATTATATACTTTTAGATTGAAAATAATAAAATACATTTGGAAACAAATCGCCATATCCCTATTGTTGACAATAAATTGTTGCTTACATTCGCCAAAGTTTGTTTTTCATTTAGTTTGAAAAAACTAGTTTAAAAATGCTTTGATTACAAAAATATTATATGATAAAATATAGAATAAATAAAATGTAATAGAATAAAATATAATATAAAAATATAAAATAAAATCTCTTTCAAGAAAGAGATTTCCGCTTTCCATTTGGTTTTGTATAATAATCTCTCCTTTTTTCTCCATTCTCTCCTTTTTTGCAGGGTAACCGTGATAATCCGAAAATTAACGCTTTTTATCTTTATCGAGGTCCCAAAACTGTAAGTATTTTTATATTTTTATAAATTTGTTGCATCGACTTTTTTGGTAACAAGATATTCCATTCAAAAATCTTTCAATTTCTTTTGCCTTTTTTCTTTTTCTTGTTTTTCACAAATATTTGATAAGGATTGACTGGTAAAAGTGGATAATTTACTTAAATTTGAAATAAAGGGAGTTTGCAGTTTTGTTTCTATTTTCGTTTTAAAAAATGGAACTACCTTAGTTGATAAACTAGGTTAAAAAACGAATATTATGTTCATCCATTCGTCCTATATTATTTGCTTTTTTCTTTTATAGGATATACCGAAAATTGTTGATGAGGATTTCACAGAAATGAGTGAAGGAAAAGATCTGATAGAAGAAGAAGAAGAAATTGAAAAGCCTATTTATATTGGTGAACCAACCGTGAAAGATCCATATGCGGATCAAGACACAGCTCAACTGCTTATACCCTTTCTCATTGCATTTGCTTGCTTTTTCCCCATTGTATATTGTCTTTGCAAGATCTAAATCTCTTTATTTTAGTGAATCGTATAGTTAGTTATTTATTTCTCAAATAATGGTTAATTTCAAATTTATGCGAAAAATCCGATCTAATAGATTTTTTCATTACGATATTTCTTTCTTTCACTCGAAGGATTTAAAACAAGTTCTATTTTGTTTAAAATAGTTTGTATTTGAATGTTATATGTTATTTATTTCGTGACTATCCAGGTTATTTCTACATAGCAGTTGTGAGAAAATTGTAAAAACTAAAGTCTAAAGCATGAAATTGTGTGCTAATAACGATTTTTATGCTGATTATAAAAGTGCATACATCATGAAATATTTTAAAATTGTGGAATTATAAGACATTCCTTATCAGTAATTGAAATTCGAAAAACAGATTCCGTAGACCAATTCTGAATAACCTGAAACTGATGAGCTTTAAAATATTTCTAAATTGCGGGTAGCATCCAATAAGAAAATTTAATTTTAATTTTTGAACAATAAATTAAGAAATGCTGGACCTCATCATTGACGATAACTTTTATTCCTTTAGGTCCTCTTAAAAATAACACATCCAATTTTTGTTTACTTAACTGTTCTAAATTTTTTTTGAGTTCTTTAACGGTGCCTTCATGTACAGCGATCATATTATACACGTCGCTAATACCCATACAGACATATAATACACACCTCGGTTCAGGCAACCTATAAAAATAAATTTTTTGAAGAAAATAATTTTGAAAGAAAAGACCCATTTGACAAAATCCTAATCACATCAAAAAGTATGGAAATAAAATCTCCTTGTGCAAGAAACCATTTATAAATTTTAGCTCTAAGACTTAATTAGCAATCAAAATTCGATTTTCGATTACATACTTTTTTCGCATAATATGAAAAAGGCGAATCGCTTCTGCTCTATTTTCCATAAGTGATGCTAATTCATCGATATTTAATCGAAGAAGATCTCCACCATCGTAATCAGAAAAAATATTCAAATATTTAGTGAATCTATGCAAGCGAAGCCATTCGGCTGTTTCCATAACCGAATAATTATAAAGAGTATTCGAACTGGGACTAATTTCTACTGAAGTTTCTCTGGACGAACTTTGTTCCTCAGTTGACAATAAGCATTTTCTGGGAGGGAGCGTTAGGCAGTCCTCACATATCGTCTTTTCAACTTTGCGTTTTAGTATTTCACCATTTCTTCGATTTGATGCAATATTCGAAATTTGATAAGAGGTGCTCGAAGTAATTTGACCGTCAAGGAGATCAGATTCATCTATGGACTTTTCAATTCGTAATTCATTTTCCACTTCATATTCAAAAGAATTATTTAATAAAATTGTATAATCATATGCTGGTTGAAAATGCTCCTGAAAATGATTTGATAATGAATAATAATAGTCCCAGTTGTTTCTGAAAAATGTTTACGCATATGCAACAAAAAAAAATAAATATGAATTATGAACTATATCTCTTGATAAATTTTATGAAAAATTTTTTTTCACTTTTTTCATATTGTATTTTATATAGTATATTTTATTCCATCCTTTTTATTTAAAAGACTCACTATTGGCTATTGGTAAGAACCATTAAACCCGCTTCTCTAGCCTGTAGCACTAGACAAATATGCCAGAGAGCCAGTCCGATACAAGCACAAGTGAGTCACCAATACCCAGGTTTTTGGACAGGTTTACCCCCCACTGAGAATAAAATTAAAATATATGGATTTGAATTCTACAAATAAATTTGTATTATAAGTCCATTTTAAAAGGCATTAATTTTTTATAATGAAAAATTCATTCTGAGAAATAAATGGTATGAACCGAAAGAGGAGAAATGTAGATGGATATTAACAGATATAAAATTCTTACTTGCCTGCCAAGACGTGCAGCTTTTTCACGTTCAGTTTGCCTTTTTCGTTCAGCTCCACGAAGCTGAAAATTTTTAGTTTTATTTTTATTTTATTAAAATCTTTATTTCAAATTCAAATAATTTTTAAAATAATCACAATAATTTACTATATATCCCGCCCTTTATTTTATAATTTTTCTCAACCTTAAAAATCTGTATTTGAGAACTATTTTGTTGTATGCACTGTGAAAAATCGCGAGGATATGTCTGAAATACTAATCGAAATGGTTGTCCTTTCTCGCCGGCATTATCTATAATACATGTTCTTAAAAAAAATGAAGAATAAATCCTTAATTTATTTCTAAACAACTCAAAGAAAAAGTTCTAAGTATATTAGTTCTAAGTTTACTTGGGGTATTATAAAATATAAAATGGTAAAAACACAAAGGTTTACCGATAAAATCTGAACTGACAACAGAAAATCTCAGAAAAATGCTGGTATTTGGTAGAGAACTGTCCCATGTAAATTCTGCTGATCGCGTTCCATATTTGACGTTGGAAATATTCGAACACATGGCAATGTCTTTAAAATTGCTATTCAAAATAATCACGAATTTTATTAAATTTAAATTATAATATTAATTTAAAAATAGCGTTCTAATTTTTGTAAATTCATTTCACACTCACTTAAAATTACTCCATTAGTTGTATGATCATATACATTTTCTCTGCATAGTTAGTTCCTCGTCAATTTACAAAAGAAATTTTTTAATAGTTATTCTCTGTATAAAGTTAATATCGCATTCATAATACATAAATTTGAACCATAATTTAAAGATGTGAATTTAGGTCGGTAATAATGACTAAATAGTGGAACCATTAAAAAATAAGAAATAGGTTAAAAAAATATACCAATCTCCAAAAATCGTTTTCCTGGATAACGCTTCATCCAAGCTTCTATTAATTCTTTCATCTGGTATCGAGCTTTTCGATTTTCGAAACATACAGTTATTACAGTCTATAAAAAATTTTGTACAGATAACAAATTCTGCACGGATAACAATCATCATGTGTTTAAACTGAATATAAATAAGTTAAAATCAAAAATGAAAATATTAAAAATAACAATTTACAACAAGCTTATATTCTTATTCTTTTTCTTATGTTCTTATATTAGTATATTCTTTTTTTATTCTCCTTTTTTCAACAATTTTTTTAAATATCAAAATTTTATAAACTTAGACCGCTTGAACTTCGATTTGCGATCCTTAAAATTAATAAAAATTAAATAGAATAATACTTACTTTATAGAAAATTGATGAAAAATTCAGTGACCCATCAACCTTTCTACATTTGATTTCGTAAGGATGAAACTGATTAAGAAATGTTACTGGCTCTTCATAAATTGGTACTGCAGCTGACGTTGGTGCCATTAAGATATATTCAAATCTGAAATGTGAAATTTTTTTCATCAGATGGGATACGATTTATAATAATGAATTTTTAAATATTAATTGTGTGAAAATTCTAAAAAATTCTACATATACAATTTTTTCTTTCATGAATAATTTCTACTTTGCATAATTTTCGCCTTCATTGGCATTCAGTATGACTCTGTATGACTCTGACTTGATTGCCTCCGCTAACTAATACAATAAGATGCTTTCGTTGAATAATCATATAGGGAATAGTAAGAAAGTGTCTTAAGTACCACTCAATTTGAAATTGAAGGATTAAAATTAATCTGAAAATTCCATTAAATGCATAGCAATCGACTAAAAAATGAGACCAATTTCCTTAGTTCAAACTTTTTTCTACTTTTTTATTTTTTTCTCAATCTTTTCTCAATTTTTTTCTCAATAACTTTCTAAAATAAATTTAGAAATTAATATTAAAAAACAAAATAAAAATTAATAAAAATTGAAACGAAATGAAATTTAATAAAAAAAATTTTGAGTAAACTTGGAGAAGAAAAATCAATAAAATTTTAATTTTTAATAATTTAATACAATAATTATATAAATAATAAATTGATAATAAACAAAATAATAAATATGTAAATAATATATAAATAATAATAAATAAATATTAAATACAAATAAATACAAATAAACAAAACAAACGGTGACAATGGAACCGCAGTAATCCATGACGAATCGCTTCCAGTAATATTTAAAGCTGTGGCTGTTACTATCGACGATGATGAAGTTGTTGGTGATAACGTGGACGATGCCGACGATTGCCAAATATTTGAATTTCCGTTATCAATGATAAATGGTGAATTTGATGCTGACGAAGGTCGCAATTTACCATTGTCATCGTTCATTTTAAATCAAAAATAAATTTAAAATATTTTTAAATTAATATAAATCAATTGCAAACTGCACTTTTTTTAAAATTTTGCATATTTTCATTTTCCATTTCCCATTTTTCCATTTTCCATTTTTGAAAAAATTTTCTTTTTTCTATTTTTTTATAACTCTTTAAATATCAAATAATGGCATTTAAAAAGTTGAAATTATTTTATTTAATTGTTTATTTTTTTTGCAAAAAAAATATACTTCTTTGATTGAATTTTAAAAAAACTAAAAACCCTTTTATAAATTAAAAGTGGAATCGAAATAAAAACGAAATGGACACGCGAAAAAACCAACACGGCAAACGCGCAAAAAAACGTGAAAGAGAATAAAAGAAAGTAAAAGTGAAACGTGAAAAATACAATACAATTAAAAAAAAATAACTAATGTGACGAATTTTATAGTTCAGTCGCGTTCGCATTCTATCGCCCAAATAGAACAAATTTTTAAATTATTTTTTCAGCGATTATGAATAAATTTTCGGTTTACTTGGACGTTATTTGATTCTTAAAACAGAATTTACTAATTCATTTATTCACATAAAATTTGTCATTTTAAGCAAATTTCTTTGATTTATCTTAGTTATTACCGATTTACTAATTTCTCTTCTCCAATTCAACTTTGCAGAAAACATCGGAAACATTTTCAGCGAAATAAAAGAAATTGAATCACCTGCCAAGTCAACTGGTAATTACAACGAACGGCGTGAAATTTCAAATTGAGATAAACGAGAAAAATGAGGAAACTGAGGAGGTAACGAATTTCATTCTATAGAAACGAATCTTAAATAAGTCGAACGTGAGCATAAGTTGCTATCATTCTAATTTTAACGCGTTCCAAGTTTTCTGTGTAAATTATGTAGTCGATAGGAGGGGGGAGGGGTGGGGAGGGGGGCTGTGGGGGAGGGTTTGCTTCCATTCTAAAAAATTAATTGTTTTGATGATAAATAAACATAAATAATAAATATCTTTGTTCGTTTTCGCGAAAAGTTTCTTCAAATTTTTAAAATTCTTTTTTTCATATATTATTTTTTTCTTCAGCGCTGTTTATTTTAATGTTTTTTACTGTTCATTCAGCGTTATTATCGTCTAAGCGACCAAAGATCATCAAATTTTCTTTTTTCATGGTGAAAAATCCGTGGAAAATTTTCAACATCTTGTAACAACTCTCACCATTACTGACTGAGCTGGTTCTGTTGGCTGCAGCGATAAGGCATCTCCAGGCTATTTGATCCGATTCAGTCACTGATCGTATTAGGCCTTAATCTTTCCTTACTGAATTAGTCTAAGTCTTGATTGGCCCATCTATCTTATCTCGCTTTCGATGCCATCCATCTCAGCGTTTAACGAAATATGTGTAAACTCCTGTGGTGGGCGATGAAGCGATTCAATATCTTTTAAGTATTTATTAAATTTTTCCACATAAGAGCTTTGAGATACTAATAAGTAAACTTCATAAAACAATCAGTAGCAATAAAATATACACAAAATAATAAGGCTGCTGTGAACCCGTTGCGAGTCATCTTGGACTTCAGGGAAGTCCATGGAAGTCCATTGCATTTGGCGATTACTTAAAGGCCTTGTTTTCGTCTAAGCGATTAGATCATTAGGCACAAAGCTATTAATTTTCTTGGGACTGCATTATTCCGGAATATGAAAAGAATTCTACAGTTTTTTAGGCACAATTCCATGTTTTTTTGTAGTTTTTCTTAAAATTTCATCTTTTATGCGTTTTATTAAAATTTTATTTTTTTATTTCACTATTTTTTCTTTCGTATTCAACGAATTAGCTTTAGTGAATTTTTGTATTCAGTTATTTTGTTAAAAATATTAATAAATATTAATGATGAAAATATTCTTCGATGGGTGTTGATGATTACAACACAAATTTTCAATGAATGATAGCTTTTAAGTAACATTTTTTTCTTATATTTTTTTCTTTTTTCTTTTTTTTGTAAGTTCTTTCATAGTTATTTTTGATAAAAACAATATTTTCTTTTATTCTATTTATTTTATTTATTATTTTAAACAATATTTTATTCGCTTCGAGTATTTCGAAATTTTTTTTTGAATTTTTTACATGTTTTTATATGTGTTTTTGTTTTGTCGAAATAATTTTATTGTATGATAATTGTGAACTTTTTATCCATTTTTCTTCTTTTTTTATGTTGCGATGAACATTCTTGCGGCATTTTATAGTATCGCGAAAATTTTTTATTTTTTCTATATGCAGTGTTTTCTTAGATATTTCAGTCAGCGTCGATGAGCAGTTATATCGGTGGTCGAAGACGTGCAGTTAGTCGACAGACTGCTGAAGAACAAGTGCTGGATCGTATTTCGCGCGATGTTAGTCGAGTTGTTCTTTTTTTTTCAAATAATAACTTTATTGTTCCAAATGTTTATGCAAGAATGCAGTTTTTGCAAAAAAGTATTAGTTAATAGAATATCGCATATCGGTATTTAGAGTATAATTTAAGTTTAGGCTGAAGAGCGATTGTCTCGAAAGCGGCAAGCTAGAGAAGAAGCTCGACAAATTCGCCTTGAGCAACTTGAGAAACAATATAGAGAGGTTTTCGAATTTAACGAAGAATTTTAAAAAAATTCCAAAATTTTTTCTTTTTTCCTCTTGTTTTTAAAACTTTTTTTTCTTGCTAAACAGCAGTTTTTGTTTTTTCTTTCTTAATCATTTATTTACATCGACTAAATGAAGTTAACGCTCTATAAATCAAAATCTTTTTTGTTAACTTGCAGAATTTAATTTTATACCTATCAGATTTGTTGATTATGTTACATTATATTTTTAATTAAAAATTATTTATTATATAAAATTTATTAAAAATTTTTTGGTTTATTTTTAAAATTCTTATAAGAAATTGTAAGAAACTAGTTTTGGCTGAATCATTATTCATTCCTCAATGGTTTAGAATTCTTTCAGTTAGTGAAATTTTTTTGAAATAAATTATTGTGTGGTTATGAATTTTAATGCAAAACATAGTATTTAGATTCACTGGAATTATTTTTTATTCTCTTATTTATATTTCTATTTTAAAGTTTAACCTTCATTTTATAGACCGATGGTATTAATTCTTATTCTTCCGCAGACGGAAATGAGGTTTGTTTTTTATCATTTTTTTAAAAATTCTTATCGCTTTTTTCTTTTTAAAATATTGGCCGAAAATTTTACTCTCGATATCTTCATTTCAAATAGTTCAATAAAAGTTCAAGCAATAAAAATTAAATTTATTTCTTAAAAGAAGGTAATCTAACTGCAAAAGATTTTACAAGCTATTTTCCATTAAAGTTCTACAAAGGTTCACTTCATGCAATAGGTCGAATTTGTTAAAAGACAGGAAGACGCGTTTGACCGTTTTATTATTGGCAAATTCAGTTGCTATGTTGCTTCGATTATTTATATTGAATTAAATGCTTTCTTTGATCGCATGTCTTTTTCATATTTGTTCAATTAATAGTGTTTATTTTCCTTTAATGATTTGGTTTTTCATTTCAGTTATTGGAAACTATAGATTTAACATTCTATTATAATAATGTATTATGAAATGCCTGTTTATTGTGTGGGTGTGCGTATTTGAGAAAAAATTCGAGTGCAACCCGATTTCTCCCTCATTTTATTTTTGTTTAAACCTTCGGTACCACACAAAAAGCTATTACATCTTGTGGATCGCCAAGTCTCATGTCTTTTATTCATGTCTTAAATTGTCCTTTTTAAGTCCCAAAGTCCTACTACATTTCTTCCATTAGCCATTCTGTGATTTTAATCTCATCAAAGTTATAGCTTCTCATAACACAGTGCATTCCCATTGTTTCTTTAAGGTTCAGTCAAGCCTTTTTTACAATATATTCCTGTAATGGCAGCAAAAATCGTGTGGATGCTGAAGAAATATAATAAAGATGGGCTGGAGAGAAGTAGAATAAGGCAAAGCAACGCGTTAAAAGAGAACTGAATGGATTCGCTCGTTCAGAAAGAGTTTTCTTACTAGTAATATAGTGGCATAATAAATAGCAAGTAGTACGAAGTTAGGTGTTAATAACTTTAGTTATCAGAAAATAATATTGCTTAATTTATATTAACAGTATTTTTTGCATGTATTTTTATTGTGCTTTAGAAAGAAACATTTGCATCGACATCAAAAAATGCTTTATCAAGGCAGTCAAACATTCAAGAAAAACAGTTGCTTAAGGTTAGAAAATCATAAATGTTTTTTGCAATTATTTACTTTTCACTAACCTTTTCTAATCTTTTTTGCTGGAATTTTTGCACTAGAAATCTTATTTTTTTAATATTTTTACTATTTCTGTTCTTGTATTTTGATAAATGTAGAATATTGCAGCAATATAGTACCACAATACAAATGAGTAAGGAAAATACCTAATGAAGGTAAAAAATAAAAAAGGCACTGAATATATTAGGTGATATGTTAGGCTAAATATTATTATGGATATGATCCTATTCAAATAATTTTTAAAATTAAATAGGAACGGACAATGGTGCAAATATTAGGCATTATAAAGGCTTAGTTTTTAATGCTTCGAATAAAATAGTTTTAAATTATTACATTTATTTTTACATATAGTTTTTTGGATCTTTAATTCATTACCCTTTGTATTATTTAGCTTGAACGAAAGATCATAGATATTTTCAGTTATGCATTCTAAAAAAAACCAATTCTTATCTGATTCTCTTATTTCTTAATGAATCTTCGTTATAAGTTTTATAATGCTTAATTGTAAGGTCTAAATTTAGAGGGCATATGGAATGTTTCGATTAGCTTATTGATCTTCGAAGGGAAGCATAAAACTATATTCTATATTCTATATTCTACTTACTATATTCTAAATGAGGATGACGAAAGCCTTATAGAATAATGAACCAAGTTTCACTTGTTTTCAAGCAGTTACTTTGAAGATTTTAGATGATTTTTCCTATAAGCATTCTACTGTGGAAATTAGTTATTCTCTATGAAAACAGGATGGGGATCAAATGATTTCAAGTGGATATGCGGAATTTTCCATTTTTTAATATGTAATTATCAATAAAGCAATAACCATAGTTGTTAAATCCAACTGATAACAAGGTGACCACAAACCTGATCTCTCACTTAGATAAGTTATCGGTATAAAGAATAAAGAATTATGGACTGTAATTCAGAGATTAAATATGAAAGGAGAGGAATCTGATGAATTATTAATATGACCGTGAAAATTATTCAAAAATCAGGAATCCATGAATGCGCTCCCAATGCCTATGTTGCTAATAATTTCTAGCAATTTGCAGTTAAAATAGCATCAGAATTCTTAGCTAAATTATTATTATTACACAAAATAGATATGATTTGGTCTACGATCCATAGAAAACGTCTAGAAACTGAGTTGTGGTGGATTTTTTCATGCTAATAAGCAGAAATCATATTATTTATTCCAGCTTTGTCGCATTTTGATTAATTTTCTTTTAGATTAGATTGTTTGATTCAACGTTGGGCTGTAGAACTAACATTAGTATGTTTGCTGGTGAAAGAAAATGTATGAATGATGGTTACAATAATTTCTGGAGTTTGAAAAACACTCATTATTTTTCTGCTAGATATGAAAAGATCAGCAGATTTTCTTCGCTAATGTTTCGTTTTTGCAAATTCAATGTTCAGCGAAAAGATAAATTTATAAAGTCTTTACTGCAGTTAGTATTCAGTACTTTTTATCTGTTCTCAGTTCGTTTATCGGCCGTTTTTAATGCTTTATATAACATATGGAAAATTCAATGGTTTTGCTCATTCTTTTTTTTATAATTGATGCTTTACAAAAAGGATATTTTCGATTTAGTAAGATTTTCTCATATGTTGTCAATATTTGCAGTAATTGTATTCCGTAGTATCATTAATTATTAGTAACTATTAGGCTTCTTGAATATATTAAAACTTCGAATTGCAGATTACTGTCCGCACAAAATTCTGAACATTCAAAAAAATAGGCTAAGAAATTCTTATCTTATTGATTAGGGTAAAGTAGAAATCTTTAACGAGCATATTTTCATATATTTTCGAGTTTTTTTCAAATGAATTTCATATATGAATTTCAATTTCATATTTTTTTCCATTTGTAAGTTCTTTTTATTCATTCTTTTTATATAAATATGAATATATATGTATATATGGGGATAGAATGGTTCAGTTGGTTGTCGCTCAATTGGGAGCACCGATGCTGAGGTTCGATTCCCCCAGGAGTAAGCCTGTACAAAATTCCTGGTGGTGCTAGCGACTCATCTATATTTTTATCGCCAAGGGGTTCCCTGGCATACTGCCCAATTCAACAAGTCAGTGGAGCTAGTAATGGTGAGGACTCTTTAAAAAAATATATGTATATGTTCATTTTAAAAAAGTTTAATTGTGAAAAATATATAAATATCTTAATGTTTTAAGGAGAAGGTGAACGAATTGCAAGATAAATTCCAACGAGCGATGTTTTTGTATTCGCAGTTGGACAATGAAAAATCAGCCCTTTTATATGAAATTGATCTTTTAAAAGATGATATCGAAGAAAAGGAACAGCTTCTTAGTCAGATAACACGGGAATCTCGCGATCTTACGAGTGTATCTTTTATATTTATTTTCATAATTAGTTTAAAATTTTTTTGCTATCAATTGAAATTCATCATCATTGTTTGTTACCTATAGTTTTACTGTATTTTAGGAAGTCAAATTATTAAAGCGAACAGTGGATGGACTGAATGCACAACAGCTAGCACTAAAGGCAGAAATCGCTCAACGTGATCAGCTCATCCAGGTTTTGAATTTGAGGAATTCGTTTTCTGTATTTTTTTTTTATATTATATTTGTGTTATTTCAGGAGAATGGTCTTGTTCTTGTCGACCAAAATTCCGAAGATATTTTAGCCGAGAAAACAGAAATTGAGTATGTCGTTTATCTAAAAATTTTATAAAATAAAAATATTGCAGTGGTCTCTTTTATATTTTTTCTTATCCATTTCTTAATTTCTTATCCATTTTTATTTTTTATCTTTCTTTTTTCTTTCACTATTTTTTGTTTAATTCAGAAAATTGCCACCTTTGGTATTTTCTCAACAAACTATTGCACTTGTGGATAAAGCTATTCCTGGTTCTTCATCTCTGGATGATAAAATAAAAAAACTCATTGATATGGTATTTCGATTAGAATTATAAATTTTTATCCGTAATAGCCTGATTTTTTTTTGCTATAATATATAAATTTTCCTTTATCTCAATTTTTTTATTATTTCAGAATAAAAAGCTTAGACACCAGGTTGAAGAAGCAGAACAGTCACTTTACGCCCGAAGATCAGCTCGACCCGAGTATTCTGGTGCTTCTCACAATGGAGGATTGGGCGAAGATCAACAACGTTAATTTTTCCGTTTTTTTTAGTCAAAATTTTATGAAACAAAGAGTCGCAAAATTCATGAAAACAATTAAAATTTTTTCTTAAACTTATATTGTGTTGATATTACGTTCTTTTTTCGGATTATGATTCATGACTTGATAGTGAAATTTATTGATATTCTTTATCTTTTATCTTTTATCTTTTATATACTGGTATTGTATTTTTTGTTTAACTCTTATATACTCAAATGTTATAAGCTTTAAGGTGATGCAGCTAAGCAGTTGGCTGAAATTAAATTCAAACTTCAAGAATCTGAACGTGAAAATACCAATTATCAAGGAAATGTTCGTTTTATTGCTCTTAATAATAATAATGAAACGTCTAGTTAGCTTTTTTGATTTCTAAATTGGCCGTTGCAAGTTTTTTTTAAAATATTTACAGGGCAAATTTAGTTTTCTAATTGGATAACTGATTAATTGATTTTTTTATCGTAGACAGATGAATGAAGTGTGATGTGAAAAATAGATGGTAATTGAAGAATAATTTTTAGATAATCCGTATCGAAGGACAACTGAAAAGATTTAAAGCAAGTGCTGAACAGGCTGAGAAGGAACTTACTGATTTGAAATCTCAAAATCGTCAATTGAAAAAAGATGTTAGTTATGTTAGTTATAGATTTAATAAGCTAAATTTATTTAGAAATTCAGAGAATAAGAATCACTATGAAACTGTTCTGGAAATGGCGAAAAAAAAAAGTGTACTTTTCTTTTTTGCTTAATTTATTTTCTAGCACTGAGATGGAAAATTAGATAAAAATTTCAATCGTTAGAATCATTTCCGGTTAGTGCAGAGTAATGTTATCAGTTATTTATAAATAATGACAGAAAAAAGGATCTTTATAACAATAAATCATTTTGCGAACATTTGCAGCAAATGAGATAATGACATTTTTGTAACAAATTATAAGGTTGAAGTTCGCTAGCGCTGTTTCTTTGCTAGATTGTTGCTGCCATTTATGCCACTGAAATGATAAATTAGAATTGAGACCTGCTGTTATTTGGTTGTCTTCTCGTTAATAAATGAATTTTAAATTAGGCATATTATTAAAAATGGAATGATTCGTTGTTGAGGAGAAACCTTTTAGAATTTTGAACCGATAAAATACATTCATTTTTCTTTTCATTACGTTGTAATAAAAAAGCCAGTTGTTTTTTATTTTAGATAATTTTAAAATCTTCATAGCTCTATTTTATTTTAACATTTTTTTCTTTCTATATGAGTATTATTTTTTGTTTTTCAATAAGTTTGAAAAGTTCTTCTGACCTTTTAATAAATCCCAATGGTAAATGTGCATGAGAGAGCAATTATCTTCTAAATTCTAAATTTCAGTTACGCGATCGAGAAAATGATCTAGAGGAAGCCAAAGAAACCAACCGACATTTGCAAAATCGTCTTGAAAAACTTCGATTTTCAAGTTCGAGACGTGTACAATAATAATCTTATTTTATGCAATAGTATATTTTTGGCCATATTAGTGGTATGTATTTAGTATGAATTTAATGCTAGTTTAATAGCTTTTATTAATAGAAAATTATTCGTTTAAAAAATTTTTTTCGTTTTTTTGCAAAAATTTTGTCGTTCATTTTGATTCTTGAAAATAGCTTTACTATTTCTTTTTTTGCAATTTTTTTCTTTGTTTTTATTTAATTTTTAAAAATTGTATCAGTTTTAATTTTGATTAAAATCGCCTAATGAATTTCATTTCGTAAAGTTTCTTTTACATTTCCCATCCAAATATTTCTAAGGAATCTGAAAAGTTTACAATTTCTTCCTTATAATTTTGTAAATACATTTTTTATTTTGTACTTTTTCCTAAAAAGGAATTTGCTCTAACAGATTTCCATAGATTGGGTAATTTTGTTCATTTCCCATACTTTTTTATAATTCTCAATTATCTTTTGGTGACGCATTTAGCTTTGGTGGTAGTTTTTCCATAGCACTTCCTAACTTGGCACATCTCATGAAATATGAACTTTTTTTTCATTCGAATAATATCTATTTTTCATTGTTTTTTTTACAAGAAAAAGCATTATTCTAAGAATTTTTTGAAGATTTATTTCTCCTACAAGTGAACATTTCACATTATGAATAATTGTTGGATACTATAATTTTTATGCCGATTTGTCCAAAACGAATTAAATATGAAAATATTTCGTATGGAACAGAAATATTGTTGTTGTATTTACTAACTAAAATATTTCCTTTTTTCAGACCAAATTGCATATTTTTTTGGCTTTAGAAGACTCTAATGAAGCAATCGTTATAATAATTTACCTTTTGCATAATTTTATTGTTTGATTTTATTGCTCATCTACCGTGCCATTTTTCATTTTATAAATTGGATAGACTTTTTCATTCGCTGATTTTGCCATAAATACTTTTTGTTTTTAAGTACCAATTGCCAGTAGTTCCTAACATTTTTTAAATGTTTGTTAGGTTTAAAATCTTAAAAAAGTTTTTATGGTAGATCGAAATGTGGAATTAAATTAAAGTAATCAGTAAAATTCAAATAGTAAAGATAAGATTTTCAAATTATTAAAAGTAGAAGTGGTCTTTCGATTCCGATCTTTTGATGCGAATAAACCTGTCATCAAGAGCGGAACGAGGTCATATTTATTTAAGGTAGATTACCAACTGCTGGACGATACTTGTATGGAAGGAGTTTTAATATTTTAAGAGCAGCAATGGATAAAGGCGTCCAAAGCTACCAAGGAGAGAATTTTAACATATGGTGAAAAGCAAGGTTGAGAACCACTAGGAACCACAGTACAAGGTTGAGAATCATTGATTCCTATCCACCTTTATTCGTTGTGGCAAAATCACTGGACAGCGAAACTATATATATTTAAAAATGGATAATAATGGTGATGAAAAAAGAAATGCATAATAAGAAATAATATTTAATAAATTCTGCAGTTGGCTGTAAATTTTCGACGTTAATTTGTTGCAATTTTATTTTTGGTGCAATTTTTTCGCTAAAAATTTATATGCCTTATTATTATTATATTTAATTATATTACTTTATAATAAGCTTCTTTATTGCAAAGATAAATTTCTGTATATTTATTTATATTTATGTTTGTAAGTATGTATATATATATATATAAGGCGTGTCCCCTAGGCGGAGCAGCCAGAAAACGAGGGCGTCATAATATTTTTATATCGAGGAAGAGAAGAGACATCGGCTCATTTCTTCATATCCATAAGTGTGGCACTTTTAAAAATGCTAACTTTTTTCAGTATCATCTTCCTCTTATCACTTCTCACCATGGCGAATTCAGCACCATTTATACAGGTTAGTAATATATAATAGAATTATCGCTAAAAGGCTTAATAAATGAACGTTAATAAATGTGAAATCAAATGTAATATGGTGAAGTTCAGTGAAAAATTTAGGTATAATTATTCCTTTAAGGAGGGATATTTTCTGTATTTTATCCATTTTACTAGAATAAAAATTATGTATTTATATGAAATTATTACTCAATTTTTGTCTTTGATTAAGGATTTTCTAAAGGAATTATTTTTATTATTTTTTTTATTTAGAAATATTATTACTATAAAGATCTTGCATATATATATATATTTTCATTATTTTCGTTTGCTGTGCAATTTTTTTGAAATAAATAACGGAAAAAAAAAGAATAGAATATATTTCGAAAGGTGAAATTTTCTCAAATATATACTCACTCACAATAATTTTCTCTTTATTATCTGTGTGGTACAATTTGGGATTAAAATTGTCATAATTTTAGTAATGAAATCGGAAACAAAATTAAACAATATGTAATATTTTTTGTTTGTATTTTCTGAAAATCACATGAATTTTTTTCTCTTAAAAATGAACTTTTATATTAGTTTTGTTCTCACACAAAAAAAAAATTCCTAAATATAATTTTCACATAAATAATTATTAATAAAAAAAAAAAAGAAATATTTTAAGAGAGTTTCGAATTAAATATATTTGTTGATTTTTTATTACAAATTTCACATGGGAAACGCATGAAACAAATGGTTCATTTGAAGAAGTAAAAACTGATTGGAAAATTTAATTCGAATTTTCAAATACCATATGAAAATTAATTGCTGTGGCACATGCATTCATTCATTTTCGTTTGTTTGGTTTTGGGCCATCAATTTAGCCTCGTAAAAAATAGATAATGATTTTAAAAACGGCTAAATAATGTTGGAATTGTATGCGATGAACTGGAAACGAATTGAACTTGTCGCTAGTTCATTTTTTGCCAATAAATATGTTAGACCATATCATATCATTCCATATCACTAACTGCCTAAACATTAGTTCGTATCGCTTCATATCACTAGATGCCTGAACATTATAATATATTAGTTCATATCATTAGCTGGATAAACGTTAGATCATATCACCTTATCATTTTATCTAATAAATATGCTATTACATTTTCAATGATAGTACCATAAAATCTTAAGTGAAGTACCATAAAGGTACCATATAACAAATCAAATCAATTTAAGTTCAATCTAAATGATTTAAAAGGTTGTTTCCAGCATATCACCATTTATTATTATAATAGTTTTTCACCACTTTTTGGCGAAAAGAAAAAAAATTATAAAAATTTCGAATATGATTAGTAAAATCTTAGGAGATAATATTACAGTTATCATTTTATACCTTATGGTGGTACTCGGAGACCATCTAATTCTCTCTTGAAGTGACTAATTCTAGTCATCAAAGAGATCTCTTCTAATATTCAATGCAGCTAATCAAATCAGAAGCATATCAGACGTTAGAAGCTGATAAGGGATGATATGATCGATGATTGCTTTTATAAGGATTCCGTTTGCATTCCGTTTTGCTCATATGCCAATCATTCTTTTTGCTGAAATTTTCGAAGCATATCGTCAACTATAATTGAGTTGCAAATCTAGCAAATTCTTTTGGGATTATCCACGGTGAATGCGATAAAAATGATTGGTATTTTATGATGATTCTACGTTAAAAAAATCCTTCGAACAAAAAATTTTTTTCAACATCTTTTTTCAACAATTCGCTTCCAGCGTAGGCGCAGATGAATAAACAACTGTAAAGCACGGATTAAGAGAGGATTGCGTTTGTGCCGAGCAGAAAATCAACGCTGCATTAGTTGTATTAATCCTTTAGTGGAATTCACTTCCGTATAGCTAAAAATAGCAACTAGTTCGACGATTCCATGCGACGAAGCAGCTGAGCATTTCGAATTCCTATAGAAGTATAAAACTAATTATACTTAAAAATGGGTTATCAAAACGAGAATTTTTCGATGCTTGTTTCGATCCATTTATTTTTTAATTTGGCCCTATTAGTGTAAATTTTTAGTCATAGGATCACTTGGAGATAGAATAAGGAAAGCAACAACGGTTCGAATCGTCGCAAATTCTCTTTATCCTTCCGGTGAGGATCCTTGTGCGAGAAGCTCTGAAAGCTTATCTGTCTTGCCTTACTCTTCTACGCCTCTGCTAGAAGATGCAGGTGACTTGCTATCACCATTCGCTTTTAATGATACGACAAAGGATGGAAAATGGAACCACAATTCTTGGCCTCAATCGACCATCTTCACTGCGTGTATTTTTGATAATTGGCAGAATGATTGTTATCACCGTTAACATTGGCTTAAAATCTCGCAATTAAAATTGCTCTTAACGAAGTTTAAAATTATGATAAATACAAAAAAAGAAAAAGATTTTAAAGTGAGGATTTTATCTTAATATTTGAGTTATTTTATTTTCGAAAAAATATAACTAATCATTTTATAAAAGAAGCCTAAATTTCAATGATAATTGTCACATAGTATTTTCTTCTTTCTTATCAGTACTGTTCATTAATTTCGCTAAAATTATCAAAAGTCCACAAAAATTTCAAAAAAATATTTTTCTTCATCTATAACCTGAAATATGAATTCTGTCGCAAAAAAAAAATCGAAAGCAACTTTATGAGTTTCTTGAGGTGGTTTTATTTCCTAAAGATGTCAGTAGAGTTCTTCTTTGAAGCACTGAAGTCCACTGCATCACCATAGCTGATTTTTCGGATAAATATAGCCAGGAGAGAGCGATTTAGCCATTTTGACGATGAAAGTACGGGTTTGTTTCTGATGCACCAAAATGAGAAAGTCAACAACTCACTGAGCTATTCCACATAAATTTCAAACAAATTTTTAAAAGTCATGAAATTTAAAATTTATTCCATTGTCAAATCTTATATTTCTTTCTTCCACACATAAAATTATTAAATCTTCCTTCGCCAAAACTTTTTTCGTTACATTATAAAAATAGATTTTCATTAACTTTAAAAAACACTTCTTAAAAGAATTTCCTTCCTGAATTTTCTTCTAATTAATTTTCTTTAATTTTCAAATGATTTCGTTTTATTGGTTTTAATTTTTTTGGATTCTTTTCCTATAATTAATCCAAATTCAATCTCAATGCATTTCACGTCATAAGATCGCAAATATTGTAAAAGTTGTTGTGTAATATTGAAAACTATAAAACCTTGGATTACCATTATTCGACTTTTATTGTCTTTGATAAGTATTGCTTTTTTTAATAAATTGGACGCACTCGGTCCATAAGGAAATGAAATAATTGAGTGGTTGTTGTCCCAGATTACCAGATTTCGCAATAGGAGTAAATCACCATTATAAGGAATAAAAGCTGGATGACTGAAGATCCACAATAAATGTGTTGTATTTCTTCAACCAGAAATAGTAACTGCTTATCTTATTATTTTAACGATATTTTCTACATTTGCTTTTAATCCTTTTGAAACTTTACAAAAAATCGTAATTCTCATCTTCTTCTTCTTCTAACAGCTCACACGGTTAGGCTGACTCCAACGGCTATAAGGGTAAGACGCTTCCAAACGGTGCAGTCTGATGCCATTGTCGACAGTATACAGAAGCCATTCCTTTTTCCATCGTCTAAGTCCATATATTGCTGGTTGATCTATACGTTCAAAATCTTTTCTCACCGTGTCAGTCCAGGTCTTGATTGGCCCACCTCGCTTTTGATTCCATCCATCTTAAATCTTAATTCTCATTCGATATTCGAATCAATTATATCTTATTTGGAGGTGAATTTTAAGATAAATTCTAATAATGAAGTTGTTTTCAAGATTTCTTATCAGAACTTGCTAAGAACGTTTATGGCTTGAAACCAACGAATATACTAACCATTTATTTATATTTTACTAGAAAATTAATTTCTTCTCTGTCATTTCATACTGCAAAGATCGTTGGTACTGATATTTTAAATTCTATTTATAAGCAAATCTCTTTGCGAATCTCTGCTGAACTGATTTGCGTGGGAGGATTTCGATGAAGTTAGGATTTCTCGAAATTTTTGAATTTTAATTTAATTATTTTAGAGCTTTGCAAATTTATTTGCATATTATTTTTCTTGCTAGAGTATTTAATTAAAAAGAAAAGCTCTCTTTTGAATAAATGTATATATATTGAAATATACTGATTATATACTGATTATATACTGATAAACTGATTATATACTGATTATATACTGATAAACACTGATTAAATACGTATTTATTTTATTTCTGTTAATGGATTATAATGAAGCGTACAAATGCACTCTATTATTGCATTTATTAGAGTTCGAAAGAAGATAACAAGAAGAGGATCATGATGGTGTGATTAGCATTATTTATCATAATTTTGCAGGCTTTGAAAATATTTAACGAATAAGCATGAGCAATTGAAAAAAAATGCGAGTTCAAATATCCGAAGAGATCCACTATCACTGAAACATATCAATCAGCCCACAAAATTGTTGGCATGCTGAATTTGCTCCTTACTTCACACTTTTTGAATATATTTTGTAGCACAGTACTTTCAATGATAACTGTTTATCACTTAAGTGACAAACTGATCTGATAACTGGTTGCAGTCATACTCTAAATTGCAGTTATACTATTGCAGTTATAGTGGTACTAATGAATTCAATAAATCTTTTAGAGTAATAAAAGGCAAATTAAATTAAAATTTTATCAAGTATTGAGTACTTGTTTGTGGCTTTAACGCAAGACAAGCAATATTTTCTGGTTTTAGCTCGTATATTGGAGAAAAATTAAAGACTTCCTCTCCTGTAACTGAGCATGTTGTGAATCAACTATTTGCAGTCCTAAGACTGAGGCTATTCCATTTTTTTGATCAAGCAGGCTACCCTTGGTCCGGTAAACGGTCGACTGAAATTAAATACATCAAGATCTGAATTTGCGATGACAGCGTGGCAAAACTAGGCCCACTATCTCCTAAATCCTGTGGATCCTATTGCAGAACGAATTTGAATCGGCCAATCATAATTGGTACCGTCTCTCTGTCCATTATGTTAACTCTACATAGCACTTTATAATATCGCCAAATAAACAAATCTGTCCTGATTATTGTCCTCAGAAATTTATGGGCAGATTGTCTTTTGTTTTGAATTACTCAAAATTAATATTTTTTTTCTTAGTTAATTGGTCTATTCAAAGCGTAAATTCTCAAATGTAGAAGGATGCTTAATTGATAAAATCTAAAAATTTATTTTTTCATAAATCTCTTTCAATTTGATTTCATCTTCCCACGCATTTCCCGTTCATTTCTCAAATTTTGATTTATTAAAATAATTTTTTTTTAATACAAAGTTTTTAAAATATTTAAAATAAATATAAATAATGAATAAATATAAATAAATATTATATACTTTTTTTTTTGAATTCCAATAAATTTATATATATTTAAATTTAATTTTATAAAATTAATAACTTTTTTTGCGTAAAATTTCATGCAAATTTGATTTAATTTGTTAAGCAAATTATCTACGAACATTTTTTTAAATTATTATTATTATCATCTTATTATCACCTTCCATTTTTTTTGACAATATTTTACTATCACTGATTTGGCCAATAAAATTGGCTAATGAAGAGGCGAACTTTCTAATCCGATTGATCACATTTAAATTCAATTTATATTTCGTATTCACTAATGATAATTCTTATCAAAAACTAAACATATGAATTATTATGATATTATTATTATGTTCATTTTATTCATGAATAAGATTTCTTTGAAATCATTTTTTCTGGAAAAATTAAAATTTAAAATAATCGAAACTAATTCATAATATAAATTTGAAACTTTGTTTATATTTATTTTCTCATCATTGCCTATCCATTTTCAGGTGTTTTTTCTAGATCTCTTTCTTTTTTCTTTAAAACTTTTTTTTATCGAAATTATCGAAATTCCGAAAATTCTTCCAATTTTTCGTTATTTTATTTTCTTTATTTTTGGTTTCGCTGAAAAACAATCATTGATATGATATGATAACAATATCAATTTAATTCTTAAAATTAATCTAATTTTCAATCGCTATAATTTAATGATAATATTTAACTTTAAATTTTAATTAGTACTATAAACAAATTTCTTTCTTTATTTTATCTACAATGGATAAAATGGATCTTTTACTGCTTTTCACTGCTTATTGTCTTTCAAAAAAAGTCAAATCCTTAGTTTTAAGCGAAAGCCAAAAGCGAAGTGAGCCAAAGCAATGAAATTGGGCCAAGCAAGAAGGTAAAGAAGAGTAAATTCACAACTCTTCGATATCTAACGACGCGTTGCCTACTAAATATGAAATTTTTATTAGTGTTCATCATTAGCCATAATATTTCTCGCAAAATTTCCACTTTCCGTTTAACAATATTTCCGTTATCAAATTACAAATTGCGATCTATTTTGCAAGTAAAATTTCTCGATGGAATAGAATTTCTTTTTTTTTGCATGCAAATAAATTTTTAATGCGATAAGCGATAATAATTTAAAAGAAAAACGAAAAAATTTCATATCTTTCATATAATCAAATTAATATAATAATTAATTTATCTTTTTTTTTCCATAGGAAATTTTTTAGTCAAAAAAATTTTGCAGTTCGATGACGTTCAATCATTGGTGAAGCGAAGAAATGCAGAATTAATTAACGGTTTAATCGGTATGGATCTGGGAAAACTGTCAAGCGTTGGTAAAAGATCGAACGCCGAACTAATCAACGGCCTATTGGGAATGAACTTAAATCAGCTATCCTCTGCTGGTCGACGATAACGAAAATCTCCACTTAATATTCAATAGAAATGCATAAAAATAGGTTATTTTAATTATTTTTTAGAGTTTTTTTAAAAAAAAAGCGAAGATTTATTTAATATTACGTAAAAAGAGATAATTGACAACTTGCATTGCACTTTTTTCCTCCTAATTATTTCAGTAACTTAGAGATAAATTTAAGACAACCAAATATCCAATGATAAATTTACTTACTTACTTACTTGCTGTCTTACTTAGTGTTGCTTTGTTGTTCAGTATGGGGTTTAAGTTTGGAAAAACAAAAATGCTTTATTTTGCATTTTTTCCCAACTCGGATATCCATTTCAAAAAAAAAATCCGTTTTTTCATCATTTTTGTTATTTTAATTAATTTTAATTAATTGGTTACAGCGATCGTAAAAAACTGAAAAAAAAATATTTTTGTTGAAAATGCAATTAACATAAATTTTTCTTCATTAATTATTTTTTTAATAATTCAATTTTTTAAAATGATTCAAAAAAATTTAAATTAAATTATTAAAATTAAATTAAATATTCATCAATATCAACATATGTATATCACAGCTTCCTCTACTCCTTTGGGTGACAAAGGTCATCCAAACCTGGGATCCTTCACCAGAAGAGGCCTAGAAGCTTGACGTTCTGCGCAGTATCTTAGCTATTTCTATATTGGTTATTTGTTGGTTATTTGGGCAGAGATCACTGATTTTCTTCTTGGAAATGCTCTTGAAACTTTTCTAGTTTAGGGGTCACAGTATTGCAATTACTTGAAGTACTTTCCATCTATAGTCGCTTCTTAATGATTTACATATATATATATATATAATTTATTATATCTACAATATAATTACATATATATATATATATATATACATATATAATTTATTACGTAAAATCAATATATATATGTATAAATTTATTTATTTTTTAAATTTCATCGGATTAAGTTTAGTGAAATCGATGATTTTGCTAAAATTTTGAAAAAATAAAAATATGAATATGAAAAAAATATGAAAAAATATGAAATATGAAAATATGAAAAAAAAATATGAAAAAATATGAATAAATTTAGAAATTAAGAATAAATTTTAGATGTAAATATATTTTGAAAACAATTTTGAATAAAAAAATTTCAATATTTTCGAATAAAAATTATTAAATAAATAATTTTTATTAAATTCTTTATTTAAAAATAGCATTTAATTAAAATAATTTATTTAGTAATTTAATAATAAATAATAATATATAATAATATAATAATAATAATATTTCAGATTGTTCAATCCAAATTCGTTTTTCTTTTTCAAATCGTTCGGTGATGCAAAAATTCATTGGATTTTTTTTTTTATAAATGGTGTATGCTGTATATTTGAAGTATATTTATTCCGATAATTTTGGCCTAAAAATTATTCATTATAAATTAAATAAATAAATGATTTCTTCGAATAAATCGTCTATTATCACTAACTATTATCACTAATCATTAACATTTAGCCAGAAATTATTTCATTTTATTTCTGGTAATTTAATGGCCACTAACATGAATATTTCTCACGCGAAAATTCAAATCGCTCTTTTATCGATATAACTTTTAGAAATTTTTAGAATTTAAAAATATTTATAATATTTCAGTTGCTTTTCTGGCAATTTCAAATATTAGAAAATATTACTATTTTAAGAATTGTCGAAATCCACGAAAAAGTATTGCACAAAGCAATAAACATAATTTTTATAAAAAATTTTAAGGGGATTTTAGCTTGGTTGCATGTTTCTGGATAGTTTTCCTGAAACTTCTTGAAACGGAATTTTTCAATTGTTCTCGGCAAAAAAAATTAATTTTTATGGTATAAGATAATACGCAAATAAACTGAGCATCTTCATTCAACCGGCATTCTTGTAATAAATCACTCTCGTTTATCGCTTATCGTGCAATCGTTTATCAATTTTATATTTGCCGACTTTCGTTAGAAGTTTTTGTTTTTTGTAATTGATAATTCAGACAATGAATGATAATAATGGTGATAATTAATAATAATAATGTCAATAATTAATAAAAATAATAATAAGGAATAAAACTAAGTTATCAATAAAAAAATTACCAATAATAAGAATAACAATAATAATAATAATAATTACCAATAATAATAATGATAATAGTATATAAATATCAATAAAGACAATAATAATAAAAACAATAATAATAAATAATAAAAAAAAACGATCAAAAACCTCAGCCGAATATCAGTTTTATATGTTTTAAGAAAATAGCGAATTTAAAGTATTCACATTGAGTTGTAAAAGAATTATCGCGATAGTACTGATAATTGATACTGATAATTTGATAAATTTTTCTCATGAAATTGGGACGAGAAAAAAATTTGCTTTATAAAATATAATGGGCAATCGCATATTCGGAGAGCCAAACGAAGAATTCTTGGCTCATTAAAAAAGAGAAATGTTAAAATTCTTTTTATTAAAAAAATTATTACTATAGAATTAAAAAAAAAAATTATTGCACAAACATGAGAAAATGAAATTGTTTGATTTTATGTATTTCTGTGATTTATATTTTTATCATTTTTATTATTTAATAATAAAATAGTGAATGAGTGGTGAGCGGTGACTTTCTTGTTGATACCATTCACCTTATTGGAATAAATAAATCTTCTTCTTATTCTCTCTTTTCTTACTCAATAATTATTGAATCTTAAAAGGTTTATTTCTAAATATTGTTAATCAAATATTGTTGGTCTGCCATATTCTTTAAGCTGCGCTCAACACAAATTATGTGAAATACAAGAATTTTAAAAACGACTACCGATTCTTCGAAAATATTGAAAATATCTATGAGAAGAATTTAATGATGTGGAATATTGGATCTATAAAAGGATATAAAGGATATACAAAATATCCGAGTATTTCGATCAACACCTTCAATTTTGTAACGATAGACCACTTCTATTCATAAACAAGGTTCACAAATTCACAATTCTGGAAGTCTCGAAATCTGGTGCAAGGTGAGTGATAGAGGACGCTTCATCAAGTCGACTCATGTAGGTGTAGGTGATTAATTCTGATATGAAGAATTTATACACTGCAAGCTTTCGCTTAAAATAAATATTTAGACCATAGTACCACACAAATTTTATCACTATTATCATTAACACAGCTTCATGTGGTTATTGCTTGCTTGACCTTCGAAATAATTAAATTCTAAGATAAATATATATAAAAATAGAAAACACTTAAGATCGAATACTAAAACTAAATAATTGTATTTGAACGTTCAATATCAAATTAATCATTAAAATGGTAAAGAAAGATTTAAGAAAACATTGATGCCCCGAGGGAAATTTTCATGAAAAAACCAGTTTTCATTGCTAAATCTAATAGAAAAGCGCAAATTCATTGTGACGATTTAGTCAAAAAATAAATATTTCTTTGCTAAAATCCAAATGAACTATAAATGAGGATCATTTGCGTCTGGCATAAGCATTCTTCATAAATCAGCAATTGTTAAAATAAAGCTTTATACGCTTAGCCAAAAACTATCTGTAAAAGTTAGCGCCTTTAGCCAGAATCTTTCTACCGGCAATTAAGACTTGAATAGTTGAAATTAATAGTTCCATGATTATCGACAACAATGCCGATTGGTATCGAATTATTTGAAAGGGTTCTGAAAAAACTGTAAACCGACGACCAACTACTTATTATTTATAATTTAATATTTATAATATGCCTAAATTTTTTATTTTTACATGAAATAATTGCAATGTTTCAGCAAAAAAAATTACAATATTTATTCATAAATTAACAATTTATTCGTATATTTATTATTACATATGGAAAGTAAAGGCCAAAGTAATTTTAATGATAATTGGAGCTTGGAACTGTGACTCCTAAATTAGAAGTGTCTTCGGTATATTACAGGAATATCATCAGAGACTCCTATCCAAAACAGTGCACTATTAGGAACAGCTAAGATACTACACAGAAAGTTCTTTAATCCCCCACACCTCTGGTAGGGGACTAAAAGTTGAAAGATGACCATGATTGCCACACATAGTGAAAAAAGATTATTTATGGATATTTGTCAGACTTTTTATTTAATTTTCTAAATTGAAATGAATGATATGGCAAATGAGATGAACGAAAGTCTACGGCAAAAATACTTTATCAAATTAATGAAAATAGTAGTACCTTCAGATTGTAAAAGTTCGTCAACACTTTTAAAGTTCATATCTGAAATTTCTGAGAAAATCGAAGCGATTTAAAAACTTTTATAAAATAGTTTAAGTACGGTTGCACAATATTTTTGCTGAAATGTAGAATTTCCCGTAGACATTCGAAATTAAAATAAGTAATTTTAACTTATTGTCGCTAACATCGATGTTCGAAACTTCTGGAAAAACTTTTAATTATACAGATATGTTTATATCTCATTAAATTATTATAATTTAAAATTATTATTGTACTTATATTAAATATAAATCATTCGCAAAAACAATACAAATCAAATTATAAATCACAAATATTATAAAAATTTAAAATTTTAAAAATATCTAAATATGACAAAAATTAAATATTTGAGGGCTGCGGTTTAACCAAAAATCCAAAAGAACGTTTAGCAATAGATCCCCGAGAAAATTTATGCCGTAAATGCCGCCTGAGTGGTTTGCCAACCTAAAAAATGGAATATAGTATGATTAAATGAACGAAAAGAAAATATTTAAAGAAGAAACCGCAAGTTTCTTGATCAAAAAACATTTATTTTTAGAAGCGAATATATCCTTGAGAAAAAAACCTATTTCGGAAGCAAATTAATAGTGTAATTAGATTTTCGGTAATTTAATATTAAAAATTTCGAAGAACAATGAAAGAGCAATAATACCCTGAATTTAGTTATTTTTGAAAAAACAAACTTTTGCTTCAATTTGTTCTTTGTATTGCATGAAAATATCTAAAGAATCCAATGGTTCCGTATCATCTGGCACAGATATTGATAAATCTGTCCTAAAAAAGAAAAGAAAATGACATCGATACTCGTTCAATTTGAGAATGTGCATTTTTTTTTGTAACAAAAATTTAAATATTTCTGGTTTTAATCTTTGCTGTGCCATGGGCCATCACTTTAAACCTCCACATTTCTCCTTTGAATTTTTTTTAAATTCTCATGGATGAATTTTTCCGCAAATGTCCGAGCTCAAGAATCGCATACAAAATTACCTGCTGTGAGAATTTTTTATTTAACAGCCCTCACCATTACTAGTTAGACTCGTTCCGCTGGCTTATCGTACTGAACAATCATGCCAAGGAGTCCCTTAGATCCGATAAAAGTGCAGGTGAATCGCCAGCATCACTCGGATTTTTGAACAGGTTTACTCCTGCGGGAAATAGAACCTCAAAATCGGCGCTCTGAATTGAGCAACAACCCACTATCCACTATCTATCCTATCTCCAAAAAAAATCTGGGATGCTTCATGAATTTGTATGTCATCGCGGAGTGCAGAGATCATGCTAATCTTCCCTGTATTGTTCCAATTTTAGTATATGTTTATCGCAATAGAAGCATGATTAAATGACAAGAAGTTTAAAATAAGAGCAATCTTTAACAAGATAAAGCGAATGCTAATTAAATATCAAAACAATACTCTTTGTCGCATATATCCTTTAAATAATAATTGGATGTTGTATGTTGACTAAATGCAAAATCTGTTCGTGAGCCGAATGGTAACAACAGATCGGATGTTATGCCCCACAAATGAAGTAGAGAATTTCGAGCAGCCATATCAACAGCGATTGGCAATGTCTCACCAGGACCTTAATAAGAAAATAAATTAAGCAGAAAAATATTAAATAGCTGACCTTTGAAAAAATTACGGAATCATAAAATCTTAAAAAATTAAATGAAGAGAACAGTTGAAATTGAAAACTGAAATTTGAAATATTAATATATTTCATCAAATTAAAATTAAAAGGTTCATTCGTCACAATTCGCTTTTCTTTAACAATAGTAAACTCGTTGTTCAAGTGAAATCCGCAATTATAATGATTAGAAAAAGAGATTGCAAGATAATTAGAAAAAAGTTAAAGTTAAAGAAAAAGTTAAAAAAGTTAACTATAAAGTTAATTATTGATATATTGCATACTTTGTGCAATGATCTTCTTATCAGCATATATTCCAACAATAAATATGGGTTCTGCAGATATTTCCCCAGCTGATCGAAGAATTCGCGGCTCGATTTCAGAAACACCCTTCTTTTTAAGAATATCACTCAATACAGAAAAAGGTTGAGCGAGAGGATAAGCATCAGCAAAATCAACTTCCAAAAGCCAAGGTAATATTGTTTCAAAAATAAGCGTTTCAGCTCTGAAAAAAATGATAACTATGGTGATTCTTTTTTCTCTTTAGCATTAACCACTTTCTATTTCTTTGCCTTTGCTAATTTATGACGTGCCACTGTTTCGTCAGCAGCTGAATTGAAAATTGAAGCATATGCAATCCCCAAAAATGTTGCAGAGATAATTAGCTCTAACCTTGTGTTAGTACCACACACTGATCACTAACAAAAAAGAAAGGACAAAGGTACTACGAAGTCATTTGCAGTAATCAGAGACAAGCATGGCAATTTGCCCAGTGCGACAAACCAGCGTAGCGAGTTTTTACCAGTTTTTTTAACCAGTCAGGAAAGAGAGCCGACTAAATAGAACCGAGAAAGAAAAAATAAGAAAAACAGCAAAATACCTGACTGGATGCAGCGATGCTATCAATGAAGCGAATGCAGCCGAAATGGTCTGCTGAGAAGGTGGAAATTCAGCTGTACGCACGAGATAATTGAATCCCAAATGTGAGGCAACTGAAGCTATACGACTTTCTTTGGTGAGTTCTTCTGATATTGCTAAAATTAATTCTTCCGGTGCTCCAGGAAGAATATAACGAATAAATGCTTTTACAAAGTCATCGATGAATTTTCGGCCTATAACAGAATAAAATTTAATTAAAACTTTACAAATATGACTCTTGAAATATGATCTTACCTTGCGCGATAAGTTTACCGTTATGTTCGATATCACCAACATTTTCAGCTTTCATTGGCACAGCACCAGATGAATCGTCTTGCACATCTGCACGTTTTGAAAATGATTCGTCCGTCAATGCTCGTACAACAACTTCAGGTGGAGTTTTTGGTGCTTTTATACGATGCAAAAAAGCATAAATCTCCGAATCATAATTCCTGAATGCTTTATTTTTGCTCTTAGTCTTTCACCCTGAAGTTTATCATTGGCTAAAGTTTATCATTAAAATTATCACTAAATTTCTATTTTTTTCACTTCTTCTATTCTCTACAAATTTCTCAAAGAACAAAAAAACCAAATAAGTAGAAAATCGAATTGCCAACCGCAAATAAAACTAACTTTATCCTTTTCCTATGAGAAAAACTTTATTTTTTTTTTTGCAGCACACGAAAATTAAAAACAATAACGAAAAAATAACTCAATCACACCGAAAACTATAAGAACTATTATAAACTACAAATTTTATAATATAATTTGTGAAAAATGATTTCTAAAATGAAATTTTTTATGTAAAATAAAAATTTTACATAAATTTTATAAAATTTAAAATAAATAAAAAAACAAATTGTATACTTTCAATTCGACTTAAATCACTGTCCTTGTTCAATACTATTAATATTAATTAGTTCATTAAATTAATATTATTAAATTTTTCATAAAAATTTATGTTTACTGCCCATGTTTACCATATGTTAAATATATAAAAATAAATTAATTATGAAAAAGACAAGAAATGAATGAAAATATTTTCAAAGATTTACATATATAATTTTAGTGCCCTTATGGGTAAATAATTAGTTATTTAATCGATTTATAAAAACAATAAATGTTGATGAAATGACAATAAGTAGAATATAGCTGAGAATGAAAAAGAAGAGGGAATTTTAGATTTTTTAGTGAGAGATAATACGAAAAATCATAATAATAAGAAGAGACGAACAGTAGATTCAACTGCGATTTATTTACATGCGAAAAACACCAAATTTCGTATCTCGAACTATCTTATTCGATGTTACTTGTAGCAAAAGACCTAATAAACGACGCGTATCTTTAGGATCTATGATACCATCATCCCATAAATGAGAAGAGGCGAAATAAGGATGACCTTCTTGTTCAAAACGTTCTTCAACAGAAGCTTTCAATTTCCTTTCTTCATCATCAGTCCACGATTTTTTATCACGAATACGTCGATCGCGTTGTACTTGAGCAAGTACGTTCGCAGCTTGTTCACCACCCATCACAGAAATTCTTGAATTTGGCCACATAAATAAAAATTGCGGGTTATATGCTCGTCCACACATTCCATAATTACCAGCACCATAAGAGCCACCAATAATAATGGTTATTTTGGGTACATCAGCACAAGCAACAGCATTTACGAGTTTTGCACCATGTTTTGCAATTCCACCAGCTTCAGCATCCCTTCCAACCATAAAACCAGTGATATTTTGCAAAAATAATAGAGGAATTTGTCGTTGACAACATAATTCAATAAAATGAGCCCCTTTTAAGGCGGATTCAGAGAAAAGAACTCCATTGTTGCCGATAATACCAACTGTTCTTCCATAAACTGTTGAGAAGCCAGTTACCAAAGTTTCACCATATCGCTTCTTGAATTCATCGAAACGCGAACCATCAACAATACGAGCAATCACTTCACGTATTTCAAACGCTTTTTTCAAATTTGCTCCAACAATACCATACAGCTCTTCAATTGGATATAAAGGTTCTTCAAATGGACTATAGTTGTTGAAAATTTTCGATGAATTATTTGGAGTTAATCCAGCAATTATAGCTCGAGTCTGATTAATTGCATGACTATCGGAAATCGCATAATAATCAGTTACTCCAGATTCCATACAATGAAGATCAGCGCCACCCAGTTCTTCAGCACTAATCTAAAATGAAATTACTTGTTTTTCCTATACTTTTTTATTTTTATCATTTTCCACTTTTAGCTCATTTTCAAACAAAAAAAATTCCGAAAAAATTTACTTCTTCACCTGTCGCTGCTTTAACGAGTGGAGGACCACCTAAAAAAACTGTACCGCTATTCTTTACGATCACTGCCTGATCTGCCATAGCAGGCACATATGCACCACCAGCTGTACATGATCCCATTACAACGGCGATCTGTGGGATTTTCAACGAAGACATAGTTGCTTGATTAAAAAAAATTCGTCCGAAATGATCTCGATCCGCGAATATATCCGCCTTAATCAAATATAAATAAATAACAAAAAAAGTTGCAAAAAAAAAGATGAATTAGTAAGAAGATATAAATATAAAATAAAATAAGCGAAAAAAATTACTTGTCTAGGTAGATTAGCGCCACCGGAATCAACGAGATATATACAAGGAAGACGATTTTGTAGAGCAATTTCTTGTGCTCGAAGATGTTTTTTAACAGTGATTGGGTAGTATGTACCACCTTTAACAGTCGCATCATTAGCGATTATCATACATTCTTGATTAGAAACACTAGCAATACCAGTAATAATACCACCAGCAGGTACATCTTCTTCTCCATACATCTTATAACCTGCTAACTGTGAAAGTTCAACAAATGCTGACCCAGCATCCATCAGCGCATTAACACGCTCTCTGGCGAGCATTTTCCCTTTCTCCTTATGGCGTTTCTTTGCGATTTCATCACCACCATTTTCAATTTTTTCGATAATTTGACGTAGATCATTCACTAATTTTTGCATTTGAATTGAATTTGACTTGAACTCTTCATTAGATGACTCAATGTTTGATTTTAAAGGTGTCCATAATAATTCATATTTGCTTATTGTATTATGAATACATCGATTATAATTCCTATAATTCCTTGTTGTTTTTTCTCACTACAAAAATATATAGAAATTAATAGGTGATTAATCTGCCAATAACAATATCAAATCAAATAGAACAAAAAACTATTAGAAATAAAAAGTTTTCTAAAATATTTAAAATTAAATTAAAATACTTTAAAATTCATTCAAGACTAAAAAAATCTTCCAATAGCGAAAGTCGAGTGGCGGAAATCCAGAATTAGGTTCAGTTAAATGAAGAATAGGCTAAGAGATAACTAGATGCCTCAACAATTAATTGATTTGATCCGATTTTATAGAAAACTTTTGAAAATAATTTACCAGCAAGTTTCATAAAAAAAAAGAATAACGAATTTGCATTTAAGGTGATAATATAAAAACACTGTTGTTGGCAAGAATCATTCTCAACCCCGGGTTATCTACCAGAGGACTGGCAGACTGAGGGTTTTACGCAGTGTGTTAGCTATTTCTAATAGTGCGCTCTTCTGAATAGAAATCTCTAATGTTGTTCCAAGAATCTATTGAAGTTGCTTGTATAGTTTACCAGCCACAACCCTACTAAAACTGAGATTACTTTGGCTTTCACTTTCAGGCCCTGGTATTTCTCATATCCCTCACATCTATCTTTTCGATGTCACTTTGTATTAACTATATCTGTAATCGGTGCTGATATTTGGTTCCTGTCTTATGATATCTGGTCGAGTAACAGTGCTTTGGATGAAGTCGCACAGGATCTTGGCCTTATTATTCTCCATAATTTTCTGAGTGAGTCTTGGGAGGATTTAAGCCATATAATGAATACATTTAAGAAATTTTTTGAGACCAAACTTAATCACGATGCATCATCTCTTATTCGGGACATAGAGGAAACACTCGTCCGGTCATACGTTTGCACCTTTGATTCGTTAGCACAACAGGAAATAATCTAGAAGTTCATGCAGAAGCTTAAGGCCAACAAACTCCTAGAGAAGATGGTCTTCGAGTTTTCATGATGGTTTTCCATAGTCCTCCATAAACATTCAAAATTTTCAATAACAAATATGTTCCCTGGTATAGAAGAAAGAGATAACACAGATGACTGGAGCAAAGCAGTTCTGTTCCTTATTTCTAAAAAAGGCAAAAAATACTGGTGACCATTATCGATTGAATCAGCCTATTAGATTCGGAAAATTTTTTCTCATCTTCATTTCATTTTGATATTTTATCAGCATATAGCGGCATAAATCTGTACATATCTATGTATATGGGGGGCTAACAAAATCCTTCGAAATAAGAATCCATTAAGATTGCATCCTAACAATATTCAACTTTGCGATAGTCAGGATAGTGGACATCGCTTGCCCGTACTCAATCACGAAATACTGCTAAATAGTGTGTCGAGAACTGCAATGAGAATCGGAACCTCTTTGCCGTCCACCACAGGACATGTATTTTGTTTCTTATCAAATCCTTTGATGGATGGCGTCAAAAACGAAGAGCTCTAATCAAAAACTTGAACTGATATAGTCAGAAAAAATTTCGAATGCATAGATGGATCAGCGATACGTTACGCCTATGAAAAAATGAAGAGCTTCTATTATTGTTATAGTTGGCATCTGACCATGGAAACGTCTTACTCTTGTAGCTAGCAAAACCATCCAAACCAGCAATAATGCTATTAGAAGAAGAGAACATTCTTGTAGATAGTCCCATTCGATTTGGTTATGCTTTTTACTGCGTTATATTCGTGCTTGCATTTTAAATTCTATCACAATATTTGGAAGACTGAGGCATTTTTGCACAATATGCACCTCGGGTCGTGTCTGGTGTGATAAATCCCCATTTTCGTGGATCTGGTGCTTAATTCCTGCTTTTGTACTGCTAAGATATATTCATAAACAAAAATACCAACTGAAATCGTGAGCGAAAGCGAATCTTTTGCATCAATATCTTTTAATTCAGTTTTTTCTAACCACTGGTGCGACTTCTCACCTCAGCTATTTGTCGATACATCCTATGAAGAGCCTCGCTTTGCCACAGCATTTCTTCTGCTTGGCCTTTCTCCGAAATCTATAGATGCTTTAAGCATTCTCTCAGCCTTTGATGCCATCTAATTCATCCTTTGATGCCATCTAAATGTTTCCAACATTGTTGAAGATATTGCGATCTTCAGGGTTCTGCACAATAACTTAGCTATTCCTAGCAACTATATGTACATATAAAATCCATCTTTAGCGAACAACCCATGTGTATCTATTTTTAAAAAAATTACTTTCTAATCTAAACTAAAAAATCCGAGAAATGAATATTTCAGCTGAACAAAACAAACAGTAATAGAGAATGGGAAAAAAACGAAAATGAAACGAAATTTTTCATAAAGAAAAAATAAAAAAAGAAGAAAAAATATTTAAAAATATTTAGATAGCAAAATATTTTTGCAAATTTTAATCGCTAAAAGAATTTTATTTTAAAAAAAAATATTCAAATACACACATATAAATATATAAAAATATTTATAAAATTATTTTATCAAATATTTCCATTTTTTAAATTAATAATTTAAATTAATAATTCCCAAGCTGGTTTTTAGCTTGCATTTTAATTTTTTTTTGTTTCTCTTATTTTCTATATTTTGAGAAATTTAAAGAAATTTTGTCGATAAAAATGAGCGCCAGAAAAACAAGATGAAGGTCATTTGAAGATAATAATATGAGAATGAGAATTTTGAAAATGGAAAAAAGGAAACAATTAAATTAATCAAATTTATCAGATCGCCTTAAAATGTCCGAAAATGTCACCAATGATTTGCCAAATTTAGTAATTTGCAAGATGCTTCTAAAATTCGTTCGATTACAAGGAATCTCGAGCATTAGTGAAAGATTCATCAATCAAATGGCATAATTTGCCCACAGTATAGTATCATAGATTTTGAATACGCTAATTATGGAATTCTTTTTGCCAATAGTTATAATGCTAAGCAATATTTCGACAACTGAAGCAAAAATCTGTCTTTCTGTGGCTTATTTTTCGAACGTAGTTGTTAAAAAGTGGACCAATCTACATTTCAAAAAATGATAGTTTTCACTATGAGAAACTATAAAAGAACCATTTATTATGAACTGCTACAAGCTGATATAATTATTACATCGAAATCCTATTGTATAACCAATCTAAGGAATGTGGTAGCAACAGGAAATTTTTTTTCACAAAATTTAGAAACCACTACTACTAAAAATACTACTAAAATCACCCAAAAGAGGATCACGGAATTGCCTAGGTTTTGCCTCAACTTGTTTACTTTCCATTTTGATTAAATTAATATATATATATATTTAAATTTTTTTAAAGAACCCTCACCATTGGTCGTGAAACTCGCTCGATATTACGCTAGAGAAATATGGCAGGGAATACCTTCACGATAGAAGTGAAAATAAGTCGGTCGCCAACATCATCCAGATTTTTGGATAGATTCACTCCTGCGGGGAATAGAACCGCAGAATCGGTGTTCCGAATTAAGCAACAACCTAATGGGCCATTCTTTCTCCACGTTTGTATCATTGCACCATATTTTTTATTATTTGCAATATTTTGCAATATTTGATGCAAAATATGGTACAATATTAATTCCAAAACAGAGAACGTTCCCAAAAATAAAATTTAAAAGATGAAAAGTAGTATAATGGCGATTAAATTTTCATAAGAATTTTCATTTAACATTCTACTTCATTCTACTTTAATTTCAATCTGATAATTTGAAAAAAAAAACCGATATCAAAAAGAATCAGGAAGTGATATAAGTAAATTCGTACAATTCCTCACACTTTGCGGCCTTCGATTTAATTGATAGAGCGGTGCTTTAGAGGGTGATGGCATATGACGGTGTTCCAGAGATCATTCGACTCATAAAGGCATTTTATGGGCGCAGGTCTCTGTATATGGGGAATAGTCAGAATCAAATAAGAACTGGTGTCCACCAAGGCTACATCCTTCACCCTATAATATTCAACTAGGCTGAATAATGGACATTCAAGAAGTGTCCAAATCAATCCAGAGCATCATATCATAGATCTTGAATACGCTGATGACGTAATCCTTTTTGCTGATAGTTATGACGACATGCAAATAATCCTAAACAACAGCAACTGCAGCAAGAATCGGACTCACAGTCAATGTAAATAAAACGAAAGTCTTTTCGTCCTATGTGCAAGAAATTGATAAAATGCCTCTTTTTATAAATTCATTGCCGTTAAAGGCCCAATTTTAAATACTTTGGATCCCTAAGCCAAACAAAAGACGATATTACAACCCGAAGCGAAAAATGCATTCTTTAAAAACGAAACCTTTATGCAGTCATCATGAAATCACCATAAAAACAATTGGACACGGGTCCCTCACGAACGTTTTCGTGAAAGAACGTAAATCCAACAATTTTATATTGCGCATTTCTGCAATCTGACATTCAGTTTGTCAATGCCTGACTTCAACTTAGCGCTTCGGTGGGAATTGAACCACCACATCTATCGATGGGAAGTCCGTATCCATATAGCTGCGATTCGTTCAATCTTACTATATGACTACGAGAAAGGCCAATGAAAGTGCAGAATATTAAAAAAATATCTGCCTTTGACCACTTATGTCTAAGGTACATATTATGGATCTGTCGAGCGGATAAGATATCACATGATCGCATCCATCTTCGTTCAAATATCATTTGCACGAATAATATTATCACAAAGCCTTCGCTGGTTAGGGCACATTCTCCGTCGTCCACCACAGGAGTTGACATATATTTCGTTATTTGCTAAATCCTCTGATGGGCGTCAAAAGCGAGGAGGACCAGTCAAGACCTGGAGTCAGGAAAGATTTATAGTCAGGAAAGATTTTGAAAATATAGGGGAATCGGCGATATATGGACTTAAACGATGGAAAAAGGAAAATGGCTCCTATTACTGTCGACGATGGTTTAAGACCGCACTGCTTGGAAAAGTCTTACTCTTGCAGTAACTGGAGCCAGCCTGACCAGTAATGGTGTAAGCTGTTGGAAAACATGAGGAATAAAATCGTATATTTCACAGATTTACATAAATATATATAATCCTTTTAACAAATTTTTTTTTTCCCTAAGAATGCTTAGAATTCGTGATTGGGCTCGCTTCGCCAGCTTCTCCGACCAGACAAATTTTGCCAATGAATTGCCACTTAGCGATAGCAATAGTGCAGATAAGTGGTCACCAACTTAGCGTCATCAAATTTTATAATTTATAATATTTCATTTGAATATTTGAACAATTTATTTATAAGCATAAAAAGTAGAGAAAATAATTGAAAAATTTATCGAAAATAAAAAAATTATATAAAAACTTCTTGAATTTCTGAAGTTTTTTTCTCAAATGCTTTCTCGTAGGAAAAAGATAAAAAATATAAGTCTTATAAATTTCATTTGAATTACTTGAATCACTTGAATTTATTTGCTTTTCTTAATTAATGCTAGTTGTAAAAACATTGAAACGAAATGTACCAGTCTGGATAGCTAGAACGACTTATAATAGGATCAGCTCCAAGCAACATACGTCTATGATACAAATCCTTCAGAAATTCTCGTTCCCATTTTCTTCGTATATTTCTGACTGAAATTTTTAAACAACCCTATTTTTTAAATTATCACCAAGGCAAACCAGTAGAAAATGTAAATAAATTATCTTTCTCTTATTTTCATTATGGAATATTTTAAATATTTAATTTAAATTAAAAATATTTAAACCATTCATAAATAATAAAATTTAATAAAATTTTAAAATTTTGCAAATTTTATAAAATTAATACTAAAAATTAAATTTATCTATTTGAATTTATTTTCGAGTATTTTGCAATTTAAAGAAATTGAATAATTCAATTTTATTTAATAATTTTATTTTTTAATTTTCATATTTTATTTTATATAAATTTTTATTTTATTTTATTATTGAATTAAACGATAAACTAACCTGATAAAGTGAAAATTGATTTGTGTTGAAAGAATTTTTCAAAAAGCATATTAATTATAATGAAATAGACCTGCAAATTTAATTAGAACAATAAATAAAAATTATAATAAAATTAAAAATAAGAAAACGACAAAAAAAATGATTAAAAAAAGAGAAATACAACTAAACAGCTGATTTGCTCGAGTAAAAATTATCCTTTTTTTTTTCCGCGTATACTTTTGAACAAAGCACAAAGAAAAAAAAAGATTTATTCTTAAACAACAACCCGATTGCCTAAATACCCGTTTATATAAAAATCACCCCAAAAATTACTCAAAATCATTTGCATTGCCCTAAAAAATGGTTCTAAAAAATTTTAAAACAGGCCAACGTGCAATGTCTGCAAGTGCATTCAAGGAGGAAAAATCCAGACGAAAAATCCAAAGGACGAAATCCATTCCTATCAATAAGATAATATTCATTCTTATATCATCTTAGATATTTCTGGCAGGACGAATCATTTTCAGTTTGGATGACTTCCCAACTACTTTTTTTAGAGGATTTTCCAAAGAGTAAAGAAAAAAATAAACAGGTCGTTGGTACCACACAAACTTGACATGTGACAATTCCAGCCAGGCGACCTGTGTTTCTTCACCACAAATAATAATTAAGCGAGATTGATTGCAATATTAAAGAGGAAAATAAATTCATATGAATTGTAAATAATTGTATCGAATTGAATAAATTTAAAAATATGCGAAATAAATCGATTTAAAAAAAGGGATTTATCGAATAATTTTAAAATAAAATAAGAGAAATATATTCTTTACAAATCGAACCAAATACAAAATATTTTTCGTGCAAACCAACCTAAAAGAAATCAATTAATTAAGAAATAAAATAATGAAAAATTAGAAAAATTAATATAAATTAAAAATTATTAAAATAAATAAGTTAAAAAATTATAAGAAATAAACAATAAAAAATAATAAAAATATAAAATAAAAATAAAAATATATAAAAATAATAAAAATATATTAAAACAATAATAAAAAAATTAAAATAAAAGTAACAATAAAAATATCCGAGTGCTCGGTGGTGCCGTAAATAAATATACCCACAACCACTTCATGCTCATTACCTGCACCACCTTGCCTATGGAACTGCATCAGCTACTAGGAAAGTACCAATGTAAAACATCATAGTTGGCTTAAAGTCCTGCCACGATTGGCAAACTGCCATGCTCGTGGCGGTGTAATTTAAATTTAAAATTGGAGGAACGAAATTTGATGGAGATCCATTGTTCAGCTGTGCGTTCGCATAAATTGGTGTTTCCTAATTTGGTTGGGATTTTCGGTTATTTGTCGGTGAGATCAAAGGTCATCTGTGGTTCCAAGTAGGTGTGAAACTTCCTGGGTGTTCGGGGGAGAGGTTAAAGGTTATTTGATCGCTTAAAAAGTATTGACAGAGAGTTATTTAGAAGTGCTGGTGAGTGCCACTCGATTGCCAGTGTAGGTTTTAACTTTGAGATTTTCAAATGGAAGGATCGAATCAATGGTACTTGAATAAATATTATTTGGTCACTTCGGATGAGTTAAGGTTCACGTAATTCGAAAGTTATGGTTAAAAGTAAGTAAAAGTAAGTATTCGGAAAAATATTAGACAAATGTGGTCGCATTTTTCAAATATGTAAATAATCGAAAAGACGGATATTAATAGAAAATATTCCAAAATATAAAAATTCCTATATTTTTATGAAATTTTTCGAAGAAAAAACATTTTTTAAAAAATATATTTTAAATTAAAGAAATAAATTCAGATATCATTTTATCATATTGCGATTTAAAAACTAACAAACAAAAATCAGCCGACAATTACTGAAATTTTAGGAATTTTGGTTCCTTTTTTTATTAAAATTAAATTAAAATTGTTTTTCAAAAAACATTTAAAAATTAACGTCCAAAAAAGGTACTTTTTGGATTGTTTTTCATTTTTATTTTTGGAAAATTTACGATAAAATATCTTAAATTTTTTCACTAAAATATTAATTAATTATCAAAATTTGATTGAACAAAAAATTATAAAAAAATTGTTATTGTAAAAATTGTAAATTTTAAAAAGATTTTAAAAAAATGTTAAATATTTTTATTGAAAATTTTTTCATTGCAAATTTATAATTTTTTTTAAAAATTTAGAAAATTGGGAATTGATGGCGAAAATTTTTTAAAAATGATTTAATAAAAAATATTTCTATTAAGTTGTAATTTAATTTATTTGAAAATTTTATTAATGAATAATTAAAATTAAATTTTCATTTTTATTAGTGAATAAATCTTTTTTTAGGAAAAAAATTTTATTAATGTCTGAATTAACTGAAAATAGAGGACAAATTCAACGAGGACAACATGCACTTCGAAGACGCGATTTTAATGAAAGGAATATTCAACAAGAAGGAAAAGTTCGCTTCGAAAAAGTCGAAACGGTTTGATTTCATTCATTAGATTTCTTATAAGGAGGAAGGAATATGATGGTAGAGTATCGATTGAGGAAAAGTCATTCAGTTGTCCTATCCTCCGAAAAGAGTAAATCGAAACTAAAATCCGAGTGGTATTGCTGACATGTCTATACTTATGTCATGTGACTGCCTTACGAAAGGGTCTCAAGGGTAAAACTGCTAGGCAAGGAGAAATGATGAATGGTATTGAAATAAAGAAGAGGGAAGCAAAGGAACCATCCTAATGATATGCAGGAAAGGAGAAATTAACAAATGTAACAAATAATAAGCGAGTGATTTTATAAAACTTTGAGTTGTTTTCAAAAGCATTGAGCCTCGAACTATTTCGATTTCTTCTTCTAACACCCCTCACCATTATTAAGCTGGCTTAAGTCGAATATAAAGGTAAGGCATCTCCACGCTATTCGATCCGACGCCATCGTCGACAGTAAAAGAAACCATCGTCCGTCTTTTTTTTTCTGTTATGTAAGTCCGTCCATATATCGGTGGTTTATCTCTACGTTCAAAATCTTTCTTGACTATATTAATCCAGGTCTTAATTGGTTCTCTTCGCTTTTGACGGCATTCATGACAGAATTTAGCAAGAAATATGTATCAGGTGCTATGATGGACGACGGAAAAAGTGCCCTGACCAGTGAAGGCGATGATCTGTGATGGTACTATTAATGCACGTGAGCGAAGGTGGATGGATTTATGTGAGATATTTTCTTCTTGATGAACCCCTAAAATATGTCTTTAAAATGAATGGTCGAAAGTAGGTGATTCTTAATCTCTATTCATATCGGCTATGTCTCACAGCTATATAGCATAACTGAGTGAATTGCAACTATATAGATCACTGCCATTTTGTTTTATATGATTTTGCGACAACTCCACAAAGGTTTTTACCATTGCGAATTTTAATCTCGTATTTGCAAAATGCTTGGCCATTTAGGACTAAAATGGCTTGCAATGAATTGATGAAAATAGATATTTCATCAGCTTCTGGAGAAAAGCCTTTTAATTTACACCGAGTCCAATTCTTGTTGCATTTGTTGAACATTATTTGCATTTCATCATAAGGATTTTGTCTATACCTCAATTTTCGTTGCTATGTCGGTTTAAGTGAAGATATTTTTTTGTAATCATTGTGTGGATCTTAGGGGTTGTTAAGCGATTGCAGTGGGTTTTGAGATATTAAATGATCACAGCAGTGTTAAAGAAATAGAGGCTCTTGAACTATAATACAACTATAGAGAACTTCGAGGAGTTGTGAAAGAATTTTGGAAAGGTCATGATCACACACTTTGTGTTTTTATAATTTGAAAGTGCGAAGGTTATGATTACATTTTTGTGGCTATCACCATCTCTTTTTCCTAACTTATTATTTGATATTTTGTCACTTTGTGATTTTATAATTTGAAAGTGCGAAGGTTATGATTACATTTTTGTCACTGACATAAGACACTAATATTAAACCGAATCGATTTTTATTTTTAGTGAATGAATAGATATTGTATAATGAAAATCAAATGGTGAGCACTAATCATTTCTGGTTAGATTTAACTTGTCGTTGGTTTGATAATTTTTTATCATTGAGATAGAAGTATAAGCGGATCCGTGATATCAAATGGATTATTGATAACGAGTTTCTCCCATTGGAAACAGAATTAATATTTTGGATTAATATTTATATATATTTAATACTTAGAATTAATGTTAATATTTTATTAATTGATATTAATATTTATATTAATATTAAAATTTAATATATTTAATATTCAGACGATAGTCCGAGCGAAGATTACTAGGCTACCTTGTTTTAAGGAAATATGAAAATTTTTAAGAAACTCTCCTGATAATAAAAGAATTATAATTATGGTTGAAGCAGGTGTTAATCATAACAATATATAATTAATAATTAGATAGTTGATAAGATGATGCAAATTTTTAGTTTTTTGGATTTTTCAGTTGGTTTTATACTGTTTATTTTTCTGTTTTTGTGACTTTCTTGTCAAGGCCTCTAAATTTTTGTTTCAACCATAATTGTAATTACAAAATTGCCTATACTTTCTTATTATTTTTAAAAAAATTTTTTCATTTTAGTATTAATTTTATATTTTTCAGCAGTTACTTCAGCGTCCGCCATTGCATGAAACAGGGCAGAGTTCATTTGCTATTTTTTGTGACAATGCATTGAAGAGTGAGAAGGAAAATAGCAACAAAACGCCTGAATTCGTGAGCGAGGTGCAGTTTTTTGCCTTTTTAAGAAAGCAGTTAGCCACAACTGTTCAAATATTATAAATATTGGATATTTAAATTTCCAGTTTTTTCTTAATTTTCCAGTTTTTTCTCTTCGATTTAATTTAAATAAAATTTTAGATCAAAAGTTATTTTACTGTGAATAATTTAATCTACTTTTAAGGCATCCTGCGAAATAGCACCAATGGAACGAGAAAAAGAAGTACATTTTTTGATTTTATTCTTATTGAAAATTTTCGGGCTATGAAAAAAAATTTATTTTTTTCTTTCAATATTCGCAAAATTCTAATGAATTTTTTAATATAAAGCCAGGTGTTATGATGTGTAATTAATAATTAGATAGTTGATAAGATGATACAAATTTTTAGTCTTATGGATTTTTCAGTTGGTTTTGTACTGTTTATTTTTGACTTTGTTGTCAAGGCCCCTGTATTTTTGCTTCAACCATAATTATAGTTACAAATTATAAAAAATTACAGATAAAAGAATAAGATTATTAACGAATAAAATGATCGGAAGAATACAACGGCAAATTTGGGATGTTCATGAAAAACTGGAGATTTGATAGGTGTGAAAGTAAGGTCTGAAGGGACTAAGTGGTATTAACAGCGAATTTTAAGGGGGCTTTAAGAGATATGGAATATTTTTCTGTTCTCCCTTTAAGATGGCCATTATTTTTATTAGCCTGATTTTTTAATAATTGCTAAAAATTTGGAAGGAAAGAATTTGTTTTTTTTTTAGAGTGATTCGAGTTGTGTAATTGCAGATAAATAAATTAGAGCAATCTGACGATGAAGAAATGGATGTTGATGGAAGTTCGACTGGGTCAACCCATAGTCACGAAAACGATGAAAACTTTGATGTAGGTGTTTGCGCCTAACTTATAAATTTATTGTGTATTAATTTATGAAATGCATATTTTTTCAAAAATCTAATATATTTGCAATATATATTTTATATCTAGTTGAAAATGATTTGGGCCAACTATTGACCAGTATCATAACGTAATTATTGATGACATTCATTGATTTTTTTAGCCTGGAACGCTTGATGTGGGAAGCCGGAAAAGAGGAGAAATTATGGTTTTTGATCACTGTCCACCATATCCAGCGCCCATTATAAATGAAGTATTTTTATTTTTGAAAAATTGAAATATTTTAATTTTTTGGCTAAGATCCCTGTTTCTTGAACCTATGTTTATTTACATTTACTTGGTTAAAAGTCTTCCAACACTTATTATTTTATTTCAGGACAGCACAGGTCACAGAATGATTTTCCATAAAGACTATGAAATGGATTGTTTCCAGTATATGCGTTTTTTAGAAAGTAAGCATACATTCAGTTCTGAAATGTTGCAAGGCAAGGATTTCTCCCTCAGAAAACGACGCTGTTCTTTTGATTGGATGGTTCAAGTCAGCTCAGAATATAATTTTGCTCCAGTACTTTTTCATCATTTTCCGTTTTTGTTTTATCAATTTCTCAATTTTCATTTACTATTTCATTAATTTTGATTTTTTTATTAAGGCAATTTTCAATTGAAATTTATTGTATGTAGTATATTTCAGGAAACTATTTTTTTTTAAACAAGGGAAATAATCATATTTATTATTTTCACTGGTGTTAATTGATTTACAGGATACAATTCACTTGGCTATAGCTATATTTGATCGCGTTTTAATGGCATATCCCGTAAATAATGTTGCCATAATAGCTTTTGCAGCTGCAGCAATTTTAATTGCTTCAAAAATGGAGGAAATCTACAGTTTAGGAACTGATCTTATCGCACAGCTTACTAATGATTTAGTAAGAGCAGAAGATGTAAACTTTTAATTTTTTTTGAAGCAAATTTCTTTTGCTAAATTCGCGTTGCTAACTAATGCTATCTATTCTGCTTTCTACTGCCATTTCTGTTAAAATATTTCATTAAATTTTAATTTCTTTCTATTTTGAGGCATTTACTGAAAGTCATTTGGTTTTAATCTATAGAATTTTTTAGGTCGTGCGAGCTGAGCGATATATTCTGATTTCCATTGATTACCGGTTGGATATTGCGACTTCCTTTTGGTTTGCACATTTTTTAAACCATCGAATGGAAATGAGTGAAAATTTCATTTGTTTGACATATTATTTACTGGAACTGAGTGCGATGTTTGTTGAATATTTGGATCACAGACCAAGTGTTTTGGCGATATCCTCAATTGTTCTGGCTCGCTTATGTATAATGAAGGATGAAGATCCTTGGCCAAGCTCACTAGAGTCATTTGGTAAGTGTTTGATATTATTTAAAAAAGCTAGAATAATTTCTGCAAGGATCCCCATAGAGCATTTTTTTAAAGAATTATTTTCGATTTTCCCTTTTTAGGTATAACTTTTGATGAAGTGAAAAAAGGATTGTCATTCATGCGTGCAGTTTTTCAACAAGGACCACATATGGATTATCGCGGCATTTATAATAAATACTCTAAGAGACAATTTTTTTCTGTCGCGACATCATATGTGGCACCAAATATTGACGCATTACTCTAGTTCTCTTTAGTGTACACGGTTATTTATCTATTTTTATTTGTAGACTTGGGTATTGGAAGCAGTGTTTTTTGAAAATTTATTATCTCTGTTTTTGCCAATTTTTGAACCTCTGTTTTTGTACCTCAGTCTATTTCTTTGATAATTGTCAGTGTCAATGTTCAAATTTTATATGATAGGTGTAGTTTCTTTTTTAATTGTCATTGTTCCTCTGCATGCTTTTTTTGTACTTTAAATTCTCTTTCCAAAATTAATTGTTTGGTCAAAAAAAATGAATAATTTTGCAATATATTTATTACTTGATAAATTAATAAAATTTAAATTTAAATGGAAAGAGAAATGTTTTATGTATTAGTTCATTAATAAGCTTTCTTTAATTTAATTTTAATTTCAGTATCTTTTAATATATTCTTGTAAAAGGAAAAAGCTGATTTTATTTTTCCTACGTTGCGGATCATTTTTATAAGTTTTCATAAATTCTATTCACAGATTCTAAACAAAGAAATCGATTGCAGAAAAAAAATCAATTCTGGTGGTTAATTTATCGAATTGGGTAAGCAAAAATTTATAGACCATAGGGCTTTGTTTTAGTGGAATCGTACCGTCGTACTACATCACTTTGAGAAACTACGCCGCCTTCCTCTTGAGAAAATGCGTAACCGTCTGCAAAAAAATAAAAAGTGCAAATTAAAGTTGGGAATTATAAAAAACATGGAATTCGATTTTTATATTTGATATTTTAGCCAAAAGCGATATTTTATTAGAATTTTTCCATTTTCCATTTAATTGTTCGAGATTTACTTACGTTGATCAGTTCTTTCCATGATTTCATTGATAGTGTCGTCAAGTAAGCGCGCATTATCAACACAAGGCTTTCTGAAATAAAAGAGTCGTGTAATTAGAATTCATATCATTTGAGTTATTATTTTTAAATGGGAATTAGGATACTATGATATGTATAGCAATGCGCAAATTTGGGGCGTATTAATGATAAAACATCTTTGCTAATTTGCAGTGATATGAACTCGTAGGTGAAAAAAGAAAGACTGATGTTAGTTTATTTTTGTGATTCAAAGATATATGTGAGTTTAACCCACTTCAAATGTTGAACAAAAAGCGGAAAATAATTCGAAGAAGTCTTTCCTTTTTTGATTCAGAACTGATGACAGAGAGAATCCGATTGCCTCCTGTTCGACTGTGCTCCTATACCCAAAATTCTTCGGCGAAACGGTCATTTTTATATTTAACTGGGAGTGGACTCAGCATAATTGGAAAGAAATTATGCAAAAGGAAGGAAAGGAAAACAATGCCTTACAAGTTAATCTCTTAATAAAATTATTTATTCTAATTTAAAATAAATATTTAAAATCGAACTTAAGTCGTAGCATTCTTCCATACAAAATAAAATTGGGAAAAAAAATACGAAAAAATAACACTTAGGGCAAACAAACATACATGTGGCAGATTTCACATGGCAGCGTACTAGAGAATAGTGATTCGTGAGTATCTGCTGATTGAACTGGAGAATTGTTTGAGGCGGAAGTTCCAATACTTAATGCTTCATTAGCGAATCCTTCTATATCTCCAATATTACTACTTGTCCCAATACTGAAATCCCGCATTCTTCTATTAAGTTATCTAATACACTAATATGGAGAGAAAATTTTTGACAAACAACGATCGCAAAAGACAGGCAGACAGACCACTTTCCATAAGCAAATAACGATAAACTTCAAATTCACATATTTCATATTCAACACAGCAAAAAAAAAAACTGTATAATTCATACCAAATGATATTTATTAAACAAGAAAACCACAGCATTTGGAACACTAAACAAATATTGACAAATAAAAGTAAAGACAAATGGGAGTAATTTTTGAATTTCAAAAAAAAGAATTAAAAGAAAATAAATTGTGCAAATGAAATTTATCAAAAAAAAATATAAAGTACCCCGATAATTCCATGACACGATCACGCGATTTATATTCTTTAATGCATAAAAGCTCTCTTGGAGTAGGTGACACTGTAATTCGTATACTAAAATAATACGAATTAATAGTTAGAATTAATAGATTATAGATAGTGAAACATCGAACTTTATTTTGCACATTGTCTGTTGTTTATCAACGGAATATTACGATACATAAAATAAAAAAAAAGCATACACTTTAAATATGAAGTCAAAAAGAAGTGCGAAAAGAGGGATTAAAAAGAAAGCGAGCCAAAAATTTGGCGATGAGATCATTATGTATGCCATTCCAGTCATATCATCACCAAGTGGAATAAAAGGCCACAACTAGATTTTAAAAAACATTATCGTAAAAAAATGAAAAATTTATTAATTTATTACTCTTTTTACTAATTTAGAAATGGAATAGCTGTTAGCAAAAGTAAATAATGATATTGAATATTTTCAATTAGAAAATTTTAAAAAACAAAATGACAAAAATAACCGCTGAATAAATAGCCAAAAAAAGAAACCAAAGAGCGATAGAACCAACAATAGAATATAAAATTATATGCGTCCAAGAATCGCATTCGAGTAATGCTTTAAAGCAGACCGTTGCAACAACAAACTAAAGCCAAAATCATTCAGTTAAAACTTTAAGAAATTCATTTTCTCTCGCTAAAAAAACTATTGATTTTTATATTTATAGATTTAATATAATTATCATCTTGCACACTGTAAAAATTTTGTTGCGAAATCCAATTAAAATGGTACAAAATGAAAAAATAGATTTTGAAAAAAATTGGACAGAATTAAATAATTTAAAATTCAATAAGAAAAGAACAATGGAACTTTTCTAGAAAAACTCACTGTGTAACAAGAATTACCAAGCATTAACCAACCCGCATCACGGCCATTCCCCCAAACTGTAGAATTATACATAAATAAAAATGAAAAAAAATATAAAATTAATGAGTGCCATACTGCCATTGAAATCCAAAATGCAAATTGCTGAAAATAATTTCAACTAGTTAGTCTTTACTTTCGCTAAAACAATGTTTTTTTTTTTTAAATCAAGTAAGAAATTTCATCAGATAATTGTTTCATTCGTTGAACTATTTATCGTATAATTTTTTTTCTTTTTTAAATAAAATATACTTTAATGGAAAAAGCTCTCTCGTGAAAACTAAAATAAAGAGCGGGGAACTTCTGGATAGTTGAATCTGCGATTGGACGATCAAATAAACCGAGAATTATTGGTGGCAATGCAGTAAAAGCGACATTAAATAGACCAATAGTCCATCGTTCAAATACTGTTTGTCCAGAAAAAGCAGAGAATAGAGCAAACCATAATTCGATTAAGTACAAGCATATATTTTTGTAAAAGCTATAGAATATGACCTAAAACCTTTTATGAATCAAAACTTTTCGCGATCAGAATTAAAAATTTTATATATTTCTCTTGTTTGGAAATTTCTATAATAATTTAATTCCTATAATAATTTCTATAATAAATTTAATTTGAATAAAGAAATTCGCAAATATTTCTTTAAACGAAATTTCTTTAAAAATAAACATGTTAGTATTTCAAAAATTTTATAAAACTGATTTTAAACTGACAAGAGAAAACGAATTAAATCAGTTAATCAGTAAAATAAGATTTTTACAAAGGAATTAAAATGAAATACGAACATACTTTCACACAACGATCAAAATTCCAAGTGCCATGTACAAGGATAAGGCGTCGAAGAAAATGAAACTGCGAAATCGAATAATCACTGGCAGAAGCAGCTTGCAGTCCTTCCTCACCAGAGATTCCTACACCAACATTTGCAGCCTTCAACAAAAATGATGAATCTATGAGATAGAAGACAACCATATAATTAGAAAATTTGTAAAGCAAGCAACCTTATCATTAGAAAATTTGTAAAATAAACCTGAATCATTGCAACATCATTAGCTCCATCACCAATCGCCAGTACAACATGTTCGCCGCATGATCTTACCAATTCGACGATTTCTGCTTTTTGCATCGGAGTCATTCTACAGCAAATCACTGAATGACATAATAATGCTAATTCTCCCAAAAGAGGACGACAATCGCCTGTTAGTGCGTAGTGTAAACTCTGAATATTTTATTTTATAAAAAAATTTATGAAAACTTTAAATACATCAGAATGAATAAATTTGTGTCGAACATGCCCTGTGAATTTGAAAAATTGCAACTAATATAATATAAGCATAAAACTAACTGTGCTTTCAATAATTAACATGACATTTGAATCTGATTGTCTGAACATTTCAGCGTGCTTAATTAACGTTGTTAAGCGCGAGATCGTTTCATTATAAGTTGTAGTATCCAAGCAAAGAGGAATACTTTCCGAGTTACAAAGTGCAGCAGAAAATGCAATATTTACAGCTGTTTCACGCTTATCACCTGTTAGCATCCAAATACGAATTTCAGCATCCATAAGAGCTTTTATAGTTTCAGGAACTTGCTGACAATTTGATATAATCTTTTAAGATTCTTCTAAGTTTTTTTTCTTATTAAAATTTTAAAAATTTTTCTCTCACCTTATGCTATTAATTAATAACATTATAAAATAATACAATACATGCTTGTAATACATGCCTTCGATAGGAGCAAACCTGCTATATTAAAAATTCGGGTGACAATTCGGGTGGCTGTTGGGGATCCACCTGTAATTCTATCTCCAAGTGATTCTATATTGAAAAGATCTGGTGTTCTTGACAAGTGCGCGTCCTTTGACGTGCATGATATTCTCCGACCGGTGGTACATGCGATAAGTATGCAACCCGAGCGTAAAACGCTCCTAAGGCTCAAAAATAAAATATGATCATAAGCCAGGATAACTCGAAACCTGTCAAAGGCTCTTTGCATGAGCGGCGAGGTATTAGCCGTAGCAACATAGAACGTCAGAACACTTATGGACTTGTCAAGCGATCACAATCCACACCCTTTCTAAATATCATGAGAATATCACCTATTTTCGGTGGTCTGCTTTCTTTATTTCGAGTCCCGAGTAATTATTAATCCTGGATCGGAGTAAAGATACTGGCTATATCATTGTGGTGCTTCGGATAACTGGGGACAAAATGGCGATTATCATGTCTGAAAAGGCCCATTGCGCTTTCATTGCGTGGAAACCGGTAAATGACCGTAGGGCCTATGCCCACTTTAAAAGTAAATTTTAAATGTCTCAGTCATTAGAGGTCTATGCTCCAATTTGTCGGCAGATGTAAGTGATAAAGATAATTTCGACCCGAAATTTCAACAAAGTTTCTATCGAAAAATGACATGGTCATAATTGGAGGAGACTGAAATGCGAGCGTGGGTCATAATGCCGCTGCGATGACCGCGACAATTAGCAAGGCATCGGAGACCGATGCGCCAATGAGGAACGCGCTTTCTTCGCTATGCTCAATTTAAATTTTTTTAAATAACCCGATATAAGAATATGAGAGATGAGAGTAATGAAAAAACAATTTTATTAATAATATAGATTTATTACCTGTTGCAATTTATCTTCTATTGCAGATGCACCAACAAGGATTAATTCTTTCTCTATAAGTTCTGCACAATCTGCCATTTTTATTCCTCGATTATCAATCGCTAACGACGCAGCTTCAAAATCAGCGGACCAATTACGATATTCACTATCCTCTATAATTCGCGTAGCAAAACATAATGTACGATATCCCTGAAATCCAAAATAGTAATGCAATTTTATTGAAAATCACTTTTAAAAAACCATTTTTAAGTTGAGAAGTCAACAACTAAGATATAATTAAATCACTGCTTTAGTGAAAAAATAGATTCCATATAATTTTTCACATCCCTGTCTCTAAAACAACTTCAAAATTCAAATATTTCAAATAATTCTCAATAATAGGTGATAAAGCAATAATTCTATTTAAAAATATTGCAGCAGAATTGAAAACAAAAAAGAAAAATGAAAGGATTTCTAGGTGAATACCTTTGATGCATATTCGATGAGATGTTCAACGCATTTATCTTTGTATGGAGAATCACCACGTATTCTATCAAATAAAACTGAGTCCTGCAAACAACAAAAATTTCACTCATTTTACAGTATATATCAGGAGAAAAATTGAAAAACGTACCGCTCCTTTGATATAAAGCCGAATCGTCGAATCAGGACATCGCACAATAACCCCCATCCTTTTACGATCACTAGTAAATTCTAGGATATTTAATATCTCGTAAATCTCTTCTTTGCCCATCTATAATTTAGCAAGAATTAAATCTATTGAAATTGAATGAAATGCGAAATCTCTAATTTTTCTGGAACGATTAAGAGAGCATGAAAAGAATGACTTGAATAGAGTAATCAAATCTAAAATAGATATTCAGAAAAACGAACTGCATTAATAACAACAAATTCAGGCTTTCTGGTGTGGAAAATAAACCCTAATGAGGCAGCGCCACGCACGAGAGCACCTTCGTCAGGGGAAGATGCTTGATAGATAATTCCGTTTTCATTTCCTTTTTCAGGCACTACTGTATGACAAATAGCCATCATTCGCAAAAACTCAGCAATGGTTGTGTTTTCCTGTAAAAAAAATCATTGCAATTGCATTAAAATCAAAAAGGTATAATGATAGACCAAACTAAAATGTTATAAAAATATATTTTATAGCATTTTTAGCTCATATATCAATCGAAAACCAACACTTGATGTTTGTAAACATTCAATTAAAGATGGATCATCGAAATCGTCCTCGTCATCCTTGCCAAAATTCATTCCTGCGACAGAACATCTTTTAAATTTCATCACATTCCTTGTTAGGGTACCAGTTTTATCACACATAACAAATTTAACCTGCATAATATAACTTTTAGTAACAATTTTCGACCGTGATTAGTAGCAATAAAGAACGTAAACAAATTTTAAATTTTTAAAATTTTTAAACATAGTAGGAAAATGAAAATGAAAAATAGATAAAGGAAACTATTTTTAAAATTACTTGTCCTAATTCTTCATTCAGATTAGAAGTGCGAGCAACTGCTGGAGTATCTGTAGCTTCATCATACATTTGCAAATCCTAAATATTAGAAATATTAGACGAAAAACTGCTCGGAGATTCTATTTCAAAAATATATATATATATATATATATAGTTAACTAATATATTACATTATAAGACGATTATATACATTATAAGACGATTTAAAACACTTACATTGTTAATATAAGATGCTTGAAAAAATCGAACTAATTCCAGCGTAACTTGAAGGGAAATCGGAATCAAATTATTATATAGAATAAAAAATGCAAGAACGTTCCAAAAAAAAGTCGAACGTTGAGAACCTCAAATTATTTAAAATCACTGTTTAACGTTATTTTAAGCATAAGAAAAATTAAATGGGAAAACGATAATATAAAAAATGAGATTAATAATACCTTCCAATCCAAGATAATAAGCATTAACAAGCCAAACGTTATCAAACAGAAGAGCACCAAACGCACTAATGATGGCCAAAGCAACCAGAACAAAAAATAAAAATATTATACGTCTGTTGGTCATAACATCGACATTCGATCTAAATGGAATAGTGATAAATTATACGAGAAAACAAACAAAAACAATAAAAGACAGTAATATGTCAAAAAACAAGCGTTGTCAAAATATTTTTCGAACAAAATTAAAAACCTTTTCAAAGGAGCTGTTTTCGAATTCATCAATAATTTTGCATCATGTCCAGTATAAATCACAGCACCACAAATCCACTGTGTATTCTTCAGCCTAGCGCCTCGCAATAATAATTGATTGATACCTAAAGCAGAAATCAGAAATCCTTTTATTAAACCAGAATAAATCCAAAAATTTACCTCAGAGTGTAATATTAAGTATTATATGAATAAGCTTACGTAAGGGACGGTGAAGATTTTGCATATGTAATGTTCCATTGAATTCATTTACAAAGCGATTTGGTTTTTCGCATTCTATAGCGAATTTTGCTGATGCGACTGATTGCAAAGAAGTAAAATCTGCAGTGCACGATAGCCCTTGCCTGATTTTTAAATTTGTCTCACCATCCAAATTCGATGTCTCAATATATGCCATAGCCTGTGGCTCACTGCTAGACAATAATATCATATCCGCAGGAAACAATTCTTCATTTTCAATCCGTAGAATATCACCAACTATAACCTAAAATAATTATAATATAATAAAATAATAAAAGATTTAATAGCGGATTAATTTGATAGTGGAATAATAAATTCAAAAAAACTCAAATGTGCTATGGATTACGAACATGTTTCCATCGTTTTCGTTCCCATTTTCCATTTCTTAGTATTCGCGTTTGAAAATTGTTAACTTTTTGATCGGATTTTCGCCTTTTCTAAAAATTTTAACTTCTGATACAACCATTCCAATAACAATGCTAAACGCCATAAAATATATTAAATCACGTAAAGATAACGTAAAGATGACCGAATATCATATTATATTCGAAGCTAAAAAAAATCGATAAAAATTTCTATAAAAAAACTAACAATATCTTCAAAAATTTCTTTTACAGCTGAAATCGAGAGAATAATAAGAAATGGTACGGCAGTTGTATAACGTCCAGTAGGACTCACATCCGGAATTTGCTAAAATTTAAAATTTAAAAATAATTTTTAACAATATACTGGGAAAAAATACTTTATTTATGTAAAATTTTTCTCAGAAACAATTATTTTTAATAATGAAAATGAAAGATAATGAAAAAAAATAATGAAAGAAAAATTAAAGAAAAAAATAAAAATAAATTTAAATTAATTGCCTGAAGCAAAGCGATGATAAGAAAGAAAATATTATTGTAACGACGAAATTGTTCGATTAAAAAACGAAATAGGAAAGTAAAAACGCTGTATTTACACGTGCTGAAAAATAAAAACATTTTTTCTTCATATTTTAAGGCGTTTGCGATTCATTTTTCATATTTTTTAATTTCTTTTTGCCCTTTCCGATTCATAAATAAGTAAACTTCCAATTAATAAGATTTAAAAAAATTAGAAGTATCGATGAATGATTCATAATAAAAAAATATCAGTAATAACATCAAATTCAAATTTGAAAAATGTCAAAATAAATTTTGTAAACAATGAAAAAAAAAGAATAATGGAAATTGCAAATTTGTTAAAAAACAATTTGCTAAATTAGCAAAATCTTTTAACTGTGAAAAATATTTAATATTTTTAATTTTAGATTATTTTAATTAATTTTACTATTTTAATAACAGAAATAAAATTAATGGAGATTTTAGTAAAATCGATAAAGTTTTCTAAATAAAAATTAATTGAAGAAAGCTTTGTAGAGAACTTTTATACTTTAAATTTCCAAAATTTCATATTTATATTTTAAATTTCTAAAGAATTATGAAGAAAAAAAAAGAAAACCTTATAATATTTGAAGCAAATTTTTCATTTTTTTGCATAGAATTATTGAAATAAATAAATCTCGTTTGAGAATTTGTTGTTGCAGCCATATTTGATTCCATTGAATCGTTTCCAATTATCGTTTCATAAGTTGAAAAACGTTTATAACGACGATAAAACGATAAAATGCAAAATGCTATTTGTCGCATAGATTCTACGCATTCTTCAGCGAATTCATATCTATTATTTGATAAATATTTATTATTTATTAATAAAATATTTAATTTAATGAATATTTACTATTTATTTATAAAATATTTAATAAATATTTGTTATTTATTAATATTTATTAATGAAATACTTAATAAATATCTTTTGTTTATTTAAAAAAATACTTAATAAATATTTATTTAGCAATAAAACAATTAATAAGTAAACAATTTATATTTATGTTTATTGAATTTTTTGTATTCATTAAATATTTTATTAATAAATATTTATATAAAAAAAAATATTTAATAAATAATTATTGTTTATTAATAAAACTATTGTTATTGTTTACTTTTTATTGAATTATTTTTTAATAAATTATTTATTTAATATTTAATACTTAAATTATTTATCTTAGTTATTCAAATAAATAAAAAATCACCATTTTCATCGTTTCAAAAATTATCATTAAAAGAAATTATTTGACAATATATAAAACCGATAACTCCTATTAATAGTTTTGGCGAAATGCCGAACGACTAATTTGCAGCTTTAACGGATACATCTCAATGTTCAACGAAGGATCGTCCAAATAGAAAATATTAATGAGTAGGTGCGAGTCTTATGCAGTTACTTTGAGTTTGGGAAGTTAGCGGTTCCTTCGAGGGCCGTGGGTCTCTTCAAAAATCTAGCAAAGACCCCTTTTTGGAGACATTAAGAAACTGCCACCGCGCATAAAGTTAACGTTGAACGTTGAACTAACTCTACGAATGAACAGATGAAAAGTGACCCTACAAAATAAAAATAACGATAAAAACTTTATAATTTATAATATTATTTTGGAATAATTTTATAATACAATAATTTCGGAATTTCCGACAGTTGCTGGAAGCATTGGTTCCATGCTGGTCCACCTATATGTTCGAAGTCTTTTATTATCAGTCCAGGTTTTGATTGGCGTTCTTCGTTTTTGACGTCATTCACCATAGAGTTCAGCAAGTAACGAAATATGTGTCAACTCCTGTGGTGCGCGACAAAGATGTGCCCTAAGCCCCAATTGTTAATGCATGTGGTATTTGCGTGAAGGTGGATGCATTCATGTGAGACTTTATCTGCTCGTCGAACTCGTAAAAAGTGAATTAACGCCAAATATTTATAAAATATTTTCATGATTCCATAACCTTTTGCTTGACCTCATTTTATATTTTTTAAAAATTTCAGATATTTTTTATTTAAAATAGTTTAATTAAAATTGTTAATTGAAAATATTGCTTTAAATTAATCATTTCATTAGTTTAACAAGAAAAAAAAAACTTACATTGTTGACATACGAAAATTAAACGTTGATGATGAAAATAAATTGATTAGTGTTGCTGAAAAAAAAAAATATGTAATAATGCGAACATTTATCAATACTGTCGATCTTATCGTCATCGTTATCAATTAATCGATATCATTAAGATTTATAAGATAAGATTTGTTATGACCGTTTTGTTTGTGGTTTTTCAAGTCTAATTTTGATTTATTATAATTTTTACATAAAATTATTTAGCAATATTTTATAATAATGATTTAGATTTTAAAGATTTTTTTATTTTTTCTTGGTCTTAAAAAAATAAAACAAAATAGAAGTATGTAGCGATGATAAGTGATATCCTTGATGATAGAAATGGTGATAAGATTATGGTAATATCGTGGATTTTTAATAAATAAATAAATTCACGGATGCCAACAATAAACAATCCATCACTGGATGGTCAAATTGAATAAACGTAGAGAAAAAATGAATTAAAAAAATGGAAGCATGTAAGATGGCGAAATATTTAAGCGGAATAGAATTTACCCAATAAAAGGTAAAAATATAAATAAATATTTTTCTTCTACAAACATATTGTGATTGGTGAATCAAACTAATCGTTCCCAAAGGTTTGTTGATCATTGCAGCTAATTTATCAGAAATTGATAACTGATAAGGGAGAGACAAAAAAGCGACAGGCTAACTCGGGCAAATTATTATGCAAAAATGAAGCCTAGAAGTATGCCATAAGCCTCAAACTTTAGCTTCTCTTCTAGAAAAATTCGACATTTTTCTTTAAAATGATAACGGTGATAAGGAAATGAATTTGAGATGCAAAATAAGCTAAAAAATAACCGCTTGAACTAAACCAATTCGCGAAATTTCTTTACAATTTTTTATTTATTTTTTGTTTCTTAAAAAAAAATTCTTAAAATGCTTTTGATTTAATTACTTTAAAAAATCTTAATGGTTATTAAATTTACCGTTTAATTATTAAATTAAATTTATTAAAATTATAAAATTAAATTTAAATCATTATTTATTATTAAATTTTTCTTTCAATTTTTATTTTATTAGATTCGAAACAATTTTTTTGTAATATTACAATTTTTAATAAGAAATAATTTTTAATAAAAAAAAGGATTATTATAATTCCTCGTTATCACCATGCGATACGCTGATAAATGAGCAAATTGCATTCCGATTTTTCAGGCACCACAATTCGACTCTTTTCCGGGAGTTGAAGACTGAAAGCCAAACCTAGTTAGCCTAATTAGAAAAAGGATCCATGCGTATTTCTAAAGATCTTAGACTTAAAAATTTATCCTAACACGAATGTTTGTAAACGGTAATTATCTTGTTGGATAGGCAACGATAAAGGATTAATTATTATATTTATTAGACAGTTAGATAGGTTTGGGGTATTTTAAAGAGGGAGAAGTTGGAGGCATTACTCGAGGTTGGTTATCTTTCTTTTATTTTAGGGTTACTCGTTTTACATAGGTATAAATTTCGATTCACTTGGTCATCCTTAGTTTTCTATTATTTATAGCAATTTTTTTTTAAGATTTCACTATTACTAGTTAAACTCGCTCCGCTGGCTTGTCGCATCGGAAAAATATGCCAGAAAGTTCCTTGGCGATAGAAATGCAGGTGAGTTGCCGGGTTTTTGGACCAGTTCACTCCTGCGCAGAATAGAACCCTACTATCTGCGCTGCGAATTGAGCAACAACCCACTAAGCCATCCTATCTCCTATTTATAGTAATAAGTGTTTCCGTTTCGTTTCAGCCTAACTTCGCATTAAGTAAGGAAAGAATTATTGGCTGTTGTATATTTCATTATATAAGATTATTGTTTGGATTTTGCTCCTATTTGCAGGTAAAATGGCTTCAACACAAAGCAAAGTTACATTTAAAATAACTCTTACAAGCGATCCAAAATTGCCGTTTAAAGTGTTTGTTTTTAATTTTTTTTTCATTTTATTTGTAATTATTACGAAAAATAAGAAAAATTTGAATACATTAACATTTTTTATAGCATTTTTATTCAAATTTATACTATTTAGACATTTTATTGTTTTGTTTATTTTTTATATATTATTATATACTTGTTATTATTATTATTTTATTATTTATTAATTATACTATTTAGACATTCTATCGTTTTTTTATTTATTTATACATTATTGTTATATATTTGTTATTATTATTATTATTATTGTATTATTATTATGTTATTATTACATCATTATTAGTTTATTATTATTACTATTGTTATTATTAATAATATTATTATTTATTATTATTTTTCATCGTTATTATTAATTTTTATTATTAATTATTGTATGTTATATCTTATATGGTGCATTGGTGATTGTTATTATTATTATTACATTATTATTAGTTTATTATTATTAATATTAATTAATATTTATTAATATTTATTGTTATTTTTCATCATTATTATTTATTATTATTATTAATTATTGTATGTTGTATCTTATATGGTACATTGGTGATTCGATGGCAAGATAATTACCATGAAGGATCGAAGCCTGAATCCGATTTCGGCCGATGTATTATGCTTCTCCGAGTGTTGGCCCAGCGGAGAAAGCAAAGGAGTGTAGAATTGCTCAATAGGTTTTTGCTCAGTTGTGGGTGCCATGCTGAAGTTCTATTCAACAGGAGCAAACCTGTACTTCAAAAGCCGGTTGTGCTGACGACTTTCCTTTATTTCTATCCATGGGACTGCCTGCTGTATTGATCTGACTCGATAAGCCAGCCGAGCGAGTTTAACCAGCAATGGTTTTTTAAAAAAAATTATTGATTTATTGTTTTTTCTAAATTAATGATATTTTTTTCGAAAATATTTTAGATTAAGTGTACCCGAAGCAACACCATTTACAGCTGTTTTGAAATTTGCAGCTGAAGAATTTAAAGTTCCAGCAGCTACAAGTGCAATTTTAACAAATGATGGAGTGGGAATAAATCCTTCTCATTCAGCTGGTAATGTATTTTTAAAATATGGAAGTGAATTAAGACTTATTCCGCGTGACCGAGTTGGATATTTGAATATTTAATTTAAATAATTTAAATTTAATGAATATTTATTGATTATTTTACTGAATATTTATTGATCCAAAATAAAATTTTGATGCGGGAATTGCTTGATAACCATTAACATGAATATGATAACTTTAATATATAATATAATATATTATATGATATAATATGTAATATATGATGTGATATATATAATAATATGATAATTTTGGTATTTCTAAATTTCCAGTTTATCGTCATATTTCAGTTTGAAACCGTATTTTTTCTATGGTCTCAATCCGTACGGTTATTGATTGTTGAAGAATATTACTGCATTTAAATGCTCTAAGACTATGAATATTTTAGAATAGCAAATATAAAGAAACGCAAAAGAATAACATTCTTTATTCATATTTCAAAAAAAAAAAAACAAGAGGAACACGTGAAAATTTACGTGAACCTAGTCCTTTAATAAATTTTTTGAAGGGTACATAATACAAATGCAAAGCGGAATTCGTTTTCATGCTCTAATATATTTTTCGATGGATGAAATTATTAATTTTTTCAGTGGAATATAATGGGATATATTGCTTAAGGCGATATTTTTCCGTTAAAATTATTGATTAATTGCTGAATTTTAAATTTTACGGTTTCTTATCACTTCTTATCATTCTTCATGCTTATCAAATATACAAATTGGTACGAAAGTAAAGATAATGATGAAAAAAAAGAAAATATTTAAAGAATTTTCATGAGAATGAAATAAATTAGTAGAAAACTACATTCATTCATTGTTTTAACGAAAATCAATAAAATGAGTAAAAAAAGATTTTGATAAGTTTTCTTAAAGTTTTCCACAAATATAGTTTCTCCAGGAAGTTTGTTCCGAAATTTGGTCAACTTTTTGTCAAAGCTGACATTTGTCTTCTAATAATCGGCGTTTGCAACTTTTGCTACCTTCCGCATTTTTTTATGTTTCCTTATAAAACCTAAAAATGTATTATAAAAAACCTGCTAGATGTGAACTAAACAGGAAATATGAAGGCTATCGGTAATAGGACACTTATTAGATGACGGATTTCTTCTTGGCATAAATGATAAGAAGGCGCTAGACTGAATGCTGTTTACGAAGATGACTTGTCTTTTCATAGATCTTATTAACAGCCAGCTGATCAACAGCAACTTATCAGCTGTAGCGTATTCGTCGTCTGCAGTAGCATAACTAAGCAAAAAATTCGAGCGCCGACGGTGAAATTTTATTCCCCGCAGGAGTGAATTTCCGATGGTTTGGCCAAAAATTTGGCGCATCTCACTATTGGCTCCGTTGAAAAATTAATATTTTGGAAAAAACTACTGCCTTATAAGTTATAAATTCCGTCAGGGTTAGAAATTATTGAGATTAATACAATATTGATTCTTCTTAAATTCGCATGGTTAGATAGATCCTCGGTAGTATAGTGGTGAGTATCCGCGCCTGTCACGTGCGAGACCCGGGTTCAATTCCCGGCCGGGGAGTCATATTTTGCTCTTACTTTCTCGTTTTCAGCGAATATTTGTCATGAATGAATTCAATTTTTATCAGTTATATTTATCAATGAGTGAGAAGAGAGAGAAAAAAAAGAAAATTTATAAAAGCATCCCGTTTTTAGGTGCGCAGAAGTATGCAGTAATAAACAAGCAAAAGCATGATTGGATGTGGTTCTATCCTCGTTTATTTGGCAATTACAATATATAAAAATAGTAGTAATCGTGTAATAATGTGGTGTTGGCATGATGTTGGATGGTGACGAACAATGGTGATTTGTGGCTCATGATTAACTGATATGTGGAACTGATACTTTAAACGGTGAATCTGTATACCATCCAGTTACTGACTATTTCAATTTAAAATAGTTACAACAAGAATAAATGATAGTATCATATTCGTATTAAATTTTAATCACAATTTTGTTATAAGAAAGAAAAGATTGGTGATAACGGATGATAATCATAACACGAGAATAAGAAATAAGATGATTTAAAGATGGTTTGCATCGATAAAATCTTTAAAATAATACTCTATCCCCTGTGTTATTCAACTAGGCGATGAACTACGATCAATAGGCTTGGAAATCAGTTCTTAGGCATTGTATTGGCACTGGTTAGGTCGCAATCCTTTTCGCTTGTAGTTATGAAGAAGTACGACAAATTGTAGCACTTATCCGTGCACCGATAAGAGGTTTAAGAGGTTTTTGGTATATTCAGCCAGAAATTAGGAACTTTCACCAAACGCATGTTGTTCAAACGTTTAATAATCTTTTCAGTTCGTGTGCACTTATTAATTCATCGACAATGCCAAATTCAAATATTTTGGATTATGCCTTAGGCCAAATGGCCATCCGCACGGGGAAACTCCGGGCAATCGCTACTAAAAATCTTTCACTGCTGCAACCTCAAAGAAATCGCCGTGAAGTTATCGTCAAAACGAATGTTGCATCTGGTTGTACTGTCGTACCATTTTATCGTATAATTACAAAACATTGCCAACAAGAGGGGAACGAAATCAGGAAAGTTGTCCACCTTTGACTATCCTTGCCTAAGGCATATTTTACAGCGTATAAAATCTCATTTTTTTATCAGTTATATTTATCAATGAGTGAGAAGAGAGAGAAAAAAAAGAAAATTTATAAAAGCACTCGTTTTTTGGTGCGCAATAGTATACAGTAATAAATAAGCAAAATTATATTATTTTTAGTAATTACGTAAAGATTATTTGAATTAATGAAATTTCCATAAAAGAGAGATAAAATTTAAAATAATGAGGCTATTAATCAATAAAAGAATACAATGATTCGTTGATTTTACGGTTTTCTTCAAAAAATAAAAATTTTTAGACAATATGATATATTTGATTTGATTCATATTTTACGCTATGTTTTTTCAACGTTATTCTTTTTAAATTAAATGTTTGATTTTTTATGAGAAAAAAATTTTAAAATTTTAGACAAATTAAAAAAAATCAAATTAAAATCAGTCGTTTCATTTTCATCTAATTGATTCAGATCGTTGTATTCGGATGAAAATATTTTAGCCTTTTTTTCTCCGCGAAGACTGATAAGAGTTATCAATAAGAAGTGAAGGATTTATTTTCTAAAAATACATTATTTTTTAACTTCATTTATCAACTAGAATAAAGCGTTTATCAATTCGGTCAGACCATATAGTTATTATTTCTATAGAAAAATCTATAAGGACCTAGATGTTGTCAAAAGCAATCAATAAACCATTCACATTTAAGCACTCAAGCTTTTCGCTGTTTTGTCGTCAATTTTCGCTATTTTGTCGCGCTTTTTTCGCTGTTTTGTCGTTTTTGACCATTTAAAATTCTTCGTTAAAAAAAACAGATCGTCAAAAAAGGTAATTAAGAAAATATTTGCTGAATTTACTCTTTGCAACTCGCTCTAAAAAAAAACTCGCCTAAGCCTGCCCTAAATTCGCAAGTTATGTCGCCCTTCGACTTGTATTTATTGTAATTATTATACTATAAATATAATTATAATTATAATAATAAATATAATTAACTATAAATATAAATATTATTCATGTTACTGCATAAAGCTGGCGCCCATTTATCTGTAGTTTTATTGGCCAAAATTTTTATAGTCCAGCAGGCTTATCCAAAAATAATTCTTAGGCAGTAATAACATAGTTGTTAAAGGATATCGCTAATCTATTCAACTTCCATAGCTGAACTATATAAATATTAATCCATAAAATATATCAGACACTCTGAGTGGTACTGGTGACAAAAAAATTTTTCTAATCTGGCAAATTGGCAGAGAAAACTGAATCGCAAATTGTAAGTGCTGCAGAAAAAATTATTAAATGCACTAATTTAGAAGATTTCTTAATTGCATAGAATACAATACAATACAAATTTAGGAAGTTTCAGCATATTTTTTGCTTAACTCGCTCTCAAAAATTTTTTGTACTATTTAGTAATATTGTAAAATGTAATATTCAAAAAATCTGCCGATAAATAAAATTTTGCAAAACCGTGCAAAATTTGTTATTTATCTTTCGTCGTAATAATTAATATTAAATTTATGCTAAATTTCGCCAATAAATAAATTATTTTTGAAATTCCAGATGAAAATATTTTTGTAATTTTGTTAAGCAAACACTTATGTAACACTTCCATTAAGAAATAAACATTTTCTCTAATTTTTCTGCTGATAAGATAATTTCAGATAATTGGTACCATGATAATTTGAAGTAATTATTTTCGTAGTTCTCCGAATAATCTGTTAATGAGCGAAACGATTTAAATTTATGTGAATTTATAAAATATTTCAAATGAAATTTCATTTCAGATTTTCGAGAATCAATTGCATAAAATTTTGCATTTTATCCTATATTTCTCAATTATCTAAGAAAACCCTTTAGCTTTATTTTTTTTGGCAATGCTTTCGGTGGAATTTCGCACGATCTTTTGGAGCTATTAAAAAGTCCCTCAGGCAACATGCAATTGCTATTCATTTCGCGATAACTGCCTCAAATGAGCAATCAAATGCTATAACAACGATGGCACCTCTGGCTCAGTGATGAGCGCTGGCCTCACGGAAATCGTTATCGTTCCTTCCAGAGTCGTCTAAATTCATTCTATTAAAGCGTCCCATTGACACGACTTTATTGGGCTCTCTGTGAATGGCTGTTGTTGCATAGCCCTGAAACATCCGATAATTGAGAATTTAGACCTTTATAAAATACACGATTATATTTGGAGAAAACGAAAGTATCGTAGAAATCAAAAATAGCATAGAAGGTGAAATTTTAAGAAAAAACAAGATTTTTTTCAAAAAAGATGTAAGAAATTTCTTTCTTTTTCTCCAATCGCCATAATATTTCGTTAATTAAACCACCTGAAATAACCTAAAATATACATACGGCTATATCACTACTATCTACCTCTGAGTTTCATACAGTTCAAACCTTTTATTGTCTAAAAGTTAGATTCATCATCACTCTAGTTCCATGGAATATTGGTGCAAATATTGCT